CATCGTGGTTGTGCATGAATAAGTAAAGAATCATTTGTGGAAATACCACAAACTTACGTAGAGAGTTTTTTTTTGAGATTTGTTGTTGTTTTTGATAGTTGCACAAATTATCAATTAGTTTAACAATGTGAAGAGTCAATCAATTATAGTAACGAGTAGTTTCTACCAATTTTTTAAAAATAGTTGGTAAAAATGTAAAAAATGTTTTTTTAAAAATAATTTTGATGTTTTTTATGATTTTTTTGATTAAACAATTTATTTTATAGTTTTTTTAATTAAATTTTAAATTCTATTACTTTTTCTCTCTAAAAACTTCAAAAAATCTATTTTTCTTAGCTTTTACTTGTCACCAGAATAAACTTTTCTATAATTTGTTAAAAATTAAATAATTTTGATGTTGATTTTCTTAGTTTAATCAATTTTTCTTCTGCTTATTAAATTAAATTAATAATTTAGGTTATGTATACTCTTGATTTTTATCAATTTTTTCCTCTAAACGCTTGAAAATAATAACTTTTTGACTTTTACTGCGGTAATGTTAGTTTTGTCGCAACATTAAATCGATTCAACTAGAAATATTCAACCGTTTTTACTTTTATTTTGTGTGCTTCTGAAAACTACGATTATCAGGGCGAATATTGTTTCGTGTTGCGGCTGTGCTGCCGTGTGCGTTTATCATGTTACTTTGTTACTTCACTTAGCGCTCTTGTTACCCGCGTGGCTCACGCGAAATGATCCACAATCCACACGAAATTCAAATATTATCTACTCCTACACATTGTTTTCCGAAACATGTTGTCGTTGATAATCGTCAACGAAACAAACACTTATAAGTAATATAAAATGTAGAAATATTGAATTGCGTGTGTTGTGTTGTATTCTGTGTGTTTAGTTAGTAAATTCAAATCAGTTTGAAGGATCTGGTCATGTTTTAGTATCTTTTTTGTATTTTTTGTGTTTTTGGTGTTTTGGAATGAATTACATTTGGGAATTCACTCACCATTAAAGGTTTGAATTGGGCGCTCTCTGCATGATTTATTCATGCGGTGGTGTTGTGCTTTTTTTCTTCTTTTGTTGTGTTGTGTAGAAAAAAAGGGTGAAACGTAGAACATTATCGTGTTGTTTACCGTTTACGCTTGATTCCCAGAATTTCACGGTTTATTGATTTGATTTCATCGGTGAATAAAATCCCTACTAATATTATAAATGCGAAAGTGCTGATGTTTGTTACACTTTCACGCGAAAACTACTTAACTGATCATCATGAAAATTTGTACACGTATTCTTAGTGATCCCCGAATGGTTATAGGCTACTTTTTATTTAATAAAAAAATTATTTTTAAAATAAAATAAAGAAATAGTTTAGCCAATAATACCTCTGCATCTGGCTATTTGACTACTTTAACGCCATCTAGCATTCCAGCAATGAAGCTCAAACCTAAGTACTATAGTACCATCACACTGTATTATCACACTGTATTACCGACAGCTACGTCAACATCAAATCCAATTGACTACACTATGGAGACTGTACACTATACTTCCATAGACTATACTTTCAGCCATTTTAAACTTCCCGCCATTCTACTTCATTGTTACTTCTTCTGTGACTACAGACGCGTACGGAAGCAACTTCATTATTTTAGATATTCGCGTGCGAAGCCGCGGGTTAAAGCTAGTATATAATACAACGACGTCTTTCTATAACAACCAGAAATTTTTATGAGGGTGTAGCGAGGTGTCGTTACATAAAGAAACAAAAAATAACTAAATATTGGGATTTTACGCGGATAGGCTACTGTTTAATCTTTTGTTTAGTGGTTATAAACTCATTTACTCTTGTAAAATTGCCGGTAAATATTTCCTGAAGTCAAAATATGAATTCCGCGTCGCTTAGTTGTATTCACTTGTGTTATGTTTAAATGATTTTGTTGTAACTGCTTGTGCAACTCAACAAATTAGCTGAAAAATCGTGTTTAAGTTATAAAAGTTTGCATTGCAATTTGTAGAGATGTTGGGATCATAATTACAACAATATTTCAAATTCTACAATATTCTAGCTCATAATTGCTAAAAATTAAAATATTTTTCGTCGTTACACAAAGGAAATTAATTTAAAACAATCAAATTGTACATATTTCTTCATTATCTGGGGTTTGTCGATAAATCAAATAACTTTAAACTTTTAAACCATTTCACCTGTGCTTCTAAACTTAAAAAAACAATAGAATGGCATATTTCAACAAGTAAAAATTACAATATCCACCATATTAATATCTTGTCATCGATTTGGTAAGTTTACGACCGCAGGAACCGCAGTTCACTTTCGATTCATTAGCGATTCAATTCAAATCGAACGTTGACACACTAAACGAAATACTTTAAGGTCAGACGGCCGTTATATAAGCGTGGTAATTTTGGTGATTTACAAATTTACACAATTCCAGCCATAATTCGCTCCACAAACAAAACATTTTCAAATCTCGCGCAAATCTCATTCTTCCACAATATTTCAAAATTTGATATTTATAAAATGAGTAAATATCTGCCTCGAAGATATCTCCTATTGCGACAATCCATACAATATAATATTGTACGTGTGGTTTGTTGCACTACTTGTTCATCACACGCGCCTGGCTATTATTATTATTATCATTGCACAATAAGAACTAAACAGAAAGCACCACCGACCAGCTAACCACAGCACACGCGTATCAATCGTATTTTGCAATGGTAATTTTAGTAATAAATATTAGTGGTTCTTTTTTCTTCTGTGTTTATTATTATGGTTATTATTGAATTAATTGCAGACAAGTGTGGAGTTGTAACGTGTAGCAATCTGACATTTTTGCGACACAGAAAAAAATTCGACATGTGTTGCAATTTTCCCTAATTATTGACACTGTACGCTCGTAATTAGTCATTAGACAAGAGAATTAATTGTTTTTACTGTTTTCGTTGAATTAACCAAATGTTAGCGGTGAGTTTTATGGTGTCAAGTTAAATACTTTGCTGTTATTTAATTATTCGTATTGTGAGTGAGTGTTTTCTTGATTTCTTCATTTCACAATGCGATTATTTGTTTAGAAATTTAATTTTTGTCTTATCTGGGTTAATTCTAAGTGTAATTACAGTTCTTTTTACGTACATTCACCGTGGTAAATTATTTTACCCACAAATAATAGACTATTTTTAAAATTTATAATTTATGTTTGTTTGTGTCACAATAACACAAAAACCACTCAATGAATTTTTATAAATTTTGGTTTGGAAATACTTTAGACTTAGGAGAATGACATAGGCTACTTTTTATTCCAAAAATTTATCTCAAAGGGTGAAAAATAAGGGATGAAAGTTAATATTTAAAATTTATAAAATATTTTTATTTGAAACCCTATAAAAATACTTTTAATGAAAGGGTTGAACCAATGAACACGTTAAGGCCTCATTAACTGATGTTTATAGAGTGTAGTGTGAATGTAGTACACGCACGATGCGATGGAGATGAAAATTTCGATGCCTATTAAATATCGATTTGTCCTGGAGTGACCTTATTACAGCAGCGGCGTGTGTCACGCTGCGTATGCCAACTGCCACGTGAAATCAAATCAAATTATGGTGGCATACTTGCACAAACATAAATATAAAATATATATATTATATAGGTGTATTGGAGAATTCGGAGATTTGGTAAATGGACTTTGAACAGTTTTCATTAAGGGATAATGTTGTGTTTACGCTTTCAAGCTTGATCCTTTTTCATCTAAATCCAATTAAGTTTAAAGCTCAATCGGGTAATTTTATTTGAAATAAACTTAGTTGGTTGGTTGGTTAGACTTATTTCTGTGCTATTAAAATGGCGCTAAAATCACTAGGTAGTGTATTTATATAGGTTTTAAATTGTTTGGTTTTATATTTTATTTATATGTTACTAAAATGGCGGAAAAAATATTAATCAATGATTGTTTAGGGTTTTACAAGTATTTCGATAGGTTTCTACATATTTTTGAATTAAATTTTATTTAGAAGCTATTAAAATGTCGGAAAACAATGTTTTTTGTCCATGTAACAACTACAAAAGATTAAACAGTTGCCTGTCCACGTAAAATCTCAATATTTAGTTATTTTTTATTCTTTGATGTAACAATAACGCGCTATAACGAGATAGAAGTGAATTTGAGCAATAAATATGTCAAAATCATAACCAAATTATACCATTTATCAATTAGGTACTTGTTCTGCGCTGCACTTGTTGTCTTTCACCATTCATCATACCAACATACATTCGCCGTGCACCTAGTTGTCTAGCATTGATTGCGTTAGCAATGTTAGCATTCGCGAAACGCGCGCTCCGTGACACAGATTCCCAGGCGAATGCAACGTGCATCTGCACGAGAAATCTCGGCAATACTCAATGCAAAATGTAAAACGTAAAATGCAACTTGCTCTACAATCAGACACGGATGCACGCGCCTATAATATATATGTGCTAGGTATAAGAATTAATAAACTAATCGCTTACTAATTAATTAATTGTTTCGTACATTTAAATATTTATCGGTTAACACGATTGACGCACGCACTTTACGCCGAATACTCTCTGGTATTTTAATAATTCATTAACTGTACATTAATGAATCATTAACAGCGTAATTTTGGTGTATATTGACGTAGGTTATTTTACTTTACCGAAATAATTGTAAATTAAGTATTAAGTGGTTAAATGGGAGTTTTAGTCACGGGCGTTTAATCAATTGAATGTTTAACATCGTTTAGCCACATGTTGCTTACACTATTTTTTCTACTTCTACTTTATTCTTTATTTCTAATGTCTTGAGCTGCAGTGTAGGCAAATGCGCAGGCGCAAGTTCCACCCCGTGACTAAAGTCCATGACTAAAGTACTTTATTCACGGTTTTGTCCATCCGCGTTTAAAATATCAATATTTAGTGTCTGAAAATCGTGAAAAAATTGAAAATAACCTTTTCTTATTTGTTTCAGAATCACACCGCAAGATGTCGCATTTAGTCACAGAAATAATCGACACATACCATGACATATTGGAGAACAAAAGTGGTAAGTTCCAAACTCTAATTTTTGACGTAGATAATTACTTCACAAGATTGCAAAAGTTTACATACAAAACACGCCGCCGAAACTGATTGCTACCTTTGCCGCAACGGATTTGTGTCATGCGTTTACAAGCTCATTAATGTTCACCAGTTATTATTACTCACACGTCAAATAAAAGTTTCCTGCACTATACCTGGCCATACACAAGTTGGACTATGTTGGACTTGCGATATAAGTATCGAACATACAAAAATTACATACAACTTGACGAGTGAAGAAGTAGAAAAAACGGTTGCAGTTTTTTTACATCCCGCAATATATTCACTTTCACTTGATATTTGCTCACTCATTTGCGCCTCGGATGTTTTTACGGTGTCGTATGATTTTTTTTTACGTTAATGCAACCAACAAGAATGAAGAAAGCACGAAGCGCATTGCGTAACAGGACCGGACTTGTCGGAACTTGTCCGACGCAGCCGGTGCATGAAGTCAAATTAAATTAAATTAAAGAAATCATCAATTGTTGATCCACAATCAACAATGTGCATGTAGCAATTAAATTTAATAAAGGTAATAGATGGCGTTACGTGCGTTATGTTGCATTGTCAGAAAATTATAACCTTGATTATTTTAGTTTTTGCGATTTGAGAAAAATTTACTAACCTTTCTTCATGTTTCTTTAGTTTGGGTGAAAGAAAGGCTTAAATAACATGCGTTCCACATAAATTTTTTATTAATGGTTGGATATTAACATTATTACTATTTTTATGCGTGATATGAAAGATATTGCGTTGCGCGTTTCTGGTTGCGTTTTTTTTCGTTTAGTATATTTTTTGTAGGTGAAGCGATTATGCAACCTTGTGTCAATTCAATGTTATGTGCCACTTTGCGGCCGGTTTCCTCTACGCCGAGTCATTCTCGCACTTTCTTCATAATTGCCTCATATCCAAGCATGGCTCGTCTCTTCACCGCTTGTTCTCGCATGATATATGTGCGCGGCGTGCTCTCAAGGAGTTTCAAACACTTTTCGGCTGCGATCACCTTCGATTTCTTTTAGGAATTTCTTATTCAAGATTTTTTTTTCTCGCGTGTGTGTCGTGTATGTGATAGGTGTTTACTATAAAACTGAATGAAAGGAATCAGAGACGAGTGAAATTGAATTTTTTGAAGTAGTGATTTGCCAGATTACGAGATGACACATTCGGAAGTTTATTGTGCAAGTATCGGAAAAAACCGTGCGGAATATTTTCCATTGCGAATTGCATGTTGCATAATTATTTATTGATGATTTTGATATAGATTTATCTGGTGTCATCTGGAGGCGAGATATTGTCGACTAGACGATTGTTCATTCATTATTTAGAGGGGATATTAATCGATATTTAGTTGAGAAACTAATTAAAAGGAGGTTAAAATATCGGATTTTAGTTTAATATACAAGAAAAGAGTTTAAAAATAATTTATAATAAAAAAATCATTGAAAATCTTTTAAATTACTTCATTTTTTTAATGTTTTTGTAAAAAAATTTTGGTATTTTATTATTGTTATTAAAATTAACTTAATTTAAATTAATTTTACTGCTTCCACCTTTAAAGTATTAGTTTTTCTACGGTTTTGAGACACAAAAAGTGGTAGTTTAAACACGGATAGCTAAGGTAGTGACTAAAGTACTTTATTCACGGGTTTTTAGTCACGGGGTGGAGCTTGCGCCTGCGCATTTGCCAAAAACTAACAAATATTGTTTTTACTAACAATTGCAATTAATTTATTTCATTTATTTAAATTATTATGATGTAATTGAACGTTTTTTGTTATTTTTCCTATTTTACAATTAATTAATAACAATAAAATTAATTCTGCTAGTTTTTCACGAAATTTCAATTGAATAATAGACTTTTTTCCTTTTAAACATATATTTTAAAAACCCACAAGGTGTAGCAAAACGTTTTCAATTTCGTTGCGCTGTGATTAGTTTTTAATTACCGCTGATTTCGTAACTACTACGCTACTACGCGCAGTTTAGCAACGCAAGCAGTCACAGTCATTGTACTTACTCACCCAATACCTACATTTTGTTTAATTGCACTACATTACGCTGTCATTGCAATATATTTTACATTTGACTAATTAAATAACAATTTACGTTTATTTCATTTCATTCAAAACTCAAATCCTTTTCATTGCACCCAAAATTCATTTATTTTTAGTTTTTAGTTGTTTGTTGCATTTTATAAAAATATTACGTAATTGTTTATTATGGAAGCTGGAAGCTAAATGCAATGACACGCAAATTTTTTTGCTTTAAAACTTGTGAAAGCGTTTATAAGTTATTTTTAATTTTTAGTTGAATTATTACTTCATCTACAATTGCTCGCTACTTAGTAATATTTTGACCTATTATCGTCGTTAATATTTCACGGTGAAATCAATTGCGATTGAGTTTTTTGTCGCTGCTCGGCCGGGACGTGACGAAATTGATCAAACATTACGCGTAAAAATGTCGACTTTCGTCTCCGACTTATGCAAATCTCATTCAAAAAGCGCAGACAAAAAGAAAACGCAAGGAAGGACGCGCGGCGCACGCATTCCAGTGGTGAAATTTTGCCCGATACGATTACATATCATCTTCAAAACATAAAAAATTATAATTTAATATTAAATCCATTCGTTTATTTACATCCAACGGATGTGATATACTATTAGCAATAACCCAAAATTACTTTGGTGACCATTTCTGGTTAACGTAGGCAACTTATCGGTCATTATGCGCGTCGTGTCGCGTATTTCATACGTGATTTATCGCCTTTTAGGCCATGTGCATTCTTTCACGTTAGCAAATCGAATGTGATGCACATTAAATCACTTATTGCCTACTTTTCTTCCGGCCCAAACAAAACACATAACTTTTCATGTGAACTTGGTTGCCTATATTAAACCTACAACTGCGCAGTTTTTTCTTCGTTATTTTCACACATCATTTGTGCAAACAATCAGTATTGATACTTCTCATCGGTTTGCTTGCACAATAGATGATTATTACCTGCGATGGAGGAAGTTTGAAGTTCCAAGTTCGAAGTTTACCGAGAATATTAACTGCCAAGGTTGCGATTTATGTTTTTTTTCGCGGAGCGAGCGTTAGCTTTCAAAACTTTTCAAATTAAAAATGCCACGCGCGTTTTACGCGAAATAAAAAACACGAAACGTGTAAATACTACGCGATTGTTCGTTTTTTTTTCAAATGTTAATGCAGCGTTTTGTTTGGTTTTAGATCCGCGCGTCAGCGACTGGCCGATGATGTCCAGCCCGCTGCCGACGCTCGGCATCTGCATGTTCTACGCGTACTTCTCCAAGGTGCTGGGACCAAAGATCATGGAGAACCGGAAGCCGCTGAATCTACGCGGTGTCCTGGTTGTCTACAATCTCATCCAGACGATATTCAGCGCATGGATATTCTATGAGGTAAATAGCGCCACCTATGCATTAATATTTCAGCTATTTTTATTAATTTTTATTTTTTATTAAATTTTAGTACCTGATGAGCGGATGGTGGGGCAGTTATAGCTTCAGGTGTCAACCTGTTGATTATTCCACGAATCCAATGGCAATGCGCGTAAGTCCACGCATATTTTTAGGGTTATGTTATTTATTAGTGTATTTTATGCCCGATAGATGGCGAGAACGTGCTGGTGGTATTTCATCTCTAAATTTACGGAGTTTTTGACACGCTGTTTTTCATTCTACGCAAGAAGAACAGCCAGGTGTCGACGTTGCACGTTATCCACCATGGATGCATGCCGTTCTCGGTGTGGATGGGCATGAAATTCGCTCCAGGTATAAAAAATGCAACCAAATATACAATCATGCAATAGTGTTATAATGTATTTTATGATTATAGGTGGACATAGTACATTCTTTGCATTGCTCAACACTTTTGTGCACATCGTTATGTATTTCTACTACATGCTGTCGGCCATGGGCCCCGAATACCAGAAGTACATCTGGTGGAAGAAGTACCTGACCAGCTTCCAAATGGTGTGTATTAATACTTTTCGGTTGTAATTTGTTTTAAATTGCTTAAATGGCAATGAATATTGTATTCACGTTCTGCGCGTCTTCAACCGTGAACTGTCAATCAACGTAAATATTCATTGACATTGGAATTTTGAACACATTATTCACGTTGGTCGTTGATCATTAATTTTCTGCAAAGTATTTTGTTTCATGAATAATAATTTTTTGCTTTCAGATTCAGTTTGTGATGATTTTCACTCATCAATTCCAATTACTGTTCACCGAGTGTAATTATCCGAAAATTATCATGGTCTGGATCGCCCTGCACGGCATGATGTTCTTGTTCCTCTTCTCTGATTTTTATAAAACCAAATATGCGGGCACGAAAACCGCCGTACGACGAAATCAAGGATTTTGCATGGTATGCAACTCAAAATACATCAATTTATATATATGGTTTATTAATGTGTATGATTGGTTGCAGCCAGTGGAAGTCAATCAGGACGAGCGTTCGAATGGCACTTCAAAGTCACTCACCAACTCGTACCTGCAGACGGACATCGCCAAGACTTATCAGGCGTGTTATTCCAACGGTGTAAATAATGGTTTCGTCAGCCAGGAGATCAAAAATCGCGCCAACGGCAAAAACACCACAAGGCGTACTAGATTTATATTTATAGGTTAACCGAGCGATCAGTTTTTGCCCGCAATGGCGGCGGCAAAGTAACTTATTATTAAGTGCGCGGTGACTTTCTTAGCATTTAATACACACACACAAACACAACTAAATAAATAAAGAAAAAACAACATCAACAAAAGCGAACACACACAAAATATGTAACAGATAACTGCCATGCTGTTGTGGTCATCTTTTACACTCACACTTAGCGGGAGTTGAAATTTTTTACTACCGGTGATGTTAGAGTTGTGGTTATGTTACTGTGCGTGTGTCCAACTACAACTGATTTTCGGTTATTGCGCTCAATTTAGTTCTTTGCACGTCTGGTTCTCAGGGCTGAGGGGAGTTTGCAAGTCATTTTATTGTCGCGGGACGGAAGGCGTGGGTGGATTTTAACTGTTGTAGCTTAAGTCAAAACTTTGTACATTAACACACAGAAGAAACTACTTTTATGTATTATGTTTAGTTTTTAAACTAAGTTGAATTGTCGAAAGTCAAAAGCACTTCGATTAGATGATAAGAAAGGAAATCTCTATTTGTTATGTACTATTTTTTGTTGGGGTGCTTTTGATTATTTATTTTTTATGCGTAAGTGTATTTTATTCTACAATTCTTAAGAACAACAAATTCGGAGGGGAGGATTTAAAGAATTACTACTACTGTTGCGAAAAAGATGAATATTTATATATTTAACTGAAAAATTGATAAGATTATTAGTGTTTTGTTTCGATGTGAAGCCATCAGTGCCTACGAGCTGTTTAATGCCAAATGTTATGATTTCTTGTGTTGGCAAACCGTTCGTTGAAATAATTGCAAGCGACAAATCGACGCACAAATCATAGGAAAGTGGGGATGTAGTAATAAAACATAACGTGTAAACCTATTTTTGACCATTCGACATTGTGGTGCAGGTAGAGAAGCAGGTTTTGTTTGTTGTTTGTGTAAACATTGCGTTTTGTGCATCCGACGCTTCATTTCAAGCAATACTTCCACGTATGTAAGTGTGTCATGTATATTACGACGTTTTTAGACTTAAAATGTGTAAGAAAAAACTCGCTGTTGTGATCCCGCCTGCTAATTGAAGCGAAAATCCATTTTGTTGGTGCGCGCGTTGTACGCTTTTCTTAAGCAGTAGGTAATTACAGAAACTCTGATTGCGTCGTTTTCCGATTTGTAAAGTTTTGTTATCGATGTATTTTTATTATGAAAGGATGTAAATAGCATAGGGTTTAGTTTGTTATTCATTTTCTGCGAGACCACCGAATAATGCGAATTGAAATAATGAGTATTTTTGTAAAAATGCGCGGAATATACAGATTTATGACATTTTGAAAGTGGAACTTATAAGAGACAAATGCTATATCTATAAAAAAGAGAATTATTTAATGATCGAGAATTGAAATATTGAAATACGTCTATAAATTACAATAAAATTGCTTCTTATCAAACATACACCGCCATTTTTCAATGCGCAATGGGAATTAATCAATACATGTCGCTTAAAAACACGCACACAACATAAACAAGTCGGCTATGAAAACAAAAACACAAATTTGTGTTATTTTTCAATCAGCAATCAATTTTGACGCACTCCTAATAACAATACTCTTATAAATTGTGAAACAATGTGGGAAATATTTAACCACGCGATTCATCCATCTTTGCAAGTCTATTTAGGCCCACCAGGTAATTTATTTTCATGTTTTACTGATCATTATCAATTTTTGTATTTATTTCCATTACAGATCCACTCACTTCAAGTTGGTACTTGTTGGACACTCCATTGGCAATCCTAACAATACTTCCGTTGTACTTCATCACCATCTCCAACCTGAACAGGTTTATGACCGGACGTAAGGCATTGGAACTGCGTGGTATTCTGGTTGTGTACAACGTGTTGCAAGTGTTGTTATCGGCGTACATCTGTAAAGAAGTGCTGATGTCTGCTATTGCTGCAAGATATAACCTTGGTTGTACGCCGTTTAATACTTCAGGTCAAAATGGCGTCCGGGTATGTATTTATATAACTTTATATTATGTATCGAGCTGTATATGTACTAGCTTTTATTTTTGTAGATGGCGTCCGCGTTCTGGTTGTTTTACGTATCCAAGATGTTTGACTTGTTGGACACTGTATTCTTCGTACTGCGCAAGAAGGACAATCAAATTACGTTCCTTCATATGTATCATCATTCGTCAATGATTTTTAACTGGTATTTGGGGTTGTTGTACTCACCTGGTGGTCAAGCCTTCTTCAGTGTGTTGTTGAACTCGTTTGTGCATGTTATTATGTACACTTATTACATGCTAGCTGCGATTGGTCCAAGGGCAAGGAAATATTTATGGTGGAAAAGGTATCTTACACAGATTCAATTGGTAAGTTTATTTTTTACATTTATAAACTAAAGATTTCTTATTATTTATAATTTTATTATTCCACAGGCTCAATTCTTTTGTGTAAATATTCATCTGGCTGTTGGTTTGTACAACCGTTGTAAGGCGCCATTTTGGCTCAATTGCTTCACCATCACTTACGTCAGTACACTGGTTATCCTCTTCGCCAACTTCTACTACCAATCTTACAAGAAAGACCGAAATACAACGCCTGTCATAGAAGAAATCAGGGACAGAATTGATGTAAACGCAGGCGGTGATTACATTCACAACAAAATTTTGTAAAATTTATTATCGGTAAGTAAAGCACAAAAATATCATAAGTGTTGTGGTGTTGGTGCTTGTTAACAATTAATATTCAATCAAAGTTTCGATTGGTTGTGCATGATTTCCTGCCACCAAGTTGGCCGCGTCATATTATTCTTTCCGGTAAAGATGGCGCGTTGTAAATGTTGATAGACTTGTCCATCGGAATTGCCAAGCACCGAATTTAATAAATAATCGTGCGGGGCGATGACATCGACAAGTGCCACTGCATCGTCTTTAATGGCGGCCATGGCCCGAAGAATACTATCGTGTAATAGAGTACTATGCAAGTCGCTTACGAAATATGCGCCTTTATACAAGTGAGCGACGTGTTTTTCTAAATTAAACAACGCATATAGCGCAAAAACATTCTCCAACACTCGTTTTATTGCCACGTCGTTAGTGGATTCAATAAATACAAGAAATCTGTGCAGGAAATAATGCTGGAAGATAAAATTAAACAATTACTAACAAATTTAACAAACATGTAGTGGAAAATCGTGCTTACCTGTATATATACTAGTGTTAAGTCCTTAGCATAAAATATTTGATTGTCATTGCGCGCCCGGAAGGAGTCGCCATGTTGTTTAAGATTGTTTTGATATTTCTCTGCGGAGGACTTCAACAAATGGCAGATTAACCATTGATAAGTGTTTATTATCACATCGGGGCGCATCATTTCTTCTATACTTGTAACTTTGCACTTTAGGCTTAATATGGTTAATCCTTTGTTGAGAACGCTCACAGATTCATATGGGGAAGTTATGTGTTCCTTGTTCAATACCATCGGCCATAGTTTAAGCAGCCAGTTACTTGTCTGTTGTACAAGGACGTTGTTTTCTCCTTCGTATGTCATATTAACATCGTTATCATTACGGCAGTCACCTAATCGTGCTACTTTAAGATATCCGTGCCCGGCGCATGCCTCGCGACACTCCTGTAAGCCATCACGATGGAACCAAGACGAAAATGATTTACAGGCAGTTGAAATTGCATGAATCTCAATTCCGCGTTCGTGTTCATCAGGCCGGGGATTTCCGGAGACTATTTCGATTAAGGTGGCGGTGTTATCTGATGTTAAAAAGTATAATGCTACTTGATGCACGATGCAACCAGCTAGGTAGGGTAATAATCTATATTGCTATTGAAAAAAAGTTTAGTTTAGTAATATTATTTGATAGAAGTAATTGTTATGTTGTTATTAGTTACCTGTAGCTGATATTCTAGAATAGGTAACTCTTCGTTCGAGTCATCCGGTGAAAATTGTTTGCGTACAGCTGAATAACGCACGGCAATCGTGATTCCTTTGAGTAGAAACGCTAAACTGATCGAGGAGACATTCAATCGGTTTGATGTAATGGCATATAATGATGAACCAAAGCGTTTCTTTGGGTCTTTCATTTTTGGGATATAGACGCCATCATCGGTGACATCACAGTGTTTGTTTAAAAGTGCACTTTTTGGTACACGATAATTATCAAACATAATTACTCTAGAAGGTTTAAAACATTAAAAATTTGTTTATATTCTTTGTTAAAATGATATTACCCATTATCAATGCCATTCAAACCAATTTTATGCCCCATATCAGCAATTATTACTCCTGGTGAAGGCAAATGCGATTTAGTATCGCGAATTTCCACAACAAATTGATGAATTCCATGGCACACTTCATCTGATGTATATAGTTGAGCATACAACACTGCATGTGTAGCACATTGGCCTGCCATGCCACTCCAGCATTTTGCTGCTTCAAAATTTGGGGAATGAATTACAAAAGTCCTGGTTGTTTTATCATATGTAGCTCGGGTTTGCAGCATTTTTGTGTTGGATCCATGGCCGATTTCTGTCATGGCGAAACAACCTAAAAGCTAGTTAAATTTAAACATTATTTATGTTATTCTATAGAATATGGTTAGAGTTTAGCAATAGAATTACTTCATAGTTATCCGCCATGTGGGCGTAGTGTTGATGCTGCTCAGTGCCTAATGCGCGGATGACATTCGCAAATAAGCCGGTTTTGAGTCCTTCGCGTAATGTCACGCTGGGATTCCATTGAGTCATCGATTGCAGAGCGGCTGATAATTTCGGTGTGCCATCTAATGAATTAACGAGGTATAGTGCCTCGTATTTATCCAGGGATTTTTCTTTTAAAAGAGTATCACGTCGGATTTCATCTAGACTGAAGTCATCATCATGCGGATCAAATACTGGGTCACTTTGTAGGGCTTTTACTACTTCATTCTATGAAATTATTATTTCAGTCGCGATTTGGAATTAAAATTTTATTTTACCTTGAATATTATTATATCTTCCGTGTCCAGTAGGACTTTTAATTGTTTCCAATCAAACGATGCTTTCTTTCGGTATGCATCCAATGGCCCAGGTGGGAAATCATCCAATAACTCCATGTTTTTAAATTAATTTAAAACTTTTACCGTTAGATAAATTCTTTCACTCGTTGACTTTGTAGTTTGGCCTTTAGAGATGAACTGAAGTAGCAGAAGGTTACTTATTTAAATAAATCTATAGTAAATTCACTTATAAATTCAAATTATCACATATAAATGATAATGTGTGTATGTAGGCAATTTGATTTTACCTGCCGTCATCAGTTTGGCGGTGAACGACGCTGATTAATTGGAGTCGCACTAGTAAAACGCATGGATTAGGCCTAGAGTGGATGCCGGAATGAATGAATTGACTAGACTATAGATGGCTAGACGCAGATTAAACGGGTTTTTTCCAACAACGACCGCAATCTTATACTCACATTTCGCTGAGACACAAAATCGAATATTCGGTTCGTACCAGACTCCGAAAAGTGGCGGAAATTTACCGGCGTGTTGGAGTTGAACAGTCACGCCGGTCATGTTTCTTATCTGTTGTGTCATGAATAGCGAATTTAATGTGGCATTGCATAGTACATGTATCGTAATTAATATATTTCATCTGGATGGAGGATAAGTGTGGGTTTTTCATGTGTTTTGGATTTAAATTTGATGAGTAGTTTAGTAACACTTTGTTCTAACATTTAGTGAGTTGTTTTGCATGACTAAATGTGAATTTATAATGTTTACAGTCATAATTTTACTGTTTATATAATATATTATTTTTATTTATTGATTAAACTATGAGTAATTGCATAAATGTGCTGTGAAATGTAACGATTTCTTTTTAAGTTGTTTTAAATATTTTCATGTTCTACCGCCGTCTAGCTGTGAGTTATTGTAACTTGCATGCAAATTGCTATTCATTTAGATTGTGTGAAGCATGCACATTTGCAATTGCGTGAGCTCACACAGACACGACTGTTCCTGCTATTTACAGACGTGACAACTCACTGCTACAAAGAAAATTTTGCACTGCCACATACGAACATCACACTTCTTGAAACACTCTATACTGTATTATATTTTTGCGAAGTGTACATAGGTGGCGTAACGCTACGTTTTTTACCAAAATAATTGCTGTGCATTTTCTTTTACTTAATTTACTTTTTACAAAATCTACGAAGCAATATAGAATTCATTTACTAACTTAATTATTGATTTAATTTTTAATTAAATTTATGAGGTTATATATTAACAAGCATGAAATTACCTATTTACTAATTTTATGTCCTGTTTAATCACAGGATTAATTAAAATAAAGAAATTGTAAGTATAAGAATTTTAGTGTTTTATTTTTGTATTACAATAAATGGTTTTGAATATAATATTTTTAGATTTAATAAAATGTAAATAAAATATAGTGTTGAATTCGTCGTGTGCACAATTCACTTATCTTGGTTTGAATGTAAACAAACGAATTGCAAACAAGCAGAGAAGCGAGATGTGTAGTTTCTTTATCAGTGTCCTCGCGCAGCCGGTTTTATCGCTAGTTGTTGTTGATATCGCTGCGCCTCAGCCAGCTAGTCAGCGGAATGTGGTCAGTTTCGGTTTGCTTGGATGACGATCGCGTGCGTATTTCGCGGCTCTGTTCATTTAGTCTATGTGTTTTTATCGCACTGTTTAATATCGACCATTGATTATATTTCATTTGTTATTGGAGTGCAGGGGTGAATGAAATGCTACAGTCCGTCGGTATATTGCATTTTTGAGCGGTGTGTGTGTGTGTGTGTGTGTGTGTGTGTGTGTGTGTCTGTGGCGTTCTAACACCGTGATGTCTTTGGTTCTATTGTGCCGGATCGTTGGATTCATGGTTGTCGTCACTACTCGTCGCAGTTAATAAACAAATAAGTTTATTACTTATTTATAAAGGTAAGGCACAAATAAAATTATTTATTTAGTTAAAACTGTGCGATACGATCAACGGATTGATGATTCTTAGTCTGCGGTAAATTCTCCATTAGATAAAGTATGAAATTCAGAAACTATTCTTAAAACAACAACCTTATAATTTTTATGAATTTTCGAAACACGAGGTGGAAATTTGGCTATATTTCGGGAACCGTTCGTGCGATAATTTTTATTCTCTTTGTAAAGTTGTGTCGATGTTTATAACTGAAGTGAAACATTATATTATATTTTATTTTAGTGCACATCAGAAATGTTTCGATTTCTACTGTATAGGGTAAAAGAGGGTAATGGGGGTCACTTAAGGGAGAACTCAAATATAATTTAAATTATAAACAAAATACTTGTTGCAATCGCTTATAAGCATTGTTTACTTAAATACCTATTATTTGAAATAATTTTCAGTCACTTTGACAATCAATTTTGGATATTATTAAAGTTTAAAAAAAAAACAGATTTGACTCCCATTACACCGACATGCGGGTAATGGTGGTCACCCTGGGGACAATCGGAATCAAACGAAATCTAGCAGATATCGCAAACATAATATTCCGCAAAGTCCCACCCAGTGCATTTCACATGAGCCCATAGCCCAAATGAAGTGCTATGAACCACATTTAATTGTTTTTTTTAAATCGTTGCACATTAGACATCAGTTTTCCAAATCTTCATCCATCGCCCTGGCATAAGTCATCAGTGCCAATATAGGAATCATAAGTTTTGTTACTTTCCTGCAGTATCGTTTCTGCATGAAGGCTATTGAAAAATAAGTCACATTGCTTTTTATAGGCCATTTAGAGCGGACTAAAGACAAAAACGTCCATTGGGAGTCGCATGACTCCCATTGCCCACAATTGCACTATTGTGAAAAAAAAAACAAAAAAAATATTTCTTCAAAACATTAATGTAATCTGAACTGCACATCACGATTTTGAATGTTTAACTAAGACTATATAAAAGTTTCATTCGAATATTGCAAGATATTCGACACTTATCTTCTAATTTGCGTGGACGTAAAATTAGATCAGCGGAGCTCAAAAATAAAATATTGGCGTATCTCAATGATACACGCACCGATTTGCATGATTTTTTGGGGGTGGCACTGGGGGGCCAGAACGGAGGTAGGAACGCCGTTTACGCGGTACTCGTAACTATTGTTTCGTGGATATATGGGTGACTCCCATTACCCGCTGACTCCCATTACCCTACTCTCCCCTACGCATATCGGGGTTTGTGTATAAACAACTTTTTGTATCGCGATAAACGCGCCCAATGTTGCACTCACGCTACAAACGTTCGACCGCTTCAGTCTGTTCTTACCTGCACGCGGTTCGGCATCTTTCTTTTATTAATTTCCGCGCTCTATTGGATTATTTTGATGGTGAGAATTAGAATTAGAAACATGTAACCTAGGGATAGTTTTGAGTAAGTGTAATTAACGTTTGTCTTTGGCAGAATGTCGCTGGCATATTGTCGGTTAAAATAGTCTAGTCAAATTCTGATGATTTATTTCAATTATGAATATCTAGTAAAATAAAAGAGATAAATAGGTACAAATCGCAGAGATTATTCTACGGACTTTTCTCTATACGATAAGCTAGTTAAAGCCGAAATCTGAGAGATGAAATTTTCATTCTTAAGAAAAAAATTGCCAAGGGGGTGCTTGATTCTTTTTTTCGACGATTTTTGATAATTAATATCTCATAAACTAAAAGCAGTAGCAACCAACGAATTACTGATTATGATAGATTGGAAAATTCTCTATCAGATAAAAATATACAATAATTATATTTCCCACAGTAAAAGGTCGAAAAACGCAACTAAAAGTGCTAAAAAGTGACATTTTGCAAATTTTGACGATTTTTTTCAATCGCGAATATCTCGTAAACTAAAAGAGATAAATAAGATCTGATCGCAGCGTTTTAATCTATGAACTATTCTCTATAAGATAGGATAGTTAAAACGGAAATCTGAGAGATGAAATTTTCATTCTTAAGAAAAAAATTGCCAAGGGGGGGTGCTTGATTCTTTTTTTCGACGATTTTTGATAATTAATATCTCATAAACTAAAAGCAGTAGCAACCAACGAATTACTGATTATGATAGATTGGAAAATTCTCTATCAGATAAAAATATAAAATAATTATATTTCCCACAGTAAAAGGTCAAAAAACGCGACTGAAAGTGCTAAAAAGTGACATTTTGCAATTTTTGCCCATTTTTTTCAATCGCGAATATCTCGTAAACTAAAAGAGATAATTAAGATCTGATCGCAGCATCTTAATCTACGGACTATTTTCTATAAGATAGGATAGTTAAAACGGAAATCTGAGAGATGAAATTTTCATTCTTAAGAAAAAAATTGCCAAGGGGGGGTGCTTGATTCTTTTTTTCGACGATTTTTGATAATTAATATCTCATAAACTAAAAGCAGTAGCAACCAACGAATTACTGATTATGATAGATTGGAAAATTCTCTATCAGATAAAAATATAAAATAATTATATTTCCCACAGTAAAAGGTCGAAAAACGCAACTAAAAGTGCTAAAAAGTGACATTTTGCAAATTTTGACGATATTTTCAATCGCGAATATCTCGTAAACTAAAAGAGATAAATAAGATCTGATCGCAGCGTTTTAATCTACGAACTATCCTCTATTAAATAGGCTAGTTAAAACGGAAATCTGAGAGATGAAATTTTCATTCTTAAGAAAAAATTGCTAAGGGGGGGTGCTTGATACTATTTTTCGACGATTTTTGATAATTAATATATCTGAAACTAAAAGCGATAGCTACCAACGAATTGATGATTATGAAAGATTAGTAAATTCTCTATCAGATAAAAATATAAAATAATTATATTTCCCACAGTAAAAGGTCAAAAAACGCGACTGAAAGTGCTAAAAAGTGACATTTTGCAATTTTTGCCCATTTTTTTTCAATCGCGAATATCTCGTAAATTAAAAGAGATAAATAGGAACGAATCTCAGTGTCTTAGTCTACGGAAAATTCGCTATAAGATACGATAGTTGAATAGGATATCTAAGAGGTGAAATTTTAATTTATAAGAAAAAATGTGAAAGAGGGTGGGGGTGCTTAATTATTTATTTCCACGTTTTTCGAAATGCTCCGCGTAATATTCTCGTCTATCGTTGCGCTGTCGCACATTTTAGTTTAGTTTAGTTTCATTTCATATAGCTGGTATCGCGTCTATTGTAAATCGTGAACAAGGTCACGTGCCATTTCCTGCTTTGCGCATCTATTACAATTCGCCCACAGAATGTTTGTTTTTCTCTAATGTGTGAATATATTATATATTATTATGGTGTACCATAGAATATAAATTAAAGAAATATTGCAATCTGATAGGCATTGTCAAATTGCTTATGACTGGCATTTTCATGCAATATCAACTTTGTTGCATATTTGATAAAATGTGTTTTAAATTTAAACCTGCCATTACTAGATAGTCGGTTTGATGGCACTACGATGCACGTTTTCGCGTTAAATATTGCTTGTTGGTGGTAGTGAGTGCACATCGTGTCCGTGTGGATCACGCGATTTTGGGCAAGAGATAAGTTTGTTTACCTGCAGGTATCGAATTTTTATTTCGTGGATTCAAAACACATCGTTGCTGTTGCTGTTCTTTCATGAATATAACTAACAATTATATATTAATTTTCTAATAGTTTATTATAAAAATCATCAACAATGCAAAACATTTTTATTATCAGCAGATCACTTAAGCAGATATCACTTAAATATTTTATATAAAATCTTGCACTCTGTCAGCAGAAGAAATCAGAATTAAACAAATCGAATTTTATTTTTTCATTACTTTTTAATAATCTAAATTTTGAAACTACTGTATCATTCATAGATGGCCCTAGCATGACCCAAAAATCGTAAAATAGATTTGTATTGTTTATTTCTATATTTATCGGCAAGCGTGAGCATTCGACACGAGAATTGTGTTTGTTTTGAACACAATTCACACTTTCTTATCGCATTGCCGTTTCCCCTCGTTGCCATCTCCTCACGCCGCATGTTGCTGCATCATATTTTAGTTTTGATTGCAGGTAATAAGTAACTTTCACGTAAACAGCATAGATGTTTATTTTTCTCTGCTGTTTGAATATAATATTACATGAATATAAAGCTTTATTTTCTTATTTATAGTATTTGCCGTGCCTTGGAGTCCGATGTGATCTGCATTGGTAAGTTTATAATTCAATTATATTTTTCATTTTAATTCCTGCGTCTTACCAAAGTTTGTATTTACGTAGTTGCGCTTCAATCCGCTCTTTTGTATCTCTTTTATTTTCGAGATATTCACAATCGGAGAAAACTTTAAAATAATGAAAAAGTTCATTTTTTTGCACTTTTAGACACGATTTCAGAACCTTTACACATCACATATTTTAATTATTTTCTTATCTTATCGAGAATTTTCCAAACTTTCATAATCTTCGATCGGCTGGTCGCTAGCGCTTTTAGTTTAACAGATATTTCCTAAATCCTCAATAAGCAGGGTACCGCACTTCCCCTTGCCCATTTTTTTGCATTGGGAGTTACTTCTAATGCCCTCTTACGGTGCCCTAAACACGAGTCACTTTTATCGCTAGCCTCGTACGGTGCCCTGAACATGAGTCACTTTTACCGCTACCCTCGTACGGTGCCCTGAACACGAGTCACTTTTACCGCTACCCTCGTACGGTGCCCTGAGCACGAGTCACTTACCGCTAGCCTCGTAGGGTGCTCTGAATGGGAGTCACTTCTACCGGTACCCTTTTTAAATTATTTTTTCGTTTCTTAGATTTCAATTTAACATGTCGTGGTCTTAAACTAAGTATTTCCCTGTATCGAAATTTATTGCGAGAAAATTCCCTAACGCGAGTTATAGTGATAGTTGTGTGTATACGCATATACGCAATAGTACTCGTAGCGCTAGGAATTGTACTTTCTTAATATTATAACACGCGAACGCGGTCTTAAACTAGGTTCGGATTAATTCTCCCAGAAGCAGAATTTAATTCTTAATCTCCCTGTATTGGAATTTATTGCGAGAAAATTCCGTAACGCGAGTTATAGTGATAGTTGTGTGTATACGCATATACGCAATAGTACTCGTAGCGCTAGGAATTGTACTTTCTTAATATTATAACACGCGAACGCGGTCTTAAACTAGGTTCGGATTAATTCTCCCAGAAGCAGAATTTAATTCTTAATCTCCCTGTATGGAAATATAGTGCGAGAAAATTCCGTAACGCGAGTTATAGTGATAGTTGTGTGTATACGCATATACGCAATAGTACTCGTAGCGCTAGGAATTGTACTTTCTTAATATTATAACACGCGAACGCGGTCTTAAACTAGGTTCGGATTAATTCTCCCAGAAGCAGAATTTAATTCTTAATCTCCCTGTATTGGAATTTATTGCGAGAAAATTCCGTAACGCGAGTTATAGTGATAGTTGTGTGTATACGCATATACGCAATAGTACTCGTAGCGCTAGGAATTGTACTTTCTTAATATTATAACACGCGAACGCGGTCTTAAACTAGGATTGGATTAATTCTACCAGAAGCAGAATTTAATTCTTAATCTCCCTGTATAGAGATTTATTGCGAGAAAATTCCGTAACGCGAGTTATAGCGATAGTTGTGTGTATACGCATATACGCAATAATACTCGTAGCGCTAGGAATTGTACTTTCTTAATATTATAACACGCGAACGCGGTCTTAAACTAGGTTTGGATTAATTCTCCCAGAAGCAGAATTTAATTCTTAATCTCCTGTATTGGAATTTATTGCGAGAAAATTCCGTAACGCGAGTTATAGTGATAGTTGTGTGTATACGCATATACGCAATAGTACTCGTAGCGCTAGGAATTGTACTTTCTTAATATTATAACACGCGAACGCGGTCTTAAACTAGGTTTGGATTAATTCTCCCAGAAGCAGAATTTAATTCTTAATCTCCCTGTATTGGAATTTATTGCGAGAAAATTCCGTAACGCGAGTTATAGTGATAGTTGTGTGTATACGCATATACGCAATAGTACTCGTAGCGCTAGGAATTGTACTTTCTTAATATTATAACACGCGAACGCGGTCTTAAACTAGGTTTGGATTAATTCTCCCAGAAGCAGAATTTAATTCTTAATCTCCCTGTATTGGAATTTATTGCGAGAAAATTCCGTAACGCGAGTTATAGTGATAGTTGTGTGTATACGCATATACGCAATAGTACTCGTAGCGCTAGGAATTGTACTTTCTTAATATTATAACACGCGAACGCGGTCTTAAACTAGGTTTGGATTAATTCTCCCAGAAGCAGAATTTAATTCTTAATCTCCCTGTATGGGAATTTATTGCGAGAAAATTCCGTAACGCGAGTTATAGTGATAGTTGTGTGTATACGCATATACGCAATAGTACTCGTAGCGCTAGGAATTGTACTTTCTTAATATTATAACACGCGAACGCGGTCTTAAACTAGGTTTGGATTAATTCTCCCAGAAGCAGAATTTAATTCTTAATCTCCCTGTATGGAAATATAGTGCGAGAAAATTCCGTAACGCGAGTTATAGTGATAGTTGTGTGTATACGCATATACGCAATAGTACTCGTAGCGCTAGGAATTGTACTTTCTTAATATTATAACACGCGAACGCGGTCTTAAACTAGGTTTGGATTAATTCTCCCAGAAGCAGAATTTAATTCTTAATCTCCCTGTATTGGAATTTATTGCGAGAAAATTCCGTAACGCGAGTTATAGTGATAGTTGTGTGTATACGCATATACGCAATAGTACTCGTAGCGCTAGGAATTGTACTTTCTTAATATTATAACACGCGAACGCGGTCTTAAACTAGGTTTGGATTAATTCTCCCAGAAGCAGAATTTAATTCTTAATCTCCCTGTATGGAAATATAGTGCGAGAAAATTCCGTAACGCGAGTTATAGTGATAGTTGTGTGTATACGCATATACGCAATAGTACTCGTAGCGCTAGGAATTGTACTTTCTTAATATTATAACACGCGAACGCGGTCTTAAACTAGGTTTGGATTAATTCTCCCAGAAGCAGAATTTAATTCTTAATCTCCCTGTATGGAAATATAGTGCGAGAAAATTCCGTAACGCGAGTTATAGCGATAGTTGTGTGTATACGCATATACGCAATAATACTCGTAGCGCTAGGAATTGTACTTTCTTAATATTATAACACGCGAACGCGGTCTTAAACTAGGTTTGGATTAATTCTCCCAGAAGCAGAATTTAATTCTTAATCTCCCTGTATTGGAATTTATTGCGAGAAAATTCCGTAACGCGAGTTATAGTGATAGTTGTGTGTATACGCATATTCGCAATAGTACTCGTAGCGCTAGGAATTGTACTTTCTTAATATTATAACACGCGAACGCGGTCTTAAACTAGGTTTGGATTAATTCTCCCAGAAGCAGAATTTAATTCTTAATCCCCTTGTATCGGAATTTATTGCGAGAAAATTCCGTAACGCGAGTTATAGTGGTAGTTGTGTGTATACGCATATTCGCAATAGTACTCGTAGCGCTTGGAATTGCACTTTCTTAATATTATAACACGCGAACGCGGTCTTAAACTAGGTTTGGATTAATTCTCCCAGAAGCAGAATTTAATTCTTAATCCCCTTGTATCGGAATTTATTGCGAGAAAATTCCGTAACGCGAGTTATAGTGATAGTTGTGTGTATACGCATATACGCAATAGTACTCGTAGTTTCGTTAGTATAACGCGCGAACCGAATGCTGAAATTAACAACTAATGTAATGAATTATTATATTTTATTTTATTTTAGTGCACTTCCAAAATGTGCTATTTCAATTCTACACGCATATCGGGGTTTGTGTATAAACAAGTTTTTATCTCGCTATAAACGTGCGCAATGCTGCCTCTCATGCTACGATCGTTCGACCGCTTCAGTCTGTTCTTACCTGCACGCGGCTCGGCATCATTCTTTCATTCATTCCGATTACATTACATTGTTGACATGTTGATTGTTTTGTGTAATTAACGACTGTCTTTGGCAGGATATTCCGGGAAAATTGTGTGTTAAAATAGTACAGGTTCATTATCCCTCAAAACAAATTTAAATAAGTGTGCATCATAGTGCGAGTTCTCACACGCGTGTTGTTTTTTTGTTTCAGTACTTTCTATGATTACCTGATGCACTGGTAAGTTTGTAAACGTTATTACATTATACTTTCATATTTATCTAAAATTGCATGTAACGTGAATACCGTAACAACACAAAATTGATGCGTGCCGTCGGATGCGACTTGGATCTACCCGCAGAGTATGGTCATGTCAATCATCGGTTTAATAACGTGAAATTTTCCTTGCTTGCATTTTTATTTTTATTTCATAAATCTGCCGGCTCTTTAACGTATTTTCGTAGTTTGGCAATTAATTATTGAGAGTAATATATTTGTAAAATATTTGTAATATATTTGTAAAATGTAGCAATTTTCTTCTTGTATCACCCTATGTTCTACTTTACCTTGCGTTCTAGTGTAAAACTGACTAAATTTGTCGTTTCTGGGTCGTTTTCTACTTAAACTTTGTATTTTATTTTTAAATTTAGGAATTTCCTGTTTGTATCACCCTGTATGTTTGTTTTTCTTGATTTCCTATTAAAAGTTTTCTAAATTTGTATTTAGACTATTTTCTTTTTTGTACACTTGATTTTCTTTTTGTGATGTACTTTTGTTGTATATTTTCTTGTTGTCCGTGAAAATTTAGAGTTGTTGTTTTAGGTTGCACTTTGAATTTTCTATTTGTAACACCCTGTATATTTGTTCCCATTTTCACTCACGCAGAAAATGGTCTATTTCCTAATTTCTTTATCCCGGTAGTACTTTGCGAAGTGTAACTTGCTTGCATGTGCGCGGCTATGCAGGTCGTAAGTCCTGTTTCAATATGGCGACATGTATTCTGTTGACTTGTAAAATATATACTTGTATTCTATTGTTAATAAATGAATAGTAAGAGATATTGACTTCTTTGATTTGTGTACCTCTTCTATCATATCAGGAACAGGTCTCTAAGAGAGTTCCCTCTCTCAGGGGATGATCCCCACTATAAAAATTGTTAAGGTATCCTGTGTGATTTGTGCGCTCCTTCTTTCATTTCAGCTACAAGCCAGAACTGGTAAGAATATTTTTAAGTGTCACCTCTCTTGAGGCGACTTAAAACTTAGAAATATTTTTACAAGACCTTATAAGGATTGTCCTTATAAGGAGTTCCCTCTCTCTGGGGGTGATCCCCCACCATAAAAATTGTTGATATGCCTGATAATTTCGGGGATGAAGCGCAGAGACATCGTAGCTGTAGGTTGGGCCGGGAGCAATGGAGGCATCGAAGCAGTGGGCGATCGCCCAGAGCGCCTCCGGCGCTCTGGTCGATCGACCTGTGACTGTCTTATAACGACACGTGCCAAAAAATTTAAAAATCTCATCCACTCCTGTTCTCTTTCTTCTATCTTCTCCTCTTCTCCTCTTCTCTACTCTTTCTTCTACCTTCTCTTCTCTACTACTCCTTCTTCTTCTTCTTCTTCTTCTATTTCTCTGTTCTCCGTTTCTCTACTTACTTTCTTACTTTTCTTATTGCCTTCACTTGTATTTCAATTTCTCTTTTATTTCGTTGCAATTTATATATGCAACCCAAATTTCACCTGTTATTTTTATATTTGAGAAAAATGCCTTCTTCACCTGAGATTCGATCCGTGTCTACTAGCATGCTAGCAGGTGCACGTACCCACTCGACCACCGAGTGTTTTTATTATTAATATTTGATTCTTCTATTTATGTATCTACTTCATTCAACTTTTAAAAACAACAACACAACTCAACTATGTTGCACTAGCTCCACGTGCATTAGATTTATATGCAACATGACTTAAGACGTCAATACTGAAAACGACAAAGAGGATACCAGAATGAAATATACATGAGACTATAATTTCACATTGTGTTTTATTCAGAACCATAATAATATATACAATTTTTAAAATTGTTAGAAATACTTTGCTCATACATGAGGCACCATCTATTAGATGATTTAAGTGATTGGTGGACCTCCGGAGCAGTGGCTTACGCTGAGATACACTTACTCTTGTATATAGCTCTGCACTGTTCACACGTACGTTTATACGCTCTGTGTTTGAATTTGAATAAAGCTGCAACTACATAGTTAGAAGTATATATAATCACCAGTGTTATATTGTTACTTAAATAGTCATCCTTCCTATATATTCCACAACTTTTAAAATAGTCCTTCAAAAATAAATAAACATATCGACAGCTAGCAAATTTGGGAGTAGTAAAAACTTGCCTTACAATACGCGCGTCTCCAACACTTTACCTATAGATATTGCTAACTCCATTCGTGCACTCACAAACATTCTGTCTGAGCATCAAAGTTGTCTATTTGCAAGAATTAATTATAAGTTCAAGTTATTCTTATGTGCGAAACGATAACTGATTGCCAACGGACACGCGCGCATAGGTAAACCAAAAATTAATCCACGATTGCTAAAAACAGCACCGTGCATACTTATCCGACGGCCACCACGCACGTCCCACAAATAACTACCACACTGGTGTGTTATTACTAAATGTCGACCTATTCTAATTCAATCACAGAATTAAAATCTTTAGTGCCGCTAACAATTGTTACGATGTTTGAGTAATGAACAAAGCACGTGCACACCACACCACGGCGCACGAACGACTAAGCCGGACTAAACAAGAACGAGAATTGATAACCGACCCACAGTTGGAGAGGCAACAATCTATGTTCGTAGGTTAAAAACAACAACGCGACTGGCAATATTATGGTACTCAAATTATCTACTCTAAATACCAAAGTATATGATTTGAAGTAATTAAATTACCGTAATATTATTTTAATTTTGTAGGTTTCCCGAGGGTTAAACACACAAACCCACAAGTTATAAACGAAAATGATAGAGAATTTTAGTACCTACAATATGGTGGAAGAACGGTTGTCCTACGACATCAGGTTCGGCCGCTAGACACCTAAAACAGCAAAAATTAGATAAACAAAAACACAAAAAGGGCAATTTCCTAGATTTCCCAAAGGATAAATCTACAAGTTATATACGAAAATGATAGAGAATTTTAGTACCTACCATCTGGTGAAAGAACGGTTATCCTACGACATCAGGTTCGGCCGCTAGACACCTAAAACAGCAAAAATGAGACACACAAAAACACAAAAAGGGCTTTTCGTAGGTTTCCCAAAATATAAACCCACAAGTTATATACGAAAATGATAAGGAATTTTAATACCTACAATTTGGTGAAAGGATGATTGTCCTACAATATTCGGTTGAACAGTCGCATTGAATCGATATAGGTACCCTAAAAACATACCAAAATTAGTTCCACGAGGCACAAAAGGACATTCGATTACAATTAGAAATTGACTTGACGAATTTAAAAGGCACCGGAAGTCACATAACTGAAAGATACTGACGTTGCCAAACATCACATCTGTTTAAAAACCATAAACGAATTAATTCTATTTCAAAGTAATGACTAAGACTAACCGAAATCTAAAAAGATTGCAGCAAGCACGTTCAAATCTAAATATACATTTTGAATAATTATCTATCGTCAAATACTTGAAACTTGAAAACTTTCACCTTTAAAATACACATATAACCTACAAGAATTCCATGAAAATATTACATACCAATAGTTGCTGGCATAGAATCAAGAAACTTGTAGAAGACAATGTAGAAAAGTACACATTCTAATAACACAGTATTCCGTTCTCGAATTAAAAGTATTAAGTAACTCCACAATATGTTTAAATTCATCACCTGTGCAATACTCTCAGCTGTCCTTTCCAACATTGTGTTTGATTTACCTGCAGTTCAAGAATACACAAACATTATACAGCAATATGCAGTGAAAACATATTTTAATTTACCTGCAGAGAATACACCACACCTTCTGACTGCAGAAGAGCTCGCCACGTACAATGGCGAAGACGGCAAGCCACTGTATTTATCAATAATTGGTCAGGTGTATGATGTGACAAAAGGTGCTAGATTCTATGGCAAAGGAGAAACATATCACGTCTTTGTAGGTAAGTAAACACAGACTGCACAAGCACAAGTAACACAATGAAATAACCTTAACTTGTTTGTTTAGGAAGAGATAACTCCAGGAGTTTTGTCAGTGGTAACCTTGAGGAGGCTGATATCTCAGACAATGTTATTCCAATGACACAGGCAGAGTTCAGGTCTTTGAATCATTGGGCACAGTTTTACAAGAAGGAATATACTAAAATAGGTTGGTACAAAAACCTATTAACATTAATTTTATAATATTTTGCTTAAAATTAAAGGAAAATTGATTGGGAGATACTACAACTCAAATGGAAAACTTACTCCTTATGGAAGAGAAGTGAAACTGTTGATAAAAGAAGCTGAATTGGCGCAGGCAGATGAAAACGCAGAGAAATTAAAGTTTCCACCGTGTAACATCGAATGGGACCCGCAGAGTGGCACAAGAGTTTGGTGCACAAGCAAAAGGTAACTAAAATTATTTACAATTTTAATAAATTACTAATAATGTTTACCATTTTACTTTTACCTTCAGTGGTGGAATTGAACGTGACTGGGTTGGTGTCCCACGAGAGTTGTACGTCGCCGGCAGTGAAAAGCGATGCGCTTGTATCCACGAAGGTAATAAAAACCTCGGGAATATTAAAGAATATCCCGGGTGCAGTCCGGACGCCGTCAGTTGTCAAATATCAAATGAATAATAAAAATTTACAATATTTTACAAAGTTTTTTACACAAAATAAAAGCATTTTGGAATAAATTTCGTTATCATTGTTATTGTAGCGGTAATGTTTGACTCCTTACAAGTAAATCTTTCATCATATTGCATATTCCTGTAAAGGACAGTCGACTTTTATGTCCTCATAATGAAATATTCATGAACATAACCATAACAATAACAACAGACCACGAAATTATCGATCAGCGCAATGCGTTATCGGCGTTCATTTGTCATTTTAACCATAATGCAATAAAAAACAAGTCATTACGATCAATGACGTTTTTATAACAATACATCCGTAGGCGAATAATAAAATCATATCATTGATTCACCAAATCCGCCATTTTGTTTAGTTTTTCTACAAATAATTTATTTGTTGGCTGTATTAAATTCTCATTCAATATTTACAAATGTAAACATAATATGCATCAATGTGTTTTTTTTTATAACCAAAGAAATGACAGTATTGGTTGTTATGATTTGCGCCGGCCGCGCGCCGTTGTTTTCCAGGACTCGTGCGTGTAAAATTCGTCCCCATCATCATCATCATCGGCCGTGATTAGCTTTTGTTTTGTGTTTTAGGTTTTATACGAAGACGCGGTTATCTTAATAACAAAAATCAGTCAAAATAAACAATACACACTAACCAAAAAAACTTCACACGGTAAGATATAAAAAGTCTTTTCTCCTTCATGTGTTTACCCCACTTTCTCTTAACAAACTGCTGGCGGTGATGACTTCTTACAACTCGTCGTGATTCTGAAATGTTAAAAAATTTAATTAAAATTTATTTAAAATTAATTTTTAAATGTTTTATTACCTCAATCACTGGTTTCTCATCATCTTCATCATCCTCGTCCTCATCCTCATCATCATCCTCCTTCTTTTCTTCCTCAGTGGCAGCAGCATCGCGCTCAGCCTTATCCTGCTCCTCCTTCATCTTCTTCTCGCCATCCTGACGCGCTTTGAGTCCAGACAGAGCCTCTTTGGCGTAGGCAACATCATCAGTGATGAGGATATCATCGAAAATGGTTCCGGACTTAACCTGCCAGAGATCCAGACCAATTCCGCAGATCTCATCGTGTTTATACAGCTCACTATCGGGAGAATATTCGGGATTATCAATTTCCGGATGCACCCATGCGCCCTTGTACGCTGGGTTATCAATCTGCTTCGGTGCCCATTCTCCTTTGTATTCTGGGTTGTCGATCTGTGGGGGTTCCCATTCACCGTCCATCTCATCATCCCAATCTTCGGGTTTCTTAGCCTCTGGGTCTGGGATGTGTTCTGGTTTATCCCAGTCTTCTGGTTTGGAATCATCTGGATCCGGAATGGTTGCACGGTCATCCCAATCTTCAGGTTTCTTCGCTTCGGGATCCTTAATCTTCTTGGGCGGGAGCATATCCCAATCGGCTTCTAAATCTCCGCTCTCGACCTTCTCGCCATCGATTTGCACCTCATAGGTGTTATCCGGACGGACAATGAGTGTGTACACATGCGAGAAGACATCATCCTTGCAACGGATGTCTTTGTTGATGAGATGATTCTTTTCCTTGTAGTTGAGGATGACGTGGACTTTCTTGGTGCCGGGTCCGCAGATATCCGGGCCGAACATGAGCCTGTACGGTGACTCGCCGTGCATCTCCTCGGGTTTCAGCGAGCAGTCGAAGACTTTCACGTAGCCGCCGCCGCAGTCGATGTTCTGCTCGTGTTTGACGGTGAATTGGACAACGAGGTCTTTGCCCTCGGTGGCGAACGACTTAAACTTTCTGCTGAGGGCGTAGAAGCGCGCATCTTGCGACGTCTGCAGACCTTTGTCGGCTTCCTCATCGTTGAAGAACTTGCCGGCGGTGAGGACGAATTTTCCGAACTCTTTTCCGGGCGCTTTGCTGTATACCCAATTCTTTTCCCACGTATCTAAGGAAATCAAGATTTGTGGTTGAAAAAACGTGTAAAAATAGTGATTACGCAAGTTCATTCAGAGATTTTCAATATGCTACGGCGAATGTTCGAGAATATCTCCGAGAAAGTAAATGTAATGACGCGGCAGAAGCGAGAGCCGGTTAATTGACACGTTGAACATGTCGGCACCAAGCTATGCACGCCTCATGATAAAATGCCGGTGTTTATAGAGATTTCTAGAATTATTTACTCACCATCAGCGAATTTCTCCTCTAGGAACACCTCGGCGGTGGCTAAACACGCCAGGCTCACGAGAGCCGCTAATACAACACACGACTTCATTGCAATTCACCGACTTGCTTCAACAAACGCTGCCCGAATGCACACGACGCAATGACACGACCCGCACGCGAATGCCGGAAAATAAAGCCTTTCCCATATCAAATATACCAAAATCGTGCAAGCTACGACGTGACTTGTATATTCTATCCTTTACTTTTGATATTAATCAAACAGAGAAAAGTGATTGTCGTAGTTACATTAGCATAACACCGACAGATGGAACACTGCCATTGGTCGACGTGCCCAGTTGCTCCTAACGAGCGGACGTCCACCGTCCCTCCTTCTCTTTCCAACGCATTATAAAAATAATAAGTGCAAGTGAAAAGAGGATAAACTCACAGCGCGCAGTTACACATCAAGTGTACAGTTGTAGAACACTGATTGGTCGAAATGCAAAGAATCCTCGTGGCGCGTAAGTATGACAGTTTGAATTCGATAGCAAAAAGCACAGCAAATTGATGATAACAAACACGTTTTGAGATAACTAAATCAGCAGTGATTAGAGAACTGCTTAAGTATTAATACAATCATGTATTACATGAATGCCTGTAGCGAATTTAGAAAACTCATGAATAATCACTATTAAATCGACTTTCAATGGCGGATTAAGACCTTGACGCGCATTTGACATTGCATTTCGTAAATAATTGCACTGGTTGGCAAATTACGTCTGCAATCGATAACGACAGTAAATTGCAATTACTTCATTATCATTAAAGACAGTTAATGCAGATTTCAGTCGGGGGATTACGCAGTAGAAACGATCGTTAAGCTGTTGCTTCGAATGTTTTGTTCGGCGACGCAGAACTAAGCTATGCGAAAAGAAAGCGCAACTTCACTGTGCATACATAGGTGTATGTTGGGTTGCCTACCTTACATTCACAATCTCTTCATAAAAATAAACACATTTCACCTCTAAAATCTCATAAATATTTCATATCAGTCAAATAAATTATTAGAATAATGACTGATAATTGACCTATAACCGTCCGGAAAATATTCCAGAACCTGTTCGACTTTAATCGATTATTTTGCGCCTCAAATCAACGAAAAAAAAAAACACAAATCACGAGTCCTACTAGAAAAGTAAATATCACAACTTCATTCACTCGTCAATGATATGATAATATTCGACACGATACAAACAAGTGCTCGAAACAGCATCATCACCTCGTTTAATTGGCTAGAAACCGACAAGGTGGGCAAGCTGCGCATCTAGCATTAGTCTGCGTTCAGCTTTGTACTTATTCTGTGTGCGTTTTTTAGTAAGACTCGACCAGTCAGACTAGATTTACCGTTAGACGCAACGTGTGCGCTGCAAGAAGCGCAAGAATAACATTAACAACTCATAAACTTGTTGTCCAACACAAAAAACAATAAAATAAAAGTTTAAAACAATTGTTTAAGTGTGTAATTGTTACTTTTGTATTCAAATTCATCATGGGGAGTATATGTTCGGCAACCTGCAGATCAACTGCGCGTCTTGATGGCAAAACGGCCGTCATCACCGGATGCAACACCGGAATCGGCAAGGAATGCACCAAAGATTTCTACATCCGAGGTATTTATCAGTTTTTATACAATATTTCATTATTATAAAGATGTAGAAATGAGTATTTTATTGATTTCTCATTTGTTTAATGTTTTATTTGTTTGTAATGTCCTTGCGTGTATATTGGGTTGCGTAACTTTTTGGGTGTGTTTGAATATTATAGGCGCAAAAGTAATTATGGCGTGTCGAAGCCTCGACAAGGCTTCCGAGGCGATAGATGACATTAAAGTTCAATGCAAGGATGTTCCTAATCTTGGGTCTTTGCAAGCTGTTAAGTTGGATTTGACAAGTTTGAAATCTGTGCGTGAATGCGCTGATTCTCTGCTTAAAAGTGAAGAGAAAATCGACATTTTGTTGAATAATGCTGGTATTATGGCTTGTCCGCTGTACAGGACTGAAGATGGCTTTGAAATGCAATTTGGTACTAATCATCTTGGGCATTTCTTGTTTACTATGCTCTTGATGCCGAAAATACTGGCGAGCGATTATAACCCGGCGAGAATTGTTAATGTTTCATCAACTGCGCATACTAGTAAGTATTTGTTATACCACCATGTTTTATAAAATAATAATTTATAATATTTAAGGTGGTGAAATGGATTTCAACGACTTAAACTACAACACTAAGAATTACAGCGCTGTTGGAGCGTATGGGCAAAGTAAACTGGCGAATATTTTATTCACCACTGAATTGGCACGTCGCCTGGAAGGTATGCAACCAAACATACATATAACCTCAACTAATTTCAATTTTCCGCAGCCGCTGATATAAAAAATGTGCATACGTACACTCTGCATCCCGGTGTGATCCATTCCGACCTTGGCAGACATCTTTCCGATAGTTTCAACGTCTTCATCACTGTTCCATTCAAACTCTACGCGAAGGTATTCGCGAAGAGTGTGGTGCAAGGCGCGCAGACTAGTATCCATTGCTGTGTTGCGGAAGAAGCCGCTAATGAAACGGCTAAATATTACAAGGAATGTGCGCCGGCGCGTTACTCCACCAATGCCGGAAAACCGAAGATGCGAAACGTCTGTGGGAGGAATCCTTGATTTTGACTGGTCTCGGCGCTGATTTCAATCCGTTCAAACAGCAAGCGCCTTAAATTATTACTTAAGTTTAAGTTTTTAAGTTATATAAGATATGATATTCAATTATTATTTAAATTTGAATTTTTGGTGTTTTTGGTATATGCACGTGTTTTTGTAAATGCAATTGTGAGTTTTAATCATACCTGCCACTATCACACACTGGATGTAATATTTGAAGATCTAATGCAACACAATCAACGTCTTTGTGTTGATAAACAATGTGTTTCAATGCATGTCGTTTTCTTCTGTGTTCTTCTCGGCGATGGTTAAACAACTCGCGACGATTGGCGAATTTCCACGAACAATCACGACATTGAAATACGTCTAATTTTCTATTAGCTACCTCAATAATTAACTCGTCAAACTGTGTGTAATAGATGATTGTTCACTTGATTGTTGTTGAACTCTCACACTCACAGGTTGAAGATTTTGATCAATTTGAAATTGATTGTGTGATGTTTTATAACTAACAACTTCTTCATGAATTGATGTACATATGGCTGCATAATCAACAGGTGTTACGCAATTTCACTCGCATCTTAATTATTACTTTCTGTTAACTATCTCAGGATGTAGTCATTTCGATGACATATTGTTTAACAACACGTTTAACAACAACAAGAAAACGTTAGAAACTGAGGTTAAATCAATGTACATAAAGCATGTTTCAAAACACAGCAGCGCCACTATAACAAGTTTTTTGCTTTGTATTCTTAAAATAATTCAAGAATTTAAAAACCACTATGCGCAAACGATGAAGATTTAATTTGTTTTTGATATAGTATATATACCAATGCTGTGCATTTAGTAGTTTCTTAGATATTTCAATTTAAATGAAAACAGATGTTTGTATTTTATTACTGCAAGCGCAGCGCCATCTACGAAATATTTGAAAACTACGCATATTTGTACTGCAGTTATACTTTTATCGGCACTGCAATTTTTAAGAACATTTTATTTGTGAAACTATACAAAAGCACTTTATTATCATTAAGTACTCTTAACATTTTGTATAATAAACATAAATTTATGCAGTAATAAAGTTATCTCTAATAAAGTTACTCGTTACTTCAACAATTTGTCTTTTTTTAACCTTTTTCATCAACTTTATCAATTCATATAGAAAACTAAGAAGTAAATGTGTTGTTGTGTATGATAATATCAATTTCTCGAATTGTAATTACAAAGTAACCGTTACTGGCACAAATATGTTGCGTAGATAAAGTAATATAAAGACTAACAACTTATTCTCAAACGCAGATAAACTAAAGCCTAAACGATAAGAATATAACTGTCAATTATAGTATACATATCACATTACAATGCCAATCACGTCAGTAAACGTTTAGTAAACCCAGGACGCCATTTTGTTCTTTCAAATATTTCATGTTTTATGAATCCTAACCTTATTCTAACAATGGCATAAATTGAATCTCACTATTTCATGTAAATTTCCGCTGTTTTCCCTCCTCAATATCAAGCAATATAGAAATGATCGTAGAAAAATAGTCTCGTAACGCGCTATTTATAATAATCTTACCACTCGTCCCCAATGATATAATGTCTCACTGGTTGTAACGGATTATCGATAATGATAAGTAGTTGACAATAGCCATCGCGTTACATTGTCGTTATCTCAACTGTTCGCATTTCCGCGATCACGGCGATAGAATCAATCAGATATGAGTGAATTTGTTTGATTTGTGTTGTTTAAACGTAAGAAAAACTAAAAATATGTATATAAGAACATGTCATGTGGTTATGTTCTATTCCAAGATGGTTGACATGCATGCCATCATTGTGATACCCAACAACAGTGCTACCAACTGCTTGAAAGACTCTTTGGGGTCTTCTTCTTTGAGTAAATCCGGTAGAACTGTCACCAGACCAATGTGAAGGAACGTACCGGCTGTAAATGGTAATATCCAAGAAGTTCTTGCTTCTAAAATATAAAAATTATTAATTTTTAAGGTTTTTGAGGTTATATTGTACAAACCGATGGAATTTGAAGCACCGCTGAAAGCAATCGCTGCTAGAGAACCGACAAGTCCGCCACCAGCGGTGAAAAGTTGAAACTTCGCTGCGTCCCAACGACTGAAACCCGATTTTAACAAAATGGCAAAGTCGCCAACCTCGTGTGGAATCTCATGTACAAGAATGGCGAATGTAGTTAGGCAACCCAAACGGAAGGAGACTAAAAACGCACCGCCCAGTGATAATCCATGCGTGAAGTTGTCAATCATATTGGCAATCAGATTAAGATAACCAGTAATCTAAAAATACAATTAAAAATCAAACAGAATATAATTAGATTATAATTGAGGTTATGTAATAAACACTTACATGTTTCTTATTATCATCTACAGCGTTTTTCTCTTCTGAACCTTTCGTGTTGTTGTTTAGTTTCTCCGTAGGTGGAGGATCATCGAACGCAGTCTCGGAGAGTTGCGTGATAACCGAGAAGACTTTTTCGGTGATGACGAACACGATCAGACCGGTCAGGATGAGTAAACCGCTGCCCAACGACGGTTGCGTGCCTGAAACCACCAATTTTATATCGTTAACATGTTCAGCAACACACAATACACCAAGTAGACAAGTTCTTTGTCATTATTATTAAATAAAACCTTTTGAATGGAAATAAATAGCAATAGAGGATGTCTAACTTGCGCACAAAATGGCCGCCTGTATTTTGCATGATTGCGCAACCTTGACTTTACTAACACATTTAAACATGGCGCGTAAAAGTAAAAAGTGGTTTACCTCCATTGCGTGCAACATCATTCGCCCAGATCTCAGGCAGCGAGTGCAGGAAGACATCGCCGAGCATGCCACCGACGGCGAAGCTCAGCAGGACCTTCAACTTATTAGCACTATCTGTAAATAAACAAAAATAAAAATAAAAATCAAAAACAAATCACAATCTGCCAGACGGGTGAATTTTTAATGCAAACAGTGGCAATTTTAAATAAATATGAATGCAGCATGAAGATAAGCTGCGGAATATGAGTAAGTTGTTCATAAAACTACGTATTTAGATAACAATGTGTTGATTTGCATATAAATTACCATTTTTATACAGGGTGTAACAGTAAAAGCATGTTTCAGTAAAATATAGAAAATTTTAGGATTTGTAGACGTAAAAAATGTAGTTTTAAACTTGGTAAAATAGTGGGTTATTTTTTATACAGAGTGTTTCGATAAAAAATATAAAATTGTTATTTCTAGTAGAAATATTGTGAGTTGAAGCGTTTCTAGGTGTTAAAAATACATTTTTGGGCTTGGTGACTTGGTAAACATATAAGTTACCATTTTTATACAGGGTGTAACAATAAAAAACACATATTTATTATTTCTAGGGCAAAAAAGCAAAATTGTAGCGTTTCCCAGCCTTAAAATGTGTTTTTAAAACTTGGTTAACCTATAAATTACAAAATTTTATACAAAGTGTATCAATAATAAACCTAAAATTATTGTTTCTAACTGAAGTATGGCAATTTGAAGCTTTTCCACGCGTAAAAAATGTATTTTTACACTTGGTAAACATAAATAACTATTTTTATACCGAGTGTGTCAATAAAAAGCACATAATTGTGTTTGTGTTGCGAGTTGTAACATTTCCAGACGTTAAACATGTTCTCGTATTTTTAAACTTGCTGAGGTCAAAAGTAAACGTCGCAATATCACAAACGAGAATAGTTGCGTTGAGTGGATGTCGTACTTACTAGTGTGATGCAGTTTGATACAATTGTTAATAACGTTAGTGTATGAAGATGATAATTTGCGTTGGACCATGATTCTAGTACTCGTACTCGTAAAGTATTATAATATAACTTTTTCGCTACGCGTCAGGACTTAAAATGAATTAAAAATGTGAATTAAAATGATTCTGAAGCTGTTTTTCTCATTATCCGACGACTGGCGGCTGTTTATATTTGCATAGAATGTGTTTTTAACTTATATTTGTGTAAATTTTAAATATTTATTTAATTTTATTGAATTAAAAGCTGAATTGAGTCGAATTTGTGTGTTTTATAGTGGAAAATAGTCAAAATAGATAAAAATAAATGAAATTGTTGCTAGTGTCGTCAGAATAAGTAAAAATTGCATTATTTTTTATGTTTTATGAGTCACGAGCGTGATTACACGATTTGCACCACAAAGCAACTAAATTATAAAATTATAAATAAAGTAAAACACAAAGAGTTTATGTATAATGTTATAACGTTGTAAAAAACGGTAGATAATGACAATGTTATTCAGAATAGAAAAATCTGTGAAGTACTGTTGATAATACTGTTATATTATTTATTTTATTGTTCTATGAAGTAAATGAATAAAAATCCTAACTTTATTTAATTTATAAGCGGAACACGGAACACAAGTAGTTGCTGGAAGTTGGTGATAAAGGTTATCACGAAGCATAAATATTAAATGCACTATTCAAACACTAGCAAATCATTTGTGCTCCAATTGCAATGATTATTCTTACTCTATATAAATAAAAGTCTAAACTTAATCATTGTAAACGAGTTGTTCTATTGCTTGCATTATTTGTTCCAACTCACGTGTCGGGTGAATAATTCTTCGAAAAATGACGCATCAAAACCGAGATTAATAGTAATTGTTATTGTTTCGTTTTAATTTTTTAAATGTTTTTTAAGAAATATATAGACGATAAGTGTATGTAATTGAAAGTGAAAAGATTATTTGTGTTAATTTGCGTGTTTTGAGCACGAGCAGATGCCAAAAGTATGTGAAAGTTTAGAGGTCGAATTAATTCGTGCACGATGCTACAGTATGCACGACGCGAACGAATAATTATTTATCAAAGTACGCGAACATTATTGTGGCATTCACATTTGTTCAAATGCTGTCTGTGCTGTGCACACGGCACATTTTAGTTTTTTAAACAGGAAAAAACATATTTTATTATCAACTTTAATTTTTTTTATGAAATTATTAGTTTTTTACAAAGTGAGCGAAAATTTATTATGTGTACAACGCGTTGAAGTATTTCTTTGATTCTACTAGGTGTATAATGTGTATTCAAGTGTTAAAAAGTTCATTGAAGCAGAAAATTAATTCGTAATCGTGTTAGAACTTTATAAAACCAACTGAAGTGAAAACAATGATTGTCGTAATCGCGTAATCTTAAGATATAGCAACAATAACGCAAAAAATTACTCGGTACATTGTACATGATCAATTGTTACCTCATACACTTTCACTTCGTGTAAAATCTAAAGATTCTCAGGTCTAGGAAGGCATTAATCAACTAATAATTAAAAAAACAGTTTAACCTCTATATAACTATGCAATACCGGTATTCATATCAGTATTATTAAAATTTTTAAATACTGATAATTTTCAATTAAAAATTTAAATTGCAAAATAAAATTTAAAAAACCTTAAAATACCGGTTTAAGATCAAATTCACATCCTTAATGAAAACTAACCTAAATTGAATAAATTTCGCTGTTATATAGGGTGTATCCTTAACCCTACTCTAAACTTTCCTATAAAAAATGTTTCCATTTGTATAGAAACACATTAAATTAATAAAATATTACAAAACCGATCAATCAATCACAGTCCAAGTGTTAAATCAGTAATCATCTCACGTCTTGATAATACAATAATCCAATCCACTTTTAATAAATCTAATTGCTATAATTACACAATTCCCACCACAGAATTCATTAAATTAAAATTAAATCCACCTACAAATATTATTTCCAATTCTGACAAATCAACGACTAACTAACAAATTAATTAATTACAAAAAACAATTATTTATTACTAAATGTTTACTATTACTAAGTAATTGATTACTAATTACTCCGGTGGCTTTGTCGCGATTTGTTGACTTAGGCAAAATAATCTCGAGTAGTACGTGCGATTCACGCGGCATCCAAAGTGCGAAAGGTGCAGAAACACATTCGACCGGCCATAATTACCCACAGCTATATTTACAACTACAAACAACTACATAGCACACCAATAAACACTCAAAGTAAGATTTTTAGTTTAAAAAAGTGTATGTTGCGTGCGCAAATACAAATCGACCGGCGAGTAGATAATAATTACGTGTCTGATAAAACCGGCGTTGTTAAATGTCGATTATGTGGACAATTTTTACTAATTCAAACACCATTACACAATTTTCAAGAGTATTTCTAGTAGATTTTATGAAATTTATACAAACACCCTGTATAAAAACATTTTGAGGTGTTTCAAAGCAAATATCGAAAGTTATTCTTGTTTTGTGTGTTTGTGTAAACATAAAATCTAAAAATATAGCAATGAATGAGTTTTGCAGCAAAAAAGAAAAAAAAATTGTTTTGAAAACAAAAAGCGTTTGTCATCGCCATTTTGTATGCAAACACGAGGTTAACACATTCAAATCATATGCAAATTATAAACATCACTAAGTATTAATCATAAAAGCAACATTTAAAATGTTAAATAAAAGAATAGGTTATAATTGAAATGTCATCGCTGTCAATGTCAAAAAACAAGTGAATCGTAACATGTTAATGTGCTTTTGTTCATTGTCTGTATTGTATAGGTTATTGCCTATATATAGGCAACCCAACTTACCGCCATGTTTGAGGTTGTCCGTCTGATCCATCGGAATAACCATAAGCGGCAACACACCGCTGAAACCAACCATCAGCGATCCAAGCAACGCGCCCAGCCAGGGCAAACAGCTGGCATCCAACGCCAACCCCTCGGGCAGCATGTCGAGCATGATCTCCTTGTACGCCGCCGTCGCGTTATCGCCCTGGGCCAGCTGGAGCAGCGTCTTCGTCGTCGGCGCGTTCGCGTCGTAGTAAATATTCGCGGGCACTGACATCGCGGCGCGCCGCAATTATATTATTTATACAAATCAAGCGCAGTTGAGTTCCTCTTTATATTTTTTTATCAGCCACCGCCGGCGTGAATTATCTCTCTCCGCGGAGGCACTCGACGACAACAATACGATCGTTATCGGCGACTCGACGACAATTCAACGCTTCACGTTGTGTGGCAGGCGCAGGCGAATGTACGGAAACAATGTATTTAACAAATGTCTTTAATTTTGTGTGGTTTATACCTCGTTGTAGACCCACGGTGCACTGACTAACCTACGCTGAGGTTGAGCCAGACGCCGATGTCGCTCCTCGTGCGCCCTGTCGCGCGCTGTGTTAAGAAGGTTTTCCGCTCGGTCACACGCTGCTTTGTTTGGTGTGGATTGGCTGTGGCATTGCCCTATGGCAGGCCCTAGGTGATGGTGGAGTTGTCGGTGGTGGCCACGGCGGATGCGGATGGCATCATCAGTGGAAACGCGCACAGAAACAAAGAGAGCGTTTAGTTAACGCTGGTATGCACGGATGGTACTTTGATCGACGGGTGATGAGCGTGGAACAGACTATGCTGCGAGCGCGCTGCGACGTTGTTTTGTTTTGGTGTGTTTCCATGCGTCATTCGTGCTATCCCCTCTCCTAGAGATGAGATTATGGGGGATTTACGCAGTTGTAATGTGTTTTGGATGTTTAATGTAGGCAACTTTAGTAACAGGAGAGAAATATGTTGTTTTGAAGATGGAATTTTATATTGCAAACGTGCATAGGAGTGCCATCTCTGACGAAACGACAGATTTAAAAATAAAGTTATGGCTGAATATGTTCAATGTAGGAAACTGTAATATTACACCAGTAATACGTAACATTTTGATGCAAAACTTGCACCGCAACGCCATCTATGATAGAATTACGGATTTAACCATAATATACTGTGCAAATGTTACAAAAAGCTTGCATCGGCCGGGAATCGAACCCGGGCCGCCCGCGTGGCAGGCGAGCATTCTACCACTGAACCACCGATGCTACATAAACTCTCGGTATATAAACAAAACACAAACACCAATTTTACGACTAAACAAAAGTTAAATGTAATTGTTATTTACTCTTAAACCATGAAGAACACTTAATCCATTTGTCTCGCACGTCTGCATGAAATAACACCGTAAAAAAACACCAAATTTAAACAAAACAATCTCCAAGGTTCTTCCGTTGTTCTTTCAAGTACTTAAGTCACTTCAACAATGACTTATTCCGCAGTAGACTTAAATATCTTCATGAAAACTCAACAAACAACGCAAAAATGGGCCACAGCAATAAATCCCTATCGATAGACCTGGATGAACTGCTTAAGAATAAATTCACATCCAGTTTCCGGTCGGGTTATACCCATTACAAGGGTCACACTCTTCCGAAACGTTATGAAGAGTTGCAGGAAGCCATTGATAACTTTGAAGTATACGATGACGATGTGTGGATTTGCAGTTTCCCGAAAACAGGTTTTTCAATTTTGATTTTTTCATTTTTATCACTTTTTATTTTAAATTTTGATAAATAGGAACAACATGGAGTCAAGAAATGATTTGGTTGATTGCCAACGACTTTGATTATGTGTCTGCTGAAGAGAATTTGGGGGCACGTTTCCCATTTTTAGAGTATGTAATGGAAAATGACTTAAGTAACTATACTTAACTTAAGTAATTTTTATAAATTTTTATGATTTAGGGTGTCTATAGTTTTTGATTGGAGACAGTTGCAAGCAGAGAATGAAGATTTCGTCCCTCCGATATTCCTAGATGATTCGTTGAAGTTTACAAGGGAAGCAAAACGTCCCAGGTTTATCAAAACCCATTTACCGTGGTCATTACTACCGAAGCAGCTACAAGATGGAAGCAAGCGCCCGAAAATTGTTTATATTACACGTGATCCTAAGGTTGTTTGTGTTTCGTATTTTCATCACGTGAGGCTTTTGGAAGGGTTCACGGGAAGTTTCGAGGAGTTTTTTCAACTTTATGTCAAAGGAAAAGGTAGGCTTAACTTAAGTGAACTTTACTTAACTTAAGTCAAATTGGCTCAACTTAAGTCAAAGATGATTATTACAAGAATATGAAAGTTAAATATGATTTTTTTTAATTTTTAGTAATTTTTGGTCCATTCTGGGATAATGTCCTTCCATTTTGGAATAAACGACATGATAACAATATGTTGTTCATAAAATACGAAGATATGAAGTCGAACTTATCGGAAGTAGTGGACAAAACAGCTGGGTTCTTAGGAAAACAAATGTCTGATGAGGAGAAGAACAAACTCTTAAAACATTTGAGTTTTGAGTCGATGAAAACCAATATGGCGGTTAACTACGAACCGATTATAGATTTCCATCGAAAGCATAATTTGGTACATGTGGATGGGGCTTTCATGAGATCAGGTTCCAAGGTAAACAGAAAAATGGAACTTTCACAAGAGATGGATCAAGTTATGAGTGCGTGGATTGATGAAAACGATCCGAATAATGAATTAGGTTATTGTTATCGTCAATAATAGATAAGATAAAATGTAATATTAAATAATTTAGTAATGTAGAGAAATAAAAAGCGTTAGAACGAATAAAATGAAGTAATTGAAACACGTCAGAAAAGACACAATATGACAGAAGTAGAAAGCATAGTCTAAGTGCAATTAAAAACTAAAAGAGAAAGAGAGGGAGAGGACCCTAGAGAGCAACGACTGGACTGCTGGAAGACTCAGGCACGATTAAGCGCGAGGCGGACTGCGTGCGCGCCTTTTATACATGCGGGTTACCCGCAAAAAGTGGTGGGGGTAGATGCGTTAGCACCCCGTGGGTACCTCCTAGACTGATTAGCAGCAGCGCGGATCATCTCCCACCGCTCGTACGTGACCAATCAGGAGTCTTCGCGCCTTCCCCCACCACTTTTCTTGGGCCGTCGTGGGTATAAAAGGCGCGCATGCAAAGCCCTCGTGCTTGTGTTTGTTTATTTATTGTCATATTTATTAAATGTTTTCCGAAAAAAAGTGTTTTTCGTTTACAACCTAACCCTCGTGATCAGTCGTGCCTGAGTCGCCCAACAGTCCAGTCGCAGGGTTCTAAGCTCCTCTCTCTTCTCCCCTTTCACTATGAATCATCTAAGGGCAAGCGTCGTTGATGAGTTACTTCCCTCGCTATACTAAAATCTCCATTACCAATTTTACAACCCCCACCACAGCATCGGTGGTTCAGTGGTAGAATGCTCGCCTGCCACGCGGGCGGCCCGGGTTCGATTCCCGGCCGATGCAACTGTTTTAACATTAATTTTACCACCAAAACAAATATAAATTAAATCACAGTTTACTCGTATTTACACAATGAATGCACTTTTATAGACGTCCTACTTGTTGATGCCACAGTGCTGCAGATAAGATATGTAAACATCACAGCTCAAGGCCGTCAGCTAAACTGAACGACAACAGCTTCTTTATTTTCATAACAAAACATTATATCTAACAAAACCTGTGTCGAGACAACACAATAACCAAAAATGTGCTCCTCAACAACTTTCGAAAATCTCACCAATGAAGACCTAATTACTGTATACGAATCTTACATACCCAAAGACCTACATCATGGGTTCTACAAATTTCGTGGATACAACTTCACATCACTCTATGAAAACATTCAACAAAGCATCGAAGATCTAGAAGTGTTTGATTCTGATATTTGGGTGACCAGTGTTCCAAAATCAGGTAATTATAATACATAACCTAACATAACCTATTCTAACCTAAATTTAACCTAACAAAACATAACCTAATTTGATTAAAGGTACAACATGGTTATCTGAAACAGTATGGTCCATCTGCAACGACCTTAAATCTCCAATAGCTAAAACTCCTCTCAACACCCGTGTTCGTTTCCTAGAATATTCTTCCCTCTTCCATTTTGATGAAAGCGATGACACCGCACCTTCTGAAGTGAATAACTCCGTGCGTAAAGTGATTGACATGCCCTCACCAAGATTTATAAAGTCACATTTACCTTGGCAATGTCTACCACAAGAAATCCGCAGTTTCATAAAACGCCCACGTGTCATACACGTGGCAAGGGATCCGAAAGATGTCGCTGTTTCATTTTATCATCACAATAGACATTTTAGAGGGTTTTCAGGGTCTCCAGAGTTGTTTTATGAGATGTTTCTAAGAGGACTCAGTATGTATACCTATAAATTATTTATTACTTTTTATAAAGATATATAATTTATTTGTTGTTTTTAGTGCGTTGGTCACCCTATGATAAAAACGTATTATCTTATTGGGAACAACGTAAAGAACCAAACGTGCTTTTCTTAAAATTCGAAGAAATGAAGAAAAATATGCCTGGGGTAATAAAAAAGATCGTTGGATTTTTAAATGTGGTTGTGAGTGATGACAAGATGGCGGAGTTATTGCAACACTTGAGTTTTGAAAATATGAAGAAGAATAAAGATCTTGGGGTGGATGATATCGTCAAGTATATTAATGATAAGTATTTGCACAACAGTGAAGAAGAAGCAAAGTTTCTGAGAAAAGGGGAGACAGGTGCTCATAAGAGTGAAATGAGTGCCAAAATGGCGGCGAGAATTGATAAATGCATGAAATATTCTAATATTTGTTAAAAATTTTAGTGGTTTTGTAATATTATACTAAAAAATAAATTTACTTAATTGTTATTTGGAAGAATAAGTAAAATAGAATGCATCGGCCGGGAATCGAACCCGGGCCGCCCGCGTGGCAGGCGAGCATTCTACCACTGAACCACCGATGCTCTACCAAACGACTTAAAATAAGCAAAAACGTACCTAACCTATCCTTAATTAATCTGCTATAAACTACACAAAATACACAAAATAAAATTTAAGTAACACTAGTTATTAACTGTGATACTTTCATGATACACTTGATGCACTTTAAAAAATATCACAAGGTCATGATATGAGAAACGCAATAAACACCACACAAAATACCAACTTCACTAAACTGTGAACACTACAACAAAATGGACGCGTTAAACTTGGACCAATTACGCGACACCTACGGATTGTCTCCAATCCGTCGCGGATATCAAATTTTCGAAGGATACACAATGCCGGAGAGTTTCCGACACATGCGCAAAGCCATCGAGGACTTTAAAGTCTACGACGATGATATCTGGGTGACCAGTTACCCAAAATGCGGTTCGTATACCTTTTACTAATTAAACAAATTAAACAACTAAAAACCTTCAATTATATATCCACTTAACCTTAAAATATTAAGGCACAACATGGACGCAAGAAATTGTATGGAATATATGCAACAACTTTGATTTCACGTCCGCTCAAATTGATTTGGACATAAGATTTCCTTTCCTTGAGTACGAAACATGTTTCTACACCGAAGATAAAAACTTATTGCAATACGAACCTGGTATTGTTCATAAATCAGTAGAGATAGCAGCAAATAAAAGTCGTCCGCGTTTTATCAAGACACACTTACCATGGGAATTATTACCAATGGAAATTCAAAGCTTCAAAAAACGTCCGAAGATTATCCACGTGGCAAGAAACCCCAAAGATGTCTGCGTGTCGTATTTCCATCACAATCGGCTCATGGAAGGCTTCACTGGTGATTTTAACCTCTTTTGGAAGCTGTTCTATAACAACAAACGTAATTTAATTAATTTTTTCATTTAAATTAAGGTTATCTTAAAATATTCATTGGTTATGTTATATATTACAGTTAACTACACGCCAATGTTACGTAACGTGTTGAGTTACTGGGAACACCGCACAGATGGCGTGCTGTTCATAAAATACGAAGATATGAAGTCTGATATTTCTAAAGTTATAACACAAATCGCGAAATATTTAAATCGACCTATGAGTGAGGAACAATTGAAGATGTTGCAACATCATGTGAGTTTTGAGGTTATGAAGGATAATACTTCTACGCATCATGCTCCGGTGTTGGATTATTTACGTAAATGTGGCGCTGTAGTCGACAATGATGGATGTTTTATGAGAAGTGGAAAATCCGGAGGTTATAAAAGTTTAATGAATGATGAAGTTGAGGAAATATTTGATAAGTGGATGGAACAACAGCTGCAAAACACTGGATTGGTGTTGTAAATTACTTACAATTGTTTATTTGTTTAAGTTTTATCTTTGATTTTGATTTTAATCTGTTTTTGGAAGATTTTCGTTGTTTTTGAGTATTTTTAAGGTTAGGTTAGGTTTATTGGTGGGAAAATTACAGGAAACTGTACGGTAATGTTATGAAACATGTTTAGTTACTCTAAACTACGTACAGATGGCGCACTATTCCAAAAATACGATAAAATAGAAACTTATCCAACATTATATGAGTTTTGAGGTTATGAGAAATGGAAAATCTAGAAGTTATAAACCCAACACCTTCTCTACACTGCATTAAAGTTATAAATTACCTACAATTGTTTATTTACTAATTTGTTATCTATTCCTTTGTCTAATCATTAAATAAATATCATTTCTACGCCTTTCTTAACCTGATTATAAACACCAGTTCTAAATATAAACCAGAGAAACACTTTACTTCTTAATATTATTAATAGTGTTGTCACAATTGTTTCCAAAATGGCGTCCCTCACAAAACTAAACTTTGACTACACACAACTGGATGCAGACCGTCAAAAGTATGCAACCGGTGAATTTCGCAAAGGTTTCGGTGTGTTTAAAGGCTACACAATGCCGGAGAGCTTCAGTTTGATACAGAAACAAATCGATGACTTTGAAGTCTATGACGATGATTTATGGATCACAACATTTCCGAAGTGCGGTACCACATGGGCACAGGAAATGATTTGGAGTATTTGTCATGACTTGGATTATTCTACTAATGAACAGGAACTGGATGAACGTATGCCGTTCATAGAGTAAGTAAATAAATATAAAACCTATAAAAAAATTAAGGTTATGTTTTTCTTTATATAATTAGGTACTGCTGTATTTTATGTCCGCCAAACTCGAAATTAGTGCCGTTAGACCCAGGATTTTTGAGTAATTCAGTGCAATTATCACGTGATATGAAACGTCCAAGAATTATCAAGACACATTTGCCTTTTGATCTTCTACCGAGACAAATACGTACGTTTGAAAGACGTCCAAAGGTAAGTTGTGTAAAATACCGGTATTGATATCGGTATACCGGTATTTTTTTGGTTTTAAATACCGATAGTTTTCAATGCGATTTAATTTACAAATACAGGTATTTCTGTTTCAAATACCGGTATCAATACCGGTATACCAATAGTCTGATAAAAAAAATACCGGTATTTATTAAAAACCACTAATATTGACGAAATTTACAGATAATTCACATTTATCGCAACATCAAAGACACTTGTGTCTCATTTTTTCACCACCAAAGACTACTAGAAGGCTTCCGCGGGGATTTTGACCTCTTTTGGAAACTTTTCATCACAGGCAAACGTAATAATAAAAAACAAACCATAAAAACACCTAATTTTAACGTTTGTCCCAATATTTCAGTGAGCTGGACACCAATGGACGATAACGTCCATAGTTATTGGAAGCATCGCTCACAACCCAACTTCCTATTCCTTCGTTTCGAAGATATGAAACGCGACCTACGCAGTGTCGTCCTCCAAACCTGCGATTTCTTCAAAAAATCATTCCCCGAATCAGAAATTGATAAACTAGTAAAATATCTATCCTTTGACTCAATGCAGAAAAACCCATGGGTTTCAAAACTACCACTAATTGAATATTGCAAAAAGATTGGCATATGCATCAATCAAGAAGGAAAATTCATCCGAAAAGGCGCCGCAGGCGATTACAAAAACATAATGAGTGAAGACATTCAAAAAATATTCGATGATTACATAAAAGAAAAACTTAAAGGAACCGAATTAGTTTTATAAGTTTTATAATAAGCTTTGTCCCGTTACGTGTTATTAATAAGTTTTAAAATAAATTCCTAGACGATTGCTGGTTTTAATTTTAAATCACTCCAAGGTTACGGTTAATAGTACCCACAACGCTATCTCGTGGTGACCGTGAGAAATACTCAAAGCATGGCGCAAGTTATCGCACTGATTGGGACTGCGTGTCCGCATTGCTCGCGTGGCTGGCGAATATCATGGATTCAACAAAATTCCAGCTCGTGTCCATCCGGCAGGACATCACCGAGCACAGTTTACAACTGAAGGCAATCGTCCAGGTACAAACAAACAAAATTCTCTTACTCTTTCCAATCCCGCTGACGTTGTGTTGCTCCACCATAATCTATGCACGTTATGCACTTACTTTCTCTTTCTAAATGTTTATGTGTGTGGTGTGTTGCAGGACACCAACGCATGCGTGGGTCCGCTCGCCAAATTGAACTCTCTCAACGGCGCTGGCCGCGCGAAAATCTCACAACTTCGGCAGTTCATCGACCGATTCTCCAACGTAGCCAAAGATACCAAAGATGCAGCGTTGTTAAAAGAACTGGCTTTGTATCGGGAGCAACTCGCTGCTTCCATGGAGTTGTTCAAACGGGCGAATATTCGTGCCATGCTTGCAATTGAACGTAACGCGAAAGAAGAACTCTACGTCCGAGAGATCCAGATGCAGTACTACGTCAACGTCAGAAACGCGATAAAGAAGAGCTCGCTAAAGCTACGTCTAGTGTCACTGATCAGTTACTGTCGATAAGTCGACAACTAGCGGAGACGACGCGTAAGAGTGCTGCCACCCTGGACACTTTAGTTGTATCCTCAGATGGCGTTGTCGGCGCGCAGGAAGAACTCAAACTAACCTCTGATTCCATAACGCAAAGCGGAAAACTCCTAGCGAAATACGGCCGGAGAGAATTCACGGATAAGATATTAATGTTCTTCGCGTTTGCTTTCTTTGTAGCCTGTGTGCTATACATCGTACGCAAACGACTATTCTAATTCTAAATTATTTTACATTTCTATCTAGGTGGCGCTGGGGGCCGGGTTGTATACATTTCGTGACATTTTGTGATATACAATATTATTTACAAGAAAAACTGATTAAAGATTATGCAATTGCATCGAATCAACCATGACTTCATCAATATCAATCCTGCACGGTTTACATAACTTAACAAACAAGTATTCAAATGTATACATAATTATTCTTAAGTTTAGTTAAGTTAAGTTAACGTAAAATACATTAAACATAAGAAAATCTTATTTTACTTAGAAAAAGTCTTCAGTACGGACAAACAGGATTACCAACTCTTCCAGGGTAAGCCAGAGAATCAACGGAGTGGATTCGACAGATTGATTTGTATCTTTCTCCATCACCAGTACCAGCGCCTTCGTAACTTCGTCCATAGTGTTGTCTATTACCAAAATTCGGGAAGAGAAGATTTAAAAATGGCGACGGGAATGCAGAAACCACGCTGAAGATTATCAACAAAACCAAAAAATCTTCATGATGATTTTTTTTTTTTTTGAAAATAACAGAAAAAACGTTGTATTTAGATAGATCTGAACGTGTAGACTGACTGAATCTCTCAACAGCGCGCTTTATATAAGTCCTAATCGAATGTTACAGGATGTTGTAAACTGGCTATCACACAGGATGCTCTCTCAGTTTTTGGGACATCCACACATTCAAAGCAAAAACATCTCAAATTAAAATCATAGTTATCAATAAAAACATCGAAATTAGCACATGGTTACCCTCAGAAACCATGTCAAGTTAATAAATCAACAGATAACTAAAAATTATTGAAGATGGCGTATATCATAAACAAAATATGTAAATTCCATAAGTCACTGACTGAATTTTCACGCGGAATTCAAAAATGAGATGTGTTTCACACAACACAAAGTAGCAACCTTGAAGGTTGTAGATTAATGCACCCAAACCGCGAATAACATCATTTGAATGCGTGTTTCACGTTGAATATTAAACACAAACAGAAAGAAATACCTTTTGTTCTGTTTAAGTAAACCGATCACTTCCATACTTTGATCACACCGTCTCTGGACGCTGTTAATAGAAAACATTGTGATGTTTTACACAGCGCTATATCAGTGATACTATCACGATGTCCAGCTGGAGGTGGTTCTGGCCCTGCTCGTGGTACTTCATCTTTTGTACCAGCTCCAGGTGTTTGTCTCTCGTCGACCTGTTCGAGGAAAACACACATACCATCAATCAAACGCCGCTCGTAAGTTACATGACACGCGGTGATAGTGTCATTTGGTTTAGCGATAGCCATGTATGACTTTGTCGGGTCATCCAGGTCCCAGAATCGTAGGCGTTGATCTGTGCCAGCCGCAAGGAGGAAACCAGAACGATCTATGCAACCAGTTAACATCGCTAGGACACTGTTATTGTTAGACTACAATAGAAAAATTTTGATGTTTTAAAAATTTAATTTTTTAGGTTATGTTTAACTTACTGATGTTTTTGATAATGGTGGGTTGTTACTAGCCCATAGGACTTTTTCTCTTTGTGCAGTTTCAACGTTCCACATGGAGATTTCATTGTTACCTTGAAATGTAGACAAGATCCACGATGGTTCTATTGGGTGATGCACGATTTTTCTTATACGTGCCCCAGTGGGATGTGGAATATTAGCTATGGGTAACTGAAAGCGTAGATCCCATGCAATATGTGCGCCATTATTAGTTCCTAAAGTTAATAAACTCTGATGTGAATCAATGCAAAACGTTGTAATGACGCCATGTTTTGTTCCGTTTTCAAGTCGCCATGCGCATCCGGGCGCGCGCAGATCCCAACCTACTAATGAACCATACAAAGTTGCATACACTAAAACATTTTGTCTGTCCATATATTGCATGTCCACTGCGCATCCATCATCATCCGGGTTCAATTGTCGAGATTGCAGTGCTCCAAACCTATTTGAAAGACTATTTACGATAAAATTATACTTTATCTACTTTAAAGGTTATTTTAACCTTACTTTTTGTTCATAGTGTCAACTCGCAAGACATTTATAGCGCCATCTTGTGATGCTGCTGCGATGGATTGTCCGTTTTCACAGACTGCAAGTGCTATGATGCCATTACCATTAGCAAGACGGTGATTGGTCACTGAACGGTTCGCGATGTTGCGTCCTTCGATTTTGGAGCAGTCCCAGAGGCGTACAGTGCCATCCATGGATGCACTCGCAAAAAAGGGTGTTTCTGGGATAGGGGCTAATTTAGTTACAGGCCCGCGGTGTTCATGTAGATGTGCAACTAGTGTTCCGCCGAGGTGCCAACCAGGTGGCGGTAGTTGTGGTTTGCATGCGGTTTGCTCCTCCCATTCTTTACTGCGATGCGCTTCCATGAAGTGATCTTGTTGACGTGCAATCAACGTGCGCAGTTCCATGCTACAATTTGCTGTACGATCTATAGACACGCAAATGTTACTTAAGTTAAGTACTTAAGTCACTTTAAGTAAAAGTACTTAACTTAAGTAACTTGACTTAACCTTACTTTTAAACTTTTTACAAAAATGTAATTCAACACATAAATAAAATTTAAAATGTTAGGTTAGGTTACTTAAGTTAAGTACTTAAAGTAAAAAACACTATAAATTCAATATTTAACCAATTTACTTACATTGAATATAACTTCTCTCATGCAAACTCATATTCGGCGGTGGCTCAGTAGCGAATCGATGCGCACTGACCTCCGGCGCAGGTGAAGAAGGCCTTGAAGTCGTAGCTCTTGACGGAGGCCCACCTGAATTAGTACTCTCCGATTGCCTCCGTGAAATTTCACTCTTCGACTCAAACTCATTCTTTGCACGCGCTTCCTCCAGATTATAACTGTGACACCTTACATTTGTATGCCGTGTCTCAATCTCAATGACGCCATCTTGTTTCAGCGCACGTTCACGCTCCCTATCCTTCTCATTCAAGATATAATGCTTGTTAATCTTCAATAACAACGGCGCCATTTTGAGTATATGTTCCTCTACTATTGTAGACATACTATTCGCTTCTAAACGCGATAGAAGTTTACGAATCGACGAAGGGATTTCAACAGGATCCACGCGGAAATTCCTCTCGCCAGCACTCAAAGACACACGTGACTTACGATTATGTTCGAGGACTCGCAACAACTCTGCGAGATTATCAAACTGCACGACGCTATCATACACGGTGCGTTTTATAGGTTCAACTAGAGATTCCAATAACAATTCAGGCCTAAACACAAAAATTTTAACTTAATTTTAAAATTTTATAGGTTATGATACGTACTTTTCGATTTGGATGAGTGGATACTTCATAAACGGAGAAACAACCGGTACTATTTTACACTGGACATCCAATGGCGACAACCAAGATGACGCAGCACATATTAACGCAACAACAGCATGGCGGATCCATAGGTTAGGATGTACTAACAAAATAGCACACTCAGAGATTAATTCTCTCAACTGTTGCTTTGTTATAAGTCCTAGTTCAGTCAAAGCAGCCATCGCGTGTATAGCTTTCATTGTTACAAACTCACAAGAATCATTCAACCCCTAAAAATTAAAAAATCAAAAACTTTGAAACATTTTAACATAGGCAACCAATTAACCTGTAGTAACAACGGGGTTAATATATGCGAACAATGCGATCCAAGATAGGCAGCCACACCTACAATACAATCGAAAACGTCCCTCGCAGTTCTTTATCCGCATCATTCAAAAACGTAATAATATGACTCAATAAAATATCATTAGACTTTTGTTTCCCGAAAAACACGCATAACTTCGTAATACCACTATCCATCAACGTTTGTTTTACCAAAGTCGGTGAATTCGTGAGTAGTGTACTCACAGATTGCTGCACCATCTCGTGTAAAGTCTGCAATTCTAATTCGTAGTTTAATCGTGATGCAGACGACGCAGAAGTTCCATGCTTGGGTGGAACATCTTCACAATCAGCTTGCGTGTGTTCCAAATATCTTAACGCAGTTTCCGCTAAAGTTGCAATATTTCTCGCGTAAGCAGCGCGTACACATGGCGAGGCATCAACCGCAAGCGGAGCTAAACCTGGCAAGACATATTCGGGGAAAATATTCGCGTCTGAGCGTGGCACATGACGCACAACCGCCAGACACTTGGTGATTGTGTTTATCGCCGCGACTTTCACACGCGAATTGTGATCTTGGATCAAATACATCTAAAAATCACAAAAAAAATCAAAATTCTTTGATTTTTTCGGTTTTTTCTTAATTTTTAATACTTATACTTACGATATAAGGTAAAATACGATCCATAATCGTCTCCTCATTCGCATGCAAAGCCAACTCATACAAAATCTCCAAACTTTGAAGTTTTGACGTGCAATCATGCAATCCACGAATTGTAGATGTCACTAATGATACAATAATAACCAATCCATCATTATCTTTATCCCTTTCACCTGTTTCATTCTCTTCTGCTGAACATAAAAACTTAAACATGTTACCAATATCATTTTTTAGTCTTCCTATTTTTTCATCCGGTGATAAAACAGGACTCGCTGAGAAGATTAACATGTAACTCTGTAGGAAAGTATAAAAATACTCAGGGAATAATCTACCACGTTCGTGTGAGAGATAAGTTTCCGCTGTAAGACGTTGTGTTGGATCTTTCTGGATCATCGACGCGATGAGTTGGCGTAAACTTAGATCTTCCAAGCGATCTAAGTGTTTCTGTGGTGAATATTCACCGGATTTGTATGCTAGAAGCTGGGATAAATCAAATGGTGCTTGGCCTTCATTCCAGAGTTCTAGTAATGCACAACTGCAAAACAAAATGGCGGATTTTTAGATTTTAGGTTAATTTTTGTTTTTTTTAGGAAAATTTTTATTAAATTTTACTTACCCAGCTGAAAATATATCCATAACAGGTTTAATATCACCACTGTTACATGGATTCTCATTAAACATGGTGTTTGTATCCGTTGTCATTGTTTTAATGAATCTTTCAGGTGCGATGTAACAAGTTCTCCTTCGTGAAGTGTCAAAAAAGTAGGAATAATCAGCCGGATTGTCTTCCGGAAAAAGTAGGTTTAAACGATGCGAAATCAACAAGTAACACCCAATTCCAAGAGGTTAACATTATGTTTTCTAGTTTTATATCGCCGTGACATACGCCTACCTTATGACATTGATGAAGGGCATATAAAACTTGGAATGTAATCCATCTTTTTCGATGTTTGTCAAAAAAGGACGCGTGGATATTCTATCATATAAACTATACTTTACATATTCCCGCATGATGACTCCAGCTTTATCCGTGACGACCATTTTTTGAAATGGCAAACAATTCACAGCTGCTGACAGAGTTGTTCTGATCTCTTCCAAGCGGTCTTTATAAAATGACAGCGGGAAGGAAGGATCTGGTATTGCGAAGAGTTTCACCACGATGAGACCTTCCTGTGATTCAGCACGCGCTACTTTGAGGAATCTCGTACTTCCCAAGCTTTATAAACGTAAAATTATGTAGACGAAAATTTTTGAGGTTATGGTGGATGAAACTCACCTAACATCGAACTTCAAGTCGGTTAAATCGGTCAAATAATGCTCGACGGGGAAAATCGCCGATGGGGCGATGCCTACCAGTTGATTACCCATCCTGACAATTGTTTATTGCACTTTCTTACATGTTTCACAAGTGGTTTTCCGCAACAACAAGTTTGACGTTTCACACAAACAAACGACGTACGATGAATGACATTTGACAGCACAACAGGTGACAGCAAAATTTATATTAAAAAACACGAGTGTGGCAGTAAATTTTTTTAGGTTTTAATGGAATAAAAATGAAAATATTTAATTCACATCCAATTTATTAAAATCTAAACCCAAAAAGTTGTACAATGCAATTTCTAGGTTTCATTTGTTCAGAAGTACATTCATAACAAGTTTGTTTGCGTGCTTTTCTTAAAATTTTCATACAAACGACGAAATTATTTCACAAAAGGCACTCCACAATCAAATCAACAATCAATTTGCGCCATCTCATCAAATATAACCTAAAATAAGCACTATTCTTTCACACGAAGAGAATTTAATACAAAAACAATCAAAAATCAACAAATTTAGTTTTATGCAACCAGTGATGCCTTAATTTCATGCGTAGATGTTTAATTTATAAGTTATTTAATGTCTAATATGTATTTGTATTCGATAAGATCAAATCGATAATATTACAATATCCAATGATACAGTTATCAGTAAATACGTTAACAATTGTTAATTAGCAATATGACACATGTACAGAATAATTTCATCATCCCCTTGATCATCTGAAACATTTTATACACTTTGTAAACGTTATGTTGATATTGATATTTTGAAGATATTTGAGTTGTAAGTGTGAAAATTGACATTTCATGACAGTTGATATGCGAAATATTGTAAAAATGTTAGGTTATAACACCGTGTTGTTCTGAGCAAAACTTCAAGTTGTCAAAATGTCAAAATCTTGATCCATAGCAATAAAATGAGGTTAGATCTAACAAAACATTGTAAAATTTGACAGTACGTAATCATTCATGGACTGTGGATTGTAAATATTGTTGGATAGAATATTTGCTAGATATTTCAAAGATTTTGAACTATTTCTAGATAAATATGAATATGTTATGCTTGATATTTGTGCATTTCTGCAAATTCAGCGTCACGCCACTTCAAAAACCACATTTATAAAAGCCATAGATATGAAAACTAGCTTAGAATGTACACAGTTTACAGTTTACACCATTATTGTCGGTTTTATTGTCTGCACACCAACGCGCATCACTACATTCAGCCAAAATGTGTAATGTTGGTTGCCTATATTAAACCTCTGTGTGTATACATTACTCGTAGCTTATGAATTATTTAAAGACATTACATTCGATTATGATATACGTGTAATACGTGTAGAAATGTTAAAAATTCTCGCTTTCATGCCCTGCGCCTAGATGGCGACTGTGACAAAGCTTACAATAATACAATTGTTTATAGTAATGTGTACAAGTTGTACTCATCGCATAAAACCTTTTAATATTAATCTTAATCTTTTAAAATTTATTTATTTATTGTTATTGTCATTGTAATTAAATATTAAACGTGTATAGGAATATTATTCTGTTCTTTGTTTGTATGTTTATGTTTTCAATTGGCAAATGTGTATAATATTGTACTACGTACCCATTATTGTCGTAAATTATCCTCTCAAGCTTATTGTTTATATTGACAAACGTGTAAATTACATTTGTATCGCATTCGATTATTGTCTTCGAAATTTCTTGCATAAAAATGCAAATTTTTTATTATTGTCATAAATTACACAAATCGACTTTTTAACGTATGCAACTTCTCTCACACAATTTTGCATGTGTATAAAGTCGATTTGTTTTAATATTTTTTCTTTTTGTTTTAATTATTATTAAATACGTGTATTCACATTGAAAAATTCGAACTTACCTAGGACTTACTTTACTATCATATGTTTTTCATTGTATTCTTATTATTCTTGGTTGATTCCGCTTTGTTTCCGTTTAGTCAAACGGGCGACTAGAGTCACAGTGACTCGTATGTTAGAAAACCCGTCCTACACCAATGGAAAACAGCGTAATAATCGTAATAATAAACAATCCACTGACAGAATAATTGATTCCAGCTGTAGATGAACTATTCTGACGATCAATATAACCAGGATCAACAATTGTTATCTTCCATCCAAGATTATTATGCGTGTAACACTAAAAATAAGGTTATGTATGTTAAAATCATATAAAACAAGGTTATGTTGATGTACAATACCTGATAATAAAGTAAGTCGGGAGCATCCATAGGTACAGTGAAGTTTAACGTTGCAGGCTCACCAGCATCACATTCTAACCTCAAAGTATCAAGATACTTCGCGAAAGTTTCAGTTTCCGATGATTTATCAATGCTTTTATGCGTCCACTCACAGTAATGCCCAGCTGCAGTTGGTTGTGGGTAGTTATCCTTATCAAAACTCACTCCTGCATAAACCTTCTGCTTCCTTTGTAGTTGTTCTGACTTCTGACCATAACCTCCTTCTCTAGAGTTAGTTATATAGAATGGGTGATACCTAGCTGGATTCGTAGGATCATTCCCACCTTCAACTATGAACTGATATGTCTGTCCACGTTCAAGGACCAGTTCCGGAATGAGCATGTCATTGACCCACCAGCAGATCCCCCATGAAGGTTGTCCAGTAATCGGGGTATAACCACGTTTACCACCTGTGGGACCAATTCTTACACGGAATGAAGTCTCACCAACAATACGCATTTGGGGCCATGGTTTAGGACCTTTTTCATCAGTGTCCACATCAAGGTCAGTGGAACAATCAGCGTCGTCCATATCAGAGAAATCTATTTTATGGTCCTCCATGGTCTTATCCGTCATGGAATGTGAGTTGGCTTCCTTCAGGGAGTTCAAAGGACCAAAAGCAGCGATGACACTTACTTCTCCACTATTGGGGATTGCTTTATCATTGACAGCTTCGTTGGTTTGCAAGGGTCTAGTGTAGGTTATGGTTGTGACCCCATTTTTACGATCCCCAGATAAAAGGGTCACGTCGTTTTTACCCCCGATGCGTTCATCAGGGCAGACACCTGCTTTACCATCACATTGGGCTTTGTCAGACATGTAGTAGTCAACTGCTTTGAAGGTACCACTTGAGGAGTCGTAGAAAGCAATGACCACATCTCCACCTTTCTAAATTTTTGAAGAAAAAGTTAATAAATACAAAATTGAGGTTATGAGGTTATAGTGTACCATTTTAGGGACATCATTTTCTCCACTAAGCCCAAAAGCCATCCATTGATCCTCTCTGATCCTAGCACTGAGGGTGATCTCAACCATGTCGCCCTTCATCACCCACCGCACTTGGAGTCTCTTATCAAGGAACTCCCGACAATTTGTTGGTGTTGGAGGTTGATTTGTTGATGTCTTTGTGAAAACATAAAAGTTACTAAAAGTGGACATCAAGGTACCCTATACTTACGGGATTGTACCACCATGGCGGCTGCAGTGTTAGAATTAGAACCATTTTATGAAACCACATGCTCCCAAGTGAATTAAATGAAATAAAAAATACTTACCGAAATTTTGGTTTGACCCAGGGCTGGAGGTACGTCCAATTCCTTCGGGATCATCACATGACCAAAGTTGTGCTTGTATTGCACACACCACATGGCTAACCAGTCGATGTCGTAGACTGTGAGGGTTCCAGGGAGTTGGATTTCGATGTCTTCGCCTTGGTAGCCCCGGAGAGGGTTGAGGGAGCCCATTTCGTTGGGGACCTTGATGCCGAATGGGGTGGGTTCACTGCCGTTGCCTACCCAGAAGTAGGCGTCGGGGCCGGCGCCGTCGTAGTGTAGGTTTGGGATGTAGAAGGTTTTCGCGTCGAGGATTGTGATGTTTTCGGAGCGTAGACCGTGGGCCAGGCGTTTGAATTCGTGGAGGACACGTGGACGGGGTACTTCAAGGTTTGGGGATGAAGACTTCACCAAAGTCCACCTTTAAGTAGAAGATGAAGAGATAATTAGGTTTAAAGTGTAGAAAAACATTGAAAATTGTAGAAAAAGTTTTTAGGTTATTTTTTCAATGGTTTTTGTTATATCTTTTGAACGGTTTGATGGATTTTATTAAATTTGGTATCAAATTAAAGATAATTTAATTATCTATAAAATGATATTAATATCAATAGATTCTGATGTTTTATTTAAAAGTTATAAACAAAAAACCATAAAATTTAGTCAATTTTACTAAAACCTTCAATTATTTTAAGGTTATGATACCTATACTTGCGCCACCTATCCTAAAACACTCTCTACTATCATCCCCACTAAATAATACAAAAATATATATAAAATGTTTAAAACTTTGGCCATAATAAAGCTTTGAAAATTTTTATTTTCCTAAATTGTTTGTTTCAAAAGATTTGCAGCAATCCAAAGCAAACTTCTCTGCTTGCTTCGAGTGTAGCAAGTCGCGCTGGTCGATAATGGACCTGCGTGTTGGCGGCGGGGGCGGCGTGTGCGTGCGGAATTCCCGGGGCAGCGTGACGGGTGCCACCCACGGCCCGCCCGCCACCGCCAGCGCAAATCTGTCGACGCAGCAAACACACGCGCCAGACAATGTTGCTGCCAACATCGACATGTTTTGTTTTTCAAGATGGCGCCGCATGCACAACATCAAAACAATTACATTTACGCCGCCGAAAAAACCGTCTCATTGTGTTAACATTTTAATCTTTTAATTCGCCGCCCCTTAATGATATTTCCTTTTTCACGTTTTCACCCTCTTTGCAACCCTTGGGGTCATTTATTTTTTGCTCGGTCTCACGGTCGAGGTAGCACTTTATTCAAAAGCTAGACTAACGTTTTTTTGCTCCTGGCCAGGATTTTCCATTTAACTTCGTGGGCGGTGGGGAGGGGGCAGAGGCGAGATTTATGGCGACTGCTTATATAGTGGAAATTATTAATTTCCCCCCCTAGCGCTTTTTTTAACACTTTTTCCCGCCGCCGGATGTGAGCGGCGGCGGTTCCGGCCGGCCGCCTCCTTCCGAGGGTGTTCTGGTGTGCTGCGCAACACCCTCGGCAAGGGGTGCGCATCAAACGGGAACGCGCACACATTAAACGCTTTTGAATCGTAAGGAGTTTCATTGTCACAGTGACATAACCTAAATATTCAGCTTTTTGAATGTGAAATGTGGAAATGGTGAAATAACCTCAAAATATTGTGTTTTTTGGGGGAGAATATAGAGAATAATACTTACGGTGAAACGTCGACACCAAACGGAAAGCCATCTTATGTCCTTGATCTTTTTCCCCATCGGCAGGCGCAGGATTATGTCAGCGTTGCGATAAGCTTTTAATACTGGTGGATCTCTGTGGAAGAAAACAAGAAAAACAATCAAAAAACAACAAATTTACTTCTAAAGCTATGAAAACATTAAAAATAAGGTTAGGTTTACTTGTTTGAGGTTATATTTAAAGGTTATGTGTGTAAATTGCTTAAATACACATTAAAAACGTAATAATTGTTTGTATTTTTAGATAAAAACGGGTTTTGTGCTGCCCCCGGGGGGTAGGAGGTCCAAGGGGGTGGAGTGGAGGGATAAAGACTTTACAAAAGTTTACATTTATGTAAAAAATAAAGAGATATTGAGGTTAAGGTATAGAAAAAACACTGAAAATTGTAAAAAACGCAATTTTAGGTTATTTTTCAATGGTTTTTCCTTGATATCTTTTGAAGGAATCATTGGATTTCATAAAATCTGATATCAAATTAAAGAGAATTTCAATACCTACAATTTGATTTTTATAACAATATTCTCCGACATTTTGTTCAAAAGTTACAAGCAAAAAACCATCAAAATTTTACATATTTTTAATATATTTACATGTTGAAGGTTACATTTAAAGGTTATGTGTATTATGTTGCCTAAATACACATTGTAAACGTAATAATTGTTTGCATTTATGAATAATACGCGTTTTGTGCGTCCCCCGGGGGCAGGCCACGCGGATTGATGCATTTGATGCGCCAAGGGGTGATTTTAATCTCTCTGACAATTATGTTAATATACTAATAGCCATATCCTGAGCGACATGAGCTCCCTCTCGCCCCCTTTTGTGCATGAATACCGAAAAACCGAAAGGGGACGGACGTCACGGACGTTATGAATATATTTTCGACGCTCGTGCGCCATACATCAAACGCAAAGTGATGAGAGGGATGAAATGGGGAGATATGCGTTGGCAAGGTGATCACTACGATCATCATTCGGCGTATTCGTAATTCAATGTCTGTTTCATTGTTTCATCTTCATATTGATTTTTTTACTCCCTAATATGAAACAAGTGCATACATAACCTATTTTTTTACCTTTTTGAGGTTAAATTTAGTGTTATGTTATGTTATAAGACATCAAATTAAAGATAATTTCAATACCTTTAATTTGACATTAGCTTTGATAATCTGCCATATTTTGTTTAAAAGTTATAAGCAAAAAACCTAAAAAATTTATAAATTTTTGTTTAAATCTTCAATTATTTATTGAAAAATTCAATCTGTTATATTATGTTTACTACTAAATTAAAGAGAATTTCAATACCTACAATTTGACATCAAGAACAATATTCTCCGACATTTTGTTAAAAAGTTATAAACAAAAAACCTAAAAATTAACAAATTTTTGTTGAAACCTTCAATTATTTATTAAAAAATTCAACCAAATATATTATGTTTAATATCAGATAAAAGAGAATTTCAATACCTACAATTTGACATCAAACACAACATCCTCCGACATTTTGTTCAAAAGTTACAAGCAAAATATGCTTACATAACCTACTTTTTCTATTATTTTTTAAGGTTAAACATTGTCAAATGTTAGATTAGGTTCAGAAACCAACATCTAGTTGTCTAAAAGTTAGTTTCAAGCGTTGCGAGTCCTATTTATATGTAAATAGCGATGCGGTCTGGTCTATCGCGGCCATTCGTCTTCAACCCGCCGCGCATATATCTATTACCCTGTTTGATTAAACATAGTGCTCGTCTACGCCACCCCCTGTGGTGATACACCACACAATCAAGTTTCTGTGCACATCAAAATCGATTGAATTTACAACGCGACTGAATTGCATAACACACTCCTATACATAACACACACAAGTGCATATTGAGTTGCATACATACTAAAGAATTATATTCAGTGTATAGCAATACGAAATAGAAACGAAAAAAAACAGATTTACAGATTTCTACATTTTTACTACTACACGACTACATTGTGTGTTGTGTTTGATTCGTAAGCGGATTTTCCACTGATTCGACGTTGTCATGCCAACCACAAACTAATATCGTAATATGTTCTTTCGGCTTTGGGCCAAACTTGCTGCGGTTTCATTTTCTCATTCGAACGTAGACATTATTATTATTACAGTTAAGTATAAGTACTTTATGAAAGTTTTAAGCCTATTAGAATACTCCACGGCGGCCATTTTGTTTGTATGATGCATAACCTACGTAACAATGTGATTTAATATAAGGTTATGTTTGATTCGTGTAAATAAACGTGGAATTTAAACAAAATAAGTTTTTTCGAGTTTGTATGAAGGGGAAACGCGCACGACAAGCGACCACAACCTCCCTCCCCGCCCCTGTGACGCTCGAGGGGGTTTCGCGTTGGCTTTGAAGCTTGCGAAACGGCGCAGTTAGTTAGTTTGCCGTTGCGAGCGAGGGGGCGGCGTAATTGTGATGAAGTCAGCTCGAAAACGTCTTTATTAACTCGTCCCCCTTCACATCACAAATAGACAACCAGTAAAACACACAGGAACCAAATCTAACCTTAAAAATATTCATCATAACCTATTCTAACCTAAAAATTTTATTTTTTTGCTTGTTTTCGATGGGAATTTGATACAAAATCATCGCAATCAGTAAATATCTACTCATAGAATCGAAACGTTGTGCTTTGTGCAATGTCAGCAGAGCGTAGCGCACGCGTTCGGAATAAAAATGCAAAGTGCGTGCTTGAAAAGAAAGAAGGAGGGATTGTGTGGCGGTAAGGAAAAGAAATGATGATATCAATCGGTCCGATTCAGAGTTCGGGATCGCATTATGTGCCACTAGTCGAGGGCGTCGAGTGCGAAAAGATATCGACGCGTGTGTTATTAACGCCGGAAGTCACCGAAAGTCGGGCGAAATCAACCTCAAGCGATGAAAGCGAAAAACCGAGGGTGATCGGGGGAGAAACGAGAGAAACGAAAAACGATGAGGAATGATCGGGTCGTATACTTAACGTCACTCAAATCCAAAATAACACATAACCTGCAATTTCTTACAAAATCGTGAAATACCGGTATTAATATTGGTATACCGGTATTTTTTTCGAAATTCATATTTTTTATTATAATATTTCATTGTAAAAAATTGAAATTTTGAAAAAAAAAAATACCGGTTAACCGAAAAACCGGTATTAATACCGGTATACCGGTATTTTTTCTAGTTCCGATATTTTTTTATTAAATATTTTTTCCTATAAAAAATTAAAATAACGGTATTTTTATAAAAAATATACCGGTTAACCGAAATACCGGTATACCGGTATTTCTATTTTCAAAAACTAATATTTTTCAATACATTTCTTCCGATAAATACCGATATTTTCACATTTTGACCCAAAAAACAACCGGTTTTCCAAAAATACCGGTTTTTACACTAAAAATCCACAATTCTACGACTTACCTTCCAACAAAATCCTCTGGATACGGTATAATATACCCATCTGGACTAGGGCGTGGTGAGTTGCCTACCCAGAAGAAAGCATCAGGTCCAGTCCCATCATAAGAAAAATTCTTGATGAAAATTGTGCTGTCGTCCACGGCGTACGCCGTCCCTGTGATCCCATGTGCATAATCCTTCAATCTACCTATCAACGTGCCATAATACGGCTCTGGATGTCGTTTACACCACCCTGCAACCAAAAACACACATATTACACTAACTATGCAACCAAACATACACAAAACATGTTTTAAATCTAAAACACTTAAAAAAACAGTGTGTAAATCTATTTACACTCAACAAAATGTTCGCAGAGGATGAAAACCGATCCCTGGTTTTCACGGTTGTAGGGTGAAGGAAATCGCCGAGGGAAATCCGTGAAATGTGCGCAGATCGTGTCTGGAAATCCGCGTCTCGCATTAAGATAATCCACCACTCCCCCTACAACACCACGCTTTGGAAATAAGAAACAGATCGACAAGAGTAGCGTAGAAATCTAGTTATAGTTGAGGTTATGTTCGGTTGACAGCATGACGGAGCGTAACAATGGGTCAAGTACGCGAGGGTTGCACACATGATGCATTAGGGGTTGCGAGTAATCGAGAATGTTACTAATCGAACTGTTCATGTGCGAAAAGCGATAAGACAACGACATGTTAGTCATAAGCATTCATAACCTCAAAAAAACACACAAAAATCATGTGTGGAATATGTATAGGTTAAGATATTATGTTTTAGGTTAGGTAATAACGTTGTAAGCACAACGTAAACATTGTAAAATGTGCCTGGAATATTCCCAGCTAATTTTACATGTTTTTCGTAGTAAAATGAGTGAAAATAGAGTAAAATTGAGGTTATGTTATGATATACTCTGTATTATACAAATATCTTCCATTTTTTGTTCATCATTTCGTCTCATAAGTCTTAAATCATTGTTTAAAATACAAAAAACCCAAAATTTGCACGTTTTTCATAATAAAATGTGTGAAAATAGAGTAAAAGTGAGGTTATGTTAAGAAACACTCCGTACAGTACAAATATCTTCCATTTTTTGTCATTAAGACAGCGACATGTTAGTCATAAGCATTCATAACCTCAAAAAAACACAAAAATCATGTGTGGAATATGTATAGGTTAAGATATTATGTTTTAGGTTAGGTAATAACGTTGTAAGCACAACGTAAACATTGTAAAACGTGCCTGGAATATTCCCAGCTATTATTACGTCAAACAAGGCGTAATCTGATAATGCGCGGCGACGCTATGCAAACCAACATACACGAAACATGTTTACTTGTCAATCAAGCGCCTGTGGATGTAATGGTAGTAGTGTTTTATGTTTTACCAGCTTTATAATATCTAAAATAATGAAGTTGCTTGCGTACGCGTTTGTAGTCACGGAAGAAGTAACAATGAAGTAGAATGGCGGGAAGTTTAAAATGGCTGAAAGTATAGTCTATGGAAGTATAGTGTACAGTCTCCATAGTGTAGTCAATTGGATTTGATGTTGACGTAGCTGTCGGTAATACAGTGTGATAATACAGTGTGATGGTACTATAGTACTTAGGTTTGAGCTTCATTGCTGGAATGCTAGATGGCGTTAAAGTAGTCAAATGGCCAGATGCAGAGGTATTATTGGCTAAACTATTTCTTTATTTTATTTAAAAAATAATTTTTTTTATTAAATAAAAAGTAGCGTATAACCATTCGGGGACCACTAAGAATATGTGTACAAATTTTCATGATGATCGGTTATGTAGTTTTTGCGTGAAAGTAACAAACATCAAGACTTTCGCATTTATAATATTATATTTATAATAGGGATATATAAAACTTTACTCATAAGTTTTGTTGTGATTGTGATTGTGATTGTGATTGTGATTGTATTTGTGTGAGTTCGATTAATGCCGCCACCGTTGCCGCCGCTAATGGCCGACGTAATTGTTCCGGACGCGCGACGCAAACGACTTTCGACATGACATGCAAAAGTGTCGAATCCGTGGAGGCTTTTAACGTTTAAACATAGATTACGATCAACGTTACGATCAACGTTGACATTGTGTACATTTGGTTGCCTACATTGATTGAATCACATTCATATAAAAACTCTAACAATGATTATGTTATAATACTACTGTTACGCCATCTCGTATATTATCGAATCAATTTGTTGGGTTTTATTTTTATGATGTGATATATTTATATACAGAGTGTTTAAATACGAAATAAAATTTTTATTTTTTTTTTATTTGTGGTTGATATGTTTTTATGATAGTTAACACGCTGTATAATGAAATATGTGACTTGGGGTGATCATTGCTGGTCGTGTGGTAGTCCGTGCACGATCTATTTCCCCCTTTACATGAGACACGAGGAGGGTTGGTTCATTATTACGCTCGCAGAAACAAGGCAATAAAATTCTATTGAGGGGATTGAATGGTGTGTGCTGGTGACATTACTCATGGAAATATTCATAAGCTAATTTATATTGAAAAAAATTTAAGATATGCAACCAAATATACACTATATTTATACTACAACTACAATTTGTATAATAATAGTGTCTGTGGTTAGTAAAATACAAAATAAAAAATAAAAACGAAAGAGATTCAAGGGTGTATTTCGTATTTCCCAGAGGACAGCTCGTAATATCCGTAAGTTGTAGATTTGCGGAACGCGATGATAGCCTTTATTCCTGTGCGTGTAATGCGCCGCTTTGGGGATTTCGTTTTGATTCTGTTTGCTCGAGATTTGATAGACTCGGGCTTTATTCACGGCTTCCACTTGGAAGCTCTCCCTTCGTGAATACGTGAATGCAATTTCACGCGGAGCATTCTGTATAATATTTTACTCACTTTGTATGTGTAGTGGATGTGTATGTGTGGTTGCGGAGAGAATCAAATCGGAATTCATAGCGGGCAGATCGATAAAAATGGACACGAATACATAACTGGTTTGTGTGTGAGTGATAAATGTGTGCCATCAATTTATAGCTGCGGAATTGTAGTAAATTCAATGTTTTTTTTAGTTTTAAAAGGAGTAGATGACCCAAAATACACGTAAAAGTTTAGAAATTATTGTTTTTTCGTTGAGAAATGTGTGAAATTCATTTTTAAGCGTAGAATTTAAAGATATAAATGTTTATAATTAATTATAAAGTCTGTTTTTCGTGTTTTTTTTGTTTAAAAATGTTGGCAACCCAATATGCACATCAATTTTTTGCATTTTTTTAAATTTTCCATTAAAAATCAATTTTTCCTCGATAAATATTTACTACCAATTTATACGTGCAAAATTCTAAGTTAAAATTGTTTATAATTTGTTTACAATAATATACCGAGTGTTTCCCTAATATTTTTCATTTTAAAACTCTCCGTGACCCATCATACACGTAATATTTCCGTCTACTCGCCTGGAAATTAACTTTCCATGAAGATTTGAAGTTGCCTCCCTTCGTTTAGAAGCGTTTAGACAGGCTTTGAAGGGCGCTGTTCAAGAGCGTCAGCATCAGCGCAGACGTCAAGGGAGAACGCGCACGCTTTTGTCATCTCCAACGATGACGCTGACGAGGGGAGTGTTTCCTTCTTTCGTATATTAAACCCTCATTAGAATGACATCCATTTAGGCGGGCTAATGAATGAATGGGCCGAATCGAGCGGTAATGATTTCTACATTCACGCCATCTATATTCATAACTCATAAGTCAACAAAACATAACCTTATTCATTTAAAAATAAGGTTATGTTTTGTTATTGACATAATTCAATGCAATTAACAAACAAAACTGATACAAAATGACCTTGAAGATAATTTGTTATTAATTTATTTGTTTATCTCTACAAATATTATAAATGCGAAAGTCCTGATGTTTGTTACACTTTCACGCAAAAACTACTTAACCGATCATCATGAAAATTTGTACACATATTCTTAGTGGTCCCCGAATGGTTTTAGGCTACTTTTTATTTAATAAAAAAAATTAATTTTAAAATAAAATAAAGAAATAGTTTAGCCAATAATACCTCTGCATCTGGCTATTTGACTACTTTAACGCCATCTAGCATTCCAGCAATGAAGCTCAAACCTAAGTACTATAGTACCATCACACTGTATTATCACACTGTATTACCGACAGCTACGTCAACATCAAATCCAATTGACTACACTATGGAGACTGTACACTATACTTCCATAGACTATACTTTCAGCCATTTTAAACTTCCCGCCATTCTACTTCATTGTTACTTCTTCTGTGACTACAGACGCGTACGGAAGCAACTTCATTATTTCAGATATTCGCGAGCGAAGCCGCGGGTTAAAGCTAGTTATTAATAATTGTTATGTTTTTATCGTTTCACGAAAAATTATTGTGTTTTTCTTCAGCAAAAATAAATATAAATGATGAATGGAGGAATCAAAGTCTCCGAATCGATCAATCAATTGTGAAAAAGTCATAAACATACAAAGTGTCCCAATAAATGTCACTCTATAAATAAATATCGCCGAATAAATCAAATCCAGTCGAGAATATTGGATGGTCATGTCAATAGGGAGCAAACAAAGCGCGGGGATCCTTTAAGAACTCGTCCTTGGGACGTGATCGCGCAAAAAGGACTCCATTATACGAATGTCCTTCTTTTTTTGTGCTTCACCGTCAAAAGTCGTAAATCATTACCAAAATACAAAAATACGTGATTTTTTATATAAAAATTAGGAAAATGTTATGAAACACTCTGTATAATATAAATATCTTTCATTTTTGTGATTCATTTCCTGTTTTAGGTCTTAAATCACGTTTTAAAAAAGAAAAAACACAAAATTTACAAGTTTTTCATAGAAAAATGAGTGAAAGTAGGGTACAAGTGAGGTTAGGGTAAGAAACACTCTGTATAATACAAATATCTTCCATTTTTTGTTCATCATATTATCTTTTAAGTCTTAAATCATGTTTTAAAACACCAAAAACACTAAATTTACAAGTTTTTCATCCAAAAATGCATAATAATAGAATAAAATTGAGGTTATGTTGTGATATACTCTGTATAAATGCTCAGTTTGTAATAAAACATTAATCAATGCAGAACGCCGCGCTTTGTACTCTCATAGAACTTTATCCAACGCTTTAATCAGCTAATGGAAGCCTTGGGGGCGGCAATCGGCGTTTTCGTTTTTCCCCAACACTTTGTATCGCACGCTTAACCGAGACAAATCGCGCCTTGTGTTTATGCGTGTTCCAACCGCTCAAAAGCTTTTGTTTCCGCGCTCCGCACGCGCTCGCACATTTTTGTTAATTAGTTTCCTAACAAAATGGCGGCACACGCGATAATTTTGAAGTGTGCTGGATTCTGGCAGAACAAAAACCTCATTTTGACACATTCCCGCTCAGTAACAAAATTTTTGTCAAGGTAAATCGCGCAAACATTGTGTAGGCCCCTTCTGTGTTATCGCTTTCCCACACACCAATCCCCTAAATAAAAATTCCCCGTGCATATATGGACCCCAAAACGTCCACATTGAAAATGCAGCAGGCCTACCTGGTCGAGCTGAGTGAAGACGAAGACATTGACACGGATGATACCTCCGCATGCGCAGATACATTACAATTAGAACCCACCAATGAGAAATCAGAAACACCAGTGGCGATTGACATCAAGTCAAACACTCCAGGCAAGTCGGAGAAACATCGTGCAGCGTACGAAAGCACACGAGCGAACAAACACAAAGATGACTCACAAGTTGCCTGCTTTACGTGTTTCCTCGGTCCGTGTCCGGAGGTCGTCAATGCAAACTTCAAACACTCTGAGTTTATGATTTGTTACCGTGATGCCAAGTCACGATGCGAGAACGGTATGATGCGCTACTACTGCTGCCCTCTATACTTGGCAACCATAAAGAAAAACGGTGAAGAGACTTATGAGTTACGCGCGGTGCAAACCGAAAGTAATCTACAATCGAATGATTTTAATAATCATAATGGAGGGGGCGCTGCTGGTGGCACTCGGATGAATCACGAGTGGCATTCGTTTTATAATAATACGCAGGCGCATCCGAATTTGGGCGCCGGCATGTCCCATCACAGTTTTAGTAATCATCACTTCAACTGCCGCCAGCTGCCGCCACAGTTCAACTTTTTGCATCATTGTAGCTGCGCATGTCCGCCTCAAATGATGGCGTATTACTTAAGTAACTATCGGTATCAACAGCAGCAGTTATCACCGCATGGGCAAGCGTCACAGCAGGGTTTCCGGCAGTTTGGGTACCATCCGAGTTATATGTTTCCGTCGCCCGGATCTGCGATGAGTTGACTTAAGTAACTTTTGAAGAAATAATGTAATGGATCCCGCGTGATGGTAGTCTCTGTCAAATTTTCTTTTTTTATTGAAATATGTACGCAAACATTAGGAAGAAGTAAAAACGGCAATAACAACATTTTTTTTTTTTTTTTTGCTGAGTAGGCCGCCATTTTGTTTTTATTTTTGGTGTTATGGCAACGTAAACGTTGAAAATTTATTTTTTCATTGTGAAATTTTTTTGTGTGAATATGAAGTAAATTTTAAATTTTTTTAAAAAAATCAAAATTTTTGTGAAATTTTGGAAAATTTTCTTTAAAAATGCAGGTACAGTTAGAAAAAGTACAACCTGTGCACGGTGCTGACCTAGGTGCGGATTGTCTATGCCCGCCTGTGTGTTTCCAATGCCCGCCGCCATTTTGTTTACCATGCGGCCCGGGACCCAGTGGCGCTGCGCCGGAAGGTGTCGCTGAGTGTATGCCACCACCACGACAATGCGGACCGTTTATGATGTTAAACACGCCAATGGAACGTAAAATAGTTTTGGTAGGTAATACAGAAATCTGTAATCTCTATAATATCATATTTGTGTGTAGGTAATACAGAAATCTGTAATTCCTGTAATATCATATTTGTGTGTAGCTTACAAAACAGGATATTGAAAATGGCAACGGACATCAACATCATAAAGATCACAGAGATAACCGCAACGATGCTGATTGTTGTGATAAAGCACACCATCATCATCATGGCCGTGATGATGACCTTGATTGTTGTGACAAACCACATCACCACCATCATCACACCGGCGAGGATGACAAATGTAAACACAATCGAAACAGAAAAGAATTTAAGGTTATGAATTACGATGAACCAAAACCGCCTGTGGAGAGTGAAGTGTGTGAGCGGCGTGACCGTAAGAGGGCGCCAGGCAAACGTCCACGCACTAATAGCAGAGAACTACGAGGGGGAAAGTTATACATCGGTTGTGACTGTGAGAAACGCAACGGATTACAAGATGAATGTCAACGCAGCTTGTGTCAAGGTTCGCCTGAGTGTGCAACTATTCCACCGACATGCGCGCCATCTGAATTCTCAAATGGGAAGCATTTAACAAAACGCAGATCTGAGTTTGAGAAGAAAATACGTGAACAGTTTAAATATTGTTGATAAAATAAAATAAAATGTTTCGTTATATTACTTACACAAAAATTTATTATTCACACAAACAGTGTTTTTATTTACAGTTATTATGTTCACTTGATGCTTCCAAACGTTGTTGTTTACGCACAGCGTGGAAATTGTCGACGATTGCTTGTAGATGCGCAGCGTTGCCATATATACTCGGACCGCAAGATGGCACCTCACACGCGTGATTTGGATTGCCGTGCCATGTGCGCACTCACGCCTCCTGCAAGCGTCTTGCAGGCCGTTGAGTTTGACGCAGTCGCAGCCGACGTGCATGCAACCGGCGCGCAGCTCACGTGACTTTACCACGCGCGGGATGCGGCGACCGTGCGCGCATCTACGCTTGTAGTGTTTGAATGGTTTTGGCTTGCGTGCCGGCTGCACACCACTAGGTGGCGCTTTACTTACATGGTGTGCACGCACGCCATCGGAGGTCTGGGGACGGAACTTTGATTGTTGAGGTTGGAAATCTGCTGTTTTTTGATTAGTGCTGAAATCCAGTGCGGTGTTTGGGCGATCGCAGGGGTTGAAGACGTTTTTTGATGGGATGAATCGTGTGGAGTCCATTTCATGTGCGGGTTTGCAATAGGCGTCGAAATTTAGGGAATTTTGTGCCTTGGGTTGAATATTTAGAGAGTTTTGATGTGTTTATGTTGAGTTAATACTTACTTTGAGATTAGATTCGGAATTAATGTATTGATCAGCCATGTTTTTGGGAAAAAATATTAAATAAACGTTGATGGGTAATTTTCTGACACAAATTTTATATATAAACGTCAATTTGTTTGTTTTTTTGTGAATATAAACACAAAAAACAAAGTTTCTATGAAAACAAATAGAATTTTTAGATATCAACACTAGATGTCAGCACTTATATAAACACAAATACGTTATGTTTCTCTAAATGTCAATTTTAATTGATTTCATTGATTAAAAACACAAAAAAACAAAATTTTATTGAAGAAAATCAATTTTTTAGATTTCACCGCAAGATGGCAGCACTTGTATAAACACAAATAGGTTATGTTTTACTTAAATGTCACATTTTCGTAAATTTAATTTGAAAAACGTCAATTTAATTTGATTTTAAACACAAAAAACAAAGAAAAATCAAATTTTAAGATTTCAACGCTAGATGGCAGCACTTATATAAGCACAAATAGGTTATGTTTCACTACATGTAAATTTTAAATGGTTTCTTTGATTAAAAACACAAAAAAACACAATTTTTACTAAAACAAATTAAATTTTTAGATTTCACCACTAGATGTCAGCACTTATACATCCAAAAGTAGGTTATGTGTCACTGAAATGTCACACATCACTCATAAAACTCACACGATTGTTTAAAACCGACATTCTTGTAATATTTTCAACGTAGACGCAAATATTTGACCATGTAAACCGTATAGAATGCTGTTTTCTAAATTTTCTCATACGCTTGTGATTTTTCTAAATGCTGGTAATTGCATTTTCATTACATTGTGATGCCGTTATGTTCTTGACCCAGAATGTAAATGAATAACTGTTAAACAATGAAAAATAGCAAAACTAAAAAAAAATTAGAAAAGTAAGTATGACACATTACGAGTATATGACAACATTAACCACATATTGATTTCCGACGGATGGTAATGTTAATGTTTATGTTGTGATACTAGCATTAAAAATATTAAGTTTAATATTTAATATTTGCACTGCGACGTTTCACGTAATAAAGTAATAATAAAAATGCGGGAATATTGCGGTTTGTCGAGTATTTTGCAATAGCATGAAAACGGTTATTATTGATGATCAATAATTACTGTGTAATTTATTATTACTGCGAAATCATGGAGGCTTCTCTCTGCACTGAGAGGCAAGAGTTGCGATTCTCAAGGTTGCAACGCATTGAAATTTGTTTTACTATTGTATTGTATCAATAAATTTATCTATTTCGAGGCAGGAATAAAAATAAACATGTTCAAAGTCGTGATATGAATGAAAATTGCAATATAAACATTATGTTTGGTTTATGGCAACTAGAAAATGTATTTTACATTAATTTTTATTAAGTTTTTATAAAAATTCGTTGAGAAAAGAAGAAAAAATTAAGAAAAATTTAAAAATTGCAAAATTTCCTTCTTTTTCGGAATAAAAATAGCAATAAACGCCTTTTAAAGTTGTGTTATCAATAAAACTAATGATAATAAACTTTAATTTTTCTTTCCCGTTATTAAAAAATGTATTTTACATCAATATTCATCAAATTACCGCAAAAATTTGTCGAGAAAAGAAGAAAAAATAAGGAAAACGTAAAAAATGACTAAAAATATTAATTTTACATCAATTTTCATCAAATTTCAACGAAAATTTGTCGAGAAAAGAAGAAAGAATGTCAAAAAAACGCAAAATTTTCATTTTTTTGCACCAAAAATCAAAATAATCATCCATAAAGTCGTGATATCAATAAATCTGTTACTAAAAACATTACTTTACTCAAATTTCATCAAATTTTTACAAAATTTCCTCAAAAATTCATAAAAAAATCATAAAAAACCAAATAAATTACAACATACCTCCAGATACAAGCAGCACAAGACTAAAAATATTCCTCAGGATCATCTTGCTGGCCACGTCCCTCCCGCTCGCTTCTTATCACCAACACACACGCACGCACACGCAATACACACAATGATAACATCCACTATTTCCACAAACTTTAAATTTAAAAACGTCCAGATTTATTTAAAAACCAAACCAAACCAAACAAATACAAAAACAACCGCACATCAACGTTATCCAAACACAACTAAGTTTTATTTATTCGCTGTGTTGTGTTTTGTTTTGCTCTGCTCTGCCGTGTTCCGCTAATGTTTGCGCGTGCGCTTGCAGCTAAGCCACACTACGCGTACTCAACTGGTGAGAGTTGTGATGATGCCGGCGCGTTGCGAATACAAAAAGTAGTGGCAAATGAATTTATTCGTGTTATTCGTATGTATGGGAAAGGAAACCAGTGTCAGCTCAAAGTCACTCTCACTTTTTCGCTTTTCACTCGAACGTTGAGCGTTGAATTGAATTTTTGGTAACCGACTTAAGTCACTTAACTCGCACTCTCACTCACAGAATTTTTAAAACTTGTTTCTCGTTGATAATTAACTGTTTTCTTTTTAGATTTTAATTTTATTGCTTTATGTTAAGTAATAAGAAAATAATTTTCGTTTTTGGCCTTTTCTGACATATTGTATATTAATAATTAAATTTAAACTATTAATTTGATATTATTTCGTTTTGATTAGTTGGAAATCGATCATTGTGTGCATGACGTGTGCGTATCCGTTGCATCAGCGATGTGGCGTCGACGGCGCCGCCATGTTGGCGTTAACAAATTGCGTAATAGTGTTTTTGGCGTCGCGCGGCGGGAGGCGGCGGTGGTGACGGTTCGACGCGGCGGCGGCAGACGACGGCCGTGGACTGGCGGCGCCCGCCGGCCACAGCTCGCGCGGCACCGGGAAAATGGGCGGTGGTGGTGGTGGCGGCGCGGGCGCCTGAAGGCGGCGATTGGCACACGCGCCGCCCACCACAATCGCCGCCGCTGGCACTGTGCGCTCACATTCATGATAGAGGAATGCATCGGGTCGGATCAAATGACAATGATGAGTCAAATATAAAAGAATTTTATCTTTTTTAGGTTAGGTTAGGTTATGTTGCATACGTACGTCAAGAATAAGTCATTTGGTGATTAAAATTGTTTTTTGTTGTTTTATTATAACTTAAAACACTATAAATCACTGTTTCAACACAAATTTTGACATAATTTTGCTAGTTTAAGGTCAGTTCAAGGTCAAAATGTCAAAATATAACACTTTTATTACTAATTCACTAAATTAAACTGATACAAAAGAATTGACAGTGATTCAAACATAAAAAACTCAAAATATTATCTTTTTAGATTAGATTAGGTTATGTTGCATTCGCACGTCAATAATTTATCAGTATTGCAGTAAAAATGACTTATTTATTGATTAAAAGATGTTTTTGTTGTTTTATTATAAAATAAAACATAGTATCTCATATTTTAACACAAATTTTGACATAATTTAAGAAATTCAAGGTTAATTCAAGGTCAAAATGTCAAAATAAACATTTTTATTACTAATTCACTAAATTAAACTGATATAAAACAATTGACAGTGATTCAAACATAAAAAACGCAAACTTTTATCTTTTTAGGTTAGATTAGGTTATCTTGCATTCATACGTCAATAATTAATCAGCATTTTAGTAAAAATAACTTATTTATTGATTAAAAGTGGTTTTGATTGTTTTATTACAAATAAAAACATTATTACTCATATTTTAACACAAATTTTTACATAATTTTGCAAATTTAAGGTCAATTCAAGGTCAAATTGTAGAAATAAACTTTTTTATTACTAATTCACTAAATTAAACTGATATAAAAGAATTGACAGTGATTCAAACATAAAAAACGCAAACTTTTATCTTTTTAGGTTAGATTAGGTTATCTTGCATTCATACGTCATTTATTTATCAGTATTGCAATAAAACTGACTTATTTATTGATTAAAAGTGTTTTTTGTTGTTTTATTACAAATAAAAACATTATAACTCATATTTTTACACAAATTGTGACATAATTTTGCAAATTTAAGATCAATTCAAGGTCAAACTGTCAAAATAAACCTTTTTGTTACAAATTCACTAAATTAAACAAATATAAAAGAATTGACAATGATTCAAACATAAAAAACGCAAAACTTTATCTTTTTGGGTTAGATTAGGTTATGTTGCATTCGTACGTCATTTATTTATCAGTATTGCAATAAAACTGACTTATTTATTGATTAAAAGTGTTTTTTGTTGTTTTATTACAAATAAAAACATTGTAACTCATATTTTAACACAAATTTTGACATAATTTACCATATTTAAGGTCAATTCAAGGTCAAAATGTTAAAATAAACCTTTTTGTTACCAATTCACTAAATTAAACTAATATAAAAGAATTGACAATGATTCAAACATAAAACACGTAAAACTTTATCTTTTTAGGTTAGATTAGGTTATGTTGTATTCATACGTCAATGATAACTCATTAATTAATCAACATTGAAGTAATGCTGACTTATTTCCTGATTAAAGTTGGTTTTTATTGTTTTATCACAACTTAAAACATTGTTAGTCACTTTGTTGAATAAATTTCAACAGTATTTAGAAAGTTCAAGGTCAAAATGACGAATTACAATTCAGACAACTTTTTCGTTAGTAGTTTACTAAATTAAAGTAGTTTTATAGAGTTTAGACATAAGAAATGACAAATAAAACAATTGAATTGTTTCTGTAAATTATTTTAATTTGATGGCAATACAAAACACAAATTAAAAACACCACTTGAATGTTTGAATGCCTTTCATGTCTCCTGTGTCCTTGAAAACACAAAAAAAAAGCAGTGAATATCCTCAACGCCCTTCGTTTTCGAGTCTTGAAGACACGCGCTTCTAATTTTAGAATAAAAGAAAGCGTGCTCTCGTAATTTGCTCATTTGCATTTGCCTTTTCGTCGTGGAAACTTTTCAAGTTGTAATTAGACACTGCGCGTCTTTTGTCATCGAGTTAATTAAACTTTTTTCCTTATTCATTTGATTTATTTTGATTTATTTTGTGAGACGTAAAAAGTAAACATATTGGGTTGCATAGTTTTTCGTCGTGCGGCCGTGTTGTGTTTACGGTAGGGTTGCACCGTTTTCACAGTCGTTTAAATCGATGTCGTCGCATTTATGGATCCATTAAGGGTAATGCCTTAATGAGCGCGTCGTGAGCGCCTCGGATTACGGCTAGATTTGCGCCCCAACGCGTATTAATGCCTCTACACAATAGGGGTGTATGTGTATGTAGGGTTGCCAAGCCAGGGAAGCTATGCTTTCAGACAAAAAGGAAAAAGAAAGTTTTATGAATATAAGAATTAATTTAATGTATGCAACCAATATAACACACATGCATATATAAAATATTAGACTATTACATGAATTTAAGGAATAAAACACTCTGTATATTTTATAATAGAGTTAATACCTTTAGTGCAATTAATTTTATTAAACTTGTCAAGTTAGACAAGCAAAACTTTAACTAAAAATCCAAAAAATAAAATTTTAACAATACACAAATCAATTTAATATAGGCAACCAATATAACTCACAAATCTACTTTATTTGCTTATAATGTGGGTAAAACAAATGCAACACTCTGTATATCCTTCTAATAAAGTTAATACCGTTAGTTTCATTAATTTTATTAAACTGGTCAAGTTTGACAAGCAATACTTTAACTAAAAATCCAAAAAATTAAATTTTAACAATACACAAGTCACTTTAATATATGCAACCAACATAACTCACAAATCTACTTTATTTACTTATAATGTGAAGGAAACAAATGCAACACTCTGTATATTCTTCTAATAGAGTTAATACCGTTAGTACCGTTAGTGCAATTGTGTTTGTTAGGGAGTTTCAATCAGAATAACGCTGAAAATAGAAACGTGCGAGGAGGGTGGCAAGATAAAGGGCCGAAACGACGCGACGGCGGGACGACAAAACGATGGGCGAGCACCGAACAGGGAGAGGGGTAATGCTGGCGTAACAAAAGGATATATCGGACGGTGCAGTTTGCAACTGGAGAAATTGGGGACGGAAGCGACGCGCGCCAAATGAATGAACGAAATTTCCTGCGAAGACTCCTGATAGCAACCCCCTTACGATGTGCTTTCAAACAAATTTTACTAATGCTTTAATACCTACAACTTACTAATACCTAAAGAAAAAAAGAAAAACAGAATATTTTTGTTTTATGAATTTAACTGAAACACTCTGTATATAATTATTTATTTTAAGTTAAAAACTATGAAAATACTACTAAATCAAGACTTGTAAACATTATAAAAACAAATCGTAACACAACAAGTTACAACAAGTCGTAAACATCCCTACTAATATTATAAATGCGAATGTCCTGATGTTTGTTACACTTTCACGCAAAAACTACTTAACCGATCATCATGAAAATTTGTACACATATTCTTAGTGGTTCCCGATTGGTTATAGTCTACTTTTTATTTAATAAAAAAAATTATTTTTGAAATAAAATAAAGAAATTGTTTAGCCAATAATACCTCTGCATCTGGCTATTTGACTACTTTAACGCCATCTAGCATTCCAGCAATTAAGCTCAAACCTAAGTACTATAGTACCATCACACTGTATTATCACACTGTATTACCGACAGCTACGTCAACATCAAATCCAATTAACTACACTATGGAGACTTCCATAGACTATACTTTCAGCCATTTTAAACTTCCCGCCATTCTACTTCATTGTTACTTCTTCTGTGACTACAGACGCGTTCGGAAACAACTTCATTATTTTAGATATTCGCGAGCGAAGCCGCGGGTTAAAAGCTAGTTGTAAAATAAAAAAAACGACATATTTTTGTTTTAGTGTGAAGTTAGCTTTACTTCTACTTCACAATTTCTCCTGCAGGTAGCGATACAATACCAGCAAGCGTATTTTTCACGCGCATATATTTCAATAGATAAAATTCAGATGGCGTGACTCATACCAAATCAACTTTATTTGTTTATCCACAAACTGATAAATAAACCGATAAATCTTATTTTATCTATCCTAGACGATATAAATATAAATTTCTATAAAAATATATAAATTAAACATAGTATCAAAATGGCATCTAAACCTCCAACAATAAAACAAACCAAATCTTGGTTTAATCAATATATAAACTCATTTAAATACGCTCAGACGACACACCATCAAATCCCAACAACAAATACTACAACAATAGAAGTAGATGGACACTACGAGGATCAACTATTCGCCCGGAAGCGTTTCCCAATCGTCATGCCCGCCATTTCCCTCATCATGGTCGCCCTGTTCGTCATAGATGTCGTACAAACAAAAGACATGTACATGGCGGACGGCATCATCGCCCAAACCCTGGAATACCATCCATCACGCAAGAAGGAACTCTGGAGATGGATCACCTACATGCTGGTACATCTCAACGTGGGCCACATCTTCACAAACGTCGTATTTCAAGTGATATTCGCGATTCCCTGGAAATGGTACTCGGATATTGGCGTGTGATGGCGGTGTTCCTTTGTGGTGTGCTTGCGGGTAGTGTAGGTGTCTCTATTGGTACGCCAATGATACGTTTAGTGGGCGCTAGTGGCGGGACCTATAGTTTGATCACTGTGCACTTAGCTTTGGTGATTATGAACTGGAAAGCGATGGATAAGTTGAGATTGATACATCTAGGTGTACCAAGTGTTTTGATTGTGTTTGATGTGGCAAATTCGTTGATTACCAGGTATTATCTGCAGAAATATGAGAGGATAAGTTATATTGCGCATCTGTGTGGAGGTATGGCTGGATTACTCATTGGTTTAGCATTGTTTAAGATCGAAACGCCTGAAGAACACAAATTTAAGATGAGTATTATTTATAGAATACTTCAAGGAATAGGGATTGTTATCTATGTAGCGTTTATTGTATATGGAATTGTGTGGAATATTGATAATTCAAAGTGATAAGAATATATAAGTGTTTTTATTATTATTTCATCGTAAAAATGTGGTTTGTAGTATTCTAGGAAAAAGATGTTGAGATGTTGAGATTCTTTAGATAAGGTTATATTATTTGACAGTTTTGACAGTTCAGTGATGTGGGACAAGTGTTTTTATGATTATTTTATCATAAAAAACGATTCAAGTAATAAGATGTTGAAATTTTTAGTTAAGGTTATGTAAGGTTAGGTCATTTGACATTTTTGACAGTTCTGAGTCGTAGGACAAGTGTTTTTGTTATTATTTTATCGTTAAAAACGAGTCAAAGAATAAAATGATGAAAATTTTAAATAAGGTTATGTAAGGTTATGTCATTTGACATTTTTGACAGTTCTGAGTTGTGGGACAAGTGGTTTTGTGATTATTTTATCATAAAAAACGATTCAAGGAATAAAATGTTGAAATTTTTAGTTATGGTTATGTAAGGTTATGTTATTTGACAGTTTTGACAGTTCTGAGTCGTAGGACAATTGTTTTTATGATTATTTTATCATGAAAAACGATTCAACGAATAAAATGTTGAAATTTTTAAATAAGGTTATGTAAGGTTATGTTATTTGACATTTTTGACAGTTCAGGGAGGTGGGACAAGTGTCTTTGTTATTATTTTATCATAAAAAACTATTCAAGGAATAAGACGATGAAATATTTAATTAAGGTTATGTAAGGTTATGTCATTTGACATTTAGACAGTTCAGTCATGTGGGACAAGAGTTCTTTGTGATTATTTAATCGTAAAACACGATTCAAGGAATAAAATGATGAAATTTTTAAATCCCTACTAATATTATAAATGCGAAAGTCCTGATGTTTGTTACACATTCACGCAAAAACTACTTAACTGATCATCATGAAAATTTGAACACATATTCTTAGTGGTCCCCGAATGGTTATAGGCTACTTTTTATTTAATAAAAAAAATTATTATTTAAATAAAATAAAGAAATTGTTTAGCCAATAATACCTCTGCATCTGGCTATTTGACTACTTTAACGCCATCTAGCATTCCAGCAATGAAGCTCAAACCTAAGTACTATAGTACCATCACACTGTATTATCACACTGTATTACCGTCAGCTACGTCAACATCAAATCCAATTGACTACACTATGGAGACTGTACACTATACTTCCATTGACTATACTTTCAGCCATTTTAAACTTCCCGCCATTCTACTTTATTGTTACTTCTTCTGTGACTATAGACGCGTACGGAAGCAACTTCATTATTTTAGATATTCACGAGCGAAGCCAAGGGTTAAAGCTAGTAAGGTTATGTTATTTGACATTTTTGACAGTTCACTGACGTGGAACAAGTTTTTTTGTTTTATTTATTGCACACGACATACACGATACAAATTGTGACACTACTTACAAACCGGGCAAAGAATTATAATCGAAACTTACGTCTAGCGCATGCGTAATAATTAATTTAGTCAATTTAACGTCCGTTATCCATCATGGACTTTGGAAATCCCATCATGACACTAGTCAACTCAGAATTACGTTTTCCTGCCAATGGCAAACGATAAGGTGGTTGATGTACAATATTTGTAGGTGTTTCTTGCAGGGGAAGAAAATCTTCAGCCTTGCGAAGCTTAGAAATCAACCAGCTTGCTAATTGATGACCACCAGGCGAAGCAAACTACAAAAACAACAATTTAGAATGATTTTACACTTGAATTTGAAGTTTTACTTCTCTGTCAACATAACGATCGTCTTCAGGAGCAGCAGGAAACGCAAATGTCTTCAAACTCATCGTCACAGCCAAGACAAAGATGTAAAGATGCAGTTTACAGTTTGATTGCATTTTAAATCTATGAAATTCTCGTTAAAAACAAAAATTAACACGAAAATGCTATACTTACACCATTTTTATAATGTTAAAGTTAGGTTATGTTCTATATTGGTATGAAAGGACTGCAGGTGCAATCTGTACTAACCAGATAATCCCTGCGTTGTTTCTTTTATACCTGTTTATTTGATTATGTGTTGAGGATCGCAATAAGAAAAAGAACAGCGTCATCAGCAAGCTGTCAAACACAGATTTTCGTATATTACGTGGATTTATTTGCTCGCGACGTCTGCAAACGACATCCAACACGAAAATACGCAAATTGATACATTATTACTACTATAAAAACACGTAGAAGCCTAGAAAACATTGATATCATTCTGTTTGGTGTTGACCAAGTCGAAGTCCAGTGCGCTGAGCATGGAAAAGGTAAAAAAACAGCGCAGGCGCGCTTAAAATATGCCAAATATCATGAGTGTCGTAGAAATCAAACAAAATGCAGTCTTGGTTTGATAAACGTGATTGTGCAGGAGTTTTCTACAAAAATTTAAAGATTTACAGAAAGTTTTAAAGATTTTTAGGTTACATAACCTAATATATGTACTACTACTCACCGACCAATGTGTAGCAGCATTAAAAAAGAAATAACTGCCGGAAATCCAAAACAAAACAGCCAATAAACCGTAAAACATTGCTTCACAACAAATACGTTCACCTGTCAACAACTAAACTCCACTTTAGTAAAAAAAAAAATAAATTAAAAATCTGTAAATAATAAATACCTTCATTATAATGTAGAATATACAATACATGATGGCGTTGCCCATTAAAATGATCAATAAGTAAGTCCCAAAGTCAACTATGTTTGGATACAGCACAAATCCACTCAGAGCCATAGCAGAATTGACTGACAATCCCGCAAAAACGAAAAAAAGCTGACCTGTGCACAAAAATAGATAAAAAGTAAGGTTATGTTAGTTACAAGTGCATAATACTAACATGGCCGATTTGGTACGCAATGACTCACGCCATCATCACAAACATTCCCACATACAGTGAGAATTCGTCCGGTGACATTCGTGAAGAAGTAAATCTTAAACGCCAAGTATAAACAGAATATGACGAAGGCAACATAGAATACAATCATCACAATCAACGAATTGTAGATGATTCCGAGCATGGCGATCATTACAGCCAAGCCTAGAACTGTAAAAGTACTGTATGCGCTTGCTTGTACTGCAGGATGGCGGTTTTGATAGAGTTTTGCAATGATTAACACTGCCATCACGTACATGAAGCTTGTATCTGTCAAAAATCACATGAAAATTAGGTTATGTTGTGTTTTTTCATGAATCCCTACTAATATTATAAATGCGAATGTCCTGATGTTTGTTACACTTTCACGCAAAAACTACTTAACCGATCATCATGAAAATTTGTACACATATTCTTAGTGGTCCCCGAATGGTTATAGGCTACTTTTTATTTAATAAAAAAATTATTTTTAAATAAAATAAAGAAATTGTTTAGCCAATAATACCTCTGCATCTGGCTATTTGACTACTTTAACGCCATCTAGCATTCCAGCAATGAAGCTCAAACCTAAGTACTATAGTACCATCACACTGTATTATCACACTGTATTACCGACAGCTACGTCAACATCAAATCCAATTGACTACACTATGGAGACTGTACACTATACTTCCATAGACTATACTTTCAGCCATTTTAAACTTCCCGCCATTCTACTTCATTGTTACTTCTTCTGTGACTACAGACGCGTACGGAAGCAACTTCATTAGTTTAGATATTCGTGAGCAAAGCCGCGGGTTAAAGCTAGTAGCTCATAAAACACATTGTATGTGTTGATTATCTTGAAGATAAGTATCAAAATGAGTAAAAACAAAACCAAATCAATCATTATCATCAATATTTTCAATCTGAACATAAATTTTTCATGTTTTAACCAAAAATAAACCAAAACCAACTAATTTTTAACGTTTATCACGTAAAACACACTGTATGTGTCCGCCATCTTTAAATAAAGTATCAGAATGACTAAATTCATAGCCTCATCAATCATTATCATCAATATTTTCTATCTCAATGTGTAATTTAATCATTTTGAGTAAAAATAAAACATAACTAAGTAATTTTTTAACTTATCCCTGCTAATATTATAAATGCGAATGTCCTGATGTTTGTTACACTTTCACGCACAAACTACTTAACCGATCATCATGAAAATTTGTACACATATTCTTAGTGGTCCCCGAATGGTTATAGGCTATTTTTTATTTAATAAAAAAATTATTTTTTAAATAATATAAAGAAATTGTTTAGCCAATAATACCTCTGCATCTGGCTATTTGACTACTTTAACGCCATCTAGCATTCCAGCAATGAAGCTCAAACCTAAGTACTATAGTACCATCACACTGTATTATCACACTGTATTACCGACAGCTACGTCAACATCAAATCCAATTGACTACACTATGGAGACTGTACACTATACTTCCATAGACTATACTTTCAGCCATTTTAAACTTCCCGCCATTCTACTTCATTGTTACTTCTTCTGTGACTACAGACGCGTACGGAAGCAACTTCATGGATTTCTAATATTTATTTGATGGATTCAACGCGAGCGAAGCCGCGGGATAAAGCTAGTAAATAATAAGTGAGGTTATATTACCGAATTGAAAGTTGGATTGATTCGGGCATATGTGATAACAACCAGAAAGGACACCTTCCAAGACCAAAGCCAGACCCATAGCGTAATATAATCCATATAACCTTGGAATACCACATTTGGGTCGCGATGGCATCCTGTGACGGAATGCGGTGATGATAAGAAACAACACGCCAAAGCAAACATAGCCGAGATTCGAAAAGATGTGATTGAAGTCTTGGAAATACAGCGGGTGTGAACACAGACTGTTGTAATAACAAAGGTCTAAGTTTCCAGTACTGCTCACCATCTACAATACATAAACATGTAACATAACCTCACATGAAGTCTATTATTAAAGAAATACATACTCGGTCATAGAATACCATCAGTTGCACCACTGGTAGGCTATAAAAGATAGCAATGTTTGCAATATGCCAGAGGTAATTCATTGCAATTCTTTGATTTCGTTTGCCTTGACCATTGAACGTTGACAGCTTGGGTTCTTCACTGTTCTGCATGGCGTCGACGATATCTGGTGTCAAAGCACAATCACGCCTGAAATCTATAAGCAAATAAATAAAAAATTGATTTTCAATGATTTCAAATGAATTTTGTGTGAAATAAGTTGCCTACCTGATTGATCATGGTCTTTGTAGTAATATCCTCCACATTGATAGAAACAACAGGTAAGTAAGAGAATACAAACACAGAAAATTGTGTTGAATCCAAGAAGACTGATGATTGCCTTAAAACTTGAGGATTCTTTACGTTCGATGATGGTGAATTGAACTCGGGAGATTTGTTTGTTTTCGACGAATTTTGTTTCCTCTGTATGTGGCACCCCTGCGTGCTTGTCACACAAGTAGTTATCAGCGTGGGCAACAAAAACAATCACGAAACTTGATTGTTCAAATTCTTTCCTCTGTAATTCATAAAAAAAATGAAAAACTTGCGTGTTTTTAGGTTATAATGTTCATTTCTTACTTGTATGTTAAGTCCGCCATTTTTAGACACTGTTTGGTATTTACCCTGATAGGTTATATGATCCTGAAGGTCATATATAGGACACTAGAAAAATAATGTTGTTTAGAATGAGTTTTTGTTGGTTTTTGATGTGAATTACAATGTGTGGTTGGATTGACACTGTGAAACAGACATCATCCATCGAGGTAACTTTCAAATGCACAGTTTCCACATCCTTCGCAGGGAATTCATACACAAAGTACACTGGTTCACTGGGACTGAAAACAGCGTCGTAGTTTCGATTTGGTGTGACGTCATAAAATGGCACCGGAAGTGCGCGGACCATTACTGACACAGGCTTCTCTGAGTATGTTGATAACAAAATGCTGAAATTGGGATTTTTCCGGTTTGCTTTTTCTATGTGAAAAAAAAAAATTACAGACTTGTAATTGGTATTGATTAGTAGTTAGAAACACTTACGTAATGTGATAGAAGTATGGGAATGTCCAGGAGCATATTCATACATTGCCTCACATAATATCCTTGAAGTATTCCTGTATTCAACAAAGGGATCAATCACATCCGGATTGGGTGCTTCGACTAATAATGGCAACTGCCATGAAAGAATGCTTTTTGCTTGACGTACAACGACGAAAACCGGATGCGATCGATTGGCGTCAATAGCGCTCACTTCCACACGATATGGTTGGTAATTCGGGGAATCCCACAATTGCTACGAAGACATTTTACATTTTTATATGCAACTAGTTAACCGGGCAAACGTTGTTTTGCCATATAAATTATTTCTAGTTTCTAGATAAATTTTAGTGTAGACAAAAAGTAACTTACTTATTATAAAAAATAGGGGTTGGTGATAAGAAACCAAAAATTTAGGGTTGTATGTATATTTTAATGCCACATTAAAAAAATAAAAACAAAAATTTTCGACCAAAATTTAAAAAAAATTAAGGGTGAACAACCCTTATCACTTAAAGATATGAAGTTACCGATTCTCAGACCTACTGAATACGCATATAAAAATTTTCTTTGAGCGGGATGAAAAATGATTAAATTACTAAAATGGCTATAAAGAAATAGGGGTTGGTGATAAAAAACTAAAAATTTAGGGTTGTATGTATTTTTTAATTCCACATTATAAAAAAAATAAAAACAAAAGAATTTGTCCAAAAATTTAAAAAAAAGTTAAGGGTGAACAACCCTTATCACTTAGGGGTATGAAAAATAGATGTTAGCCGATTCTCAGACCTACTGAATACGCATATAAAATTTGGTAAAAATCGGTAAAGCCGTTTCGGAGGAGTATGGAAACAAACACTGTGACACGCAAATTTTATATATATAGATTATTTAGTTTTTATATGAAAAAACTTACTTTATGGATTGTATAATTAAATTCGACATTTTCATCGGAAGTGATTTTGAAGGAGTACACTTTTCCGGTTTCACCAATATTAATCTCACCATTGATTGGCAATAGGGCACATGTAAGTAACACTAACACAAATTTCAAAATGTCTCCACACATGATTTTTTTATTAATTATTATGAAAAACACAAAAATAAAAATTGATCCGCACGACACACGAAGTGGTGAACAACGACTGGATAAATGAACCTAACAAGAACGCTGAGTTTACAGTCATGAAAGCTTTGTTGATATTAACTGAAAGTGAACACGTCAGCGATTTATATATTTAGATTAACGAAACATATCGTTTGACTCGTGATCCCAAAAGTGCAAGCTGTGCATAATTTAAGAGTAACTTAAACGTGCTGTACCACTAAACACTTAAAATCTTGAAAAACTTACAATGTAAAGTTAGGTTAGGTTAGGTTAAATTAATGGTAAAAATGATAATGTATTGATATTTATCATGATTTTCTTATTTCTTTGCGAAATAAAACGTAAATATATAAATTTTTAGGTTAAGAATGACTTAAGCGTGCTATAAAACTAAACAATGATTAAAAACTTAAAATAAGGTTATGTAAGGTTAAGTAAATGGTAAAAATGATAATGTATTGATATTTATCATGATTTTTTTATTTCTTTGTGAAATAAAACGTAAAAATATAAATTTTTAGGTTAAGAATGACTTAAGCGTGCAATAAAACTAAACAATCATTAAAAACTTAAAATAAGGTTATGTTAGGTTTAGTTAATGGTAAAAATGATAATGTATTAATATTTGTCATGATTTTCTTATTTCTTTGCGAAATAAAACGTAAAAATAATTTTTTTTAGGTTAAGAATGACTTAAGCTTGCCATAAAACTAAACAATAATTAAAAACTTAAAATAAGGTTATGTAAGGTTAAGTAAATGGTAAAAATGATAATGTATTGATATTTGTCATGATTTTCTTATTTCTTTGCGAAATAAAACGTAAAAATATAAATTTTAGGTTAAATTACATAAATCTACAAAATATAACCTAAAAACTTTGATTTCATCCTGTCGTGTATTAACCAAATCATCATCCATGGCCCCCAGAAACGAAAACGTGAAGAACAGCGCAGGCGCGCTTAGAATATGCCAAATGTCATGCGTGTCATAAAAGTCAAACACCATACAATCCTGATTCAGTAGACGTGACTGCGCAGGCGTTTTCTACATAACATAAACAAAACATTAAACCCTCTGCGCATGCGTAGATAACTCACCAGTACTCACCGACCAAACTGTGGCAGCATTAAAGAAGAAATACGCGCCGGCTAACCACAAAACCAGTGCTAACACACCGTACAACATGGCCTCGAAACAAATCCGCTCTTTGGTGATCATTTTCATCGCCATGTAGAATATGGAGTACATAATTGCATTACCCATTAGGATAATCAATAGATAAGTACCAAAATCAACGTTTTCCGGATATAAAAAGAATCCACTGATTGCCATTGTGAAGTTTATTAATAATCCCAACACGACAAACACAAACAATCCTAAAATTTGCAAAAATAGGTTATGTTTGATTCCTGAAGAGGTTATGTCACTTACTTTGACGTCTCGGTCTCAATCCTTGTTTAATTCCAACACTGCGTGCTTCATCGACGAAAGTACGCATGCCACGTGTGACATTTGCGAAGAAATACAATTTAAACGCCATGTACACACAGAAAATCACATAACTCACGAAGAACACAATGAGCACGGGCAGGGAATTGAAAATAATTCCAAACATGGCCACCATTACACTCAATCCCAACACTGTGAATGTACTATAGGCACTTGCCTGCACATCAGGGTGTCTATTCTGGTATAGTTTTGCCATGATTAACATTGCCATCACGTACATGAAACTTGTATCTAAAATCAATAGCATTAAAATAAGGTTATGTTATTTTCTTGAAATTATTTAAGGTTATATTACCAAATTGAAAATTAGATTGATTCGGACATATGTGGTAACATCCAGAGAGCACACCTTCAAAAACCAAGGCCACACCCATGGCGTAATACAACCCATAGAGTTTTGGTATGCCGCAACCAGGCGAACTTTGCATTTTGCGGTTGCGGAACGCCGTTACAAACAAAAACAACAAACCGAACAGGACATAACCTAGATTAGAGTACACATGATTGAAATCGTTGAAGTAAAGTGGATGTGAACATTGATTATTGTAGTAACAAAGATCCAGATCTCCTGTGAAGTTGACAGCCTGAAATAACCTCAAATTTAGTGTTAATCTAATATCCCTACTAAGTCCTGAAGTTTGTTACACTTTCACGCAAAAACTACTTAACCGATCATCATGAAAATTTGTACACATATTCTTAGTGGTCCCCGAATGGTTATAGGCAACTTCATTATTTTAGACTAGCTTTAGCCCCTTGGCTTCGCTCGCGAATATCTAAAATAATGAAATTGATTCCGCACGCGTCTGTAGTCACAGAAGAAGTAACAATGAAGTAGAATGGCGGGAAGTTTAAAATGGCTGAAAGTATAGTCTATGGAAGTATAGTGTACAGTCTCCATAGTGTAGTCAATTGGATTTGATGTTGACGTAGCTGTCGGTAATACAGTGTGATAATACAGTGTGATGGTACTATAGTACTTAGGTTTGAGCTTCATTGCTGGAATGCTAGATGGCGTTAAAGTAGTCAAATAGCCAGATGCAGAGGTATTATTGGCTAAACAATTTCTTTATTTTATTTAAAAAATAATTTTTTATTAAATAAAAAGTAGCCTATAACCATTCGGGGACCACTAAGAATATGTGTACAAATTTTCATGATGATCGGTTAAGTAGTTTTTGCGTGAAAGTGTAACAAACATCAGGACTTTCGCATTTATAATATTAGTAGGGATATTCGCGAGCGAAGCCGCGGGTTAAAGCTAGTAACCTATAAATACTTACACGTTGATAGAACACCATCAATTGTACGACTGGTAAACCATAGAAGATGGCAATGTTTGCAATGTGCCAGAAGTAATTCAAGGCCATGCGACGATTGCGTTTTCTCTGATGGATGAAATCCGAGAGTCTAGGGTCTGTGGTTTTTGAATGGCGTCGACTGTATCCGGTGTTACTAAAGAATCAGCAAGACTTACTCTTGGACCATCTAAAATTTAATTTTTTAGTTTTAAAATGAAAATTTGTTTAATTTAATTAAATACCATGCTGATCATGTTTATAATGCTTTCCGAACCTATAAAACAAATAGGTTAGGATGATTATAACCAAACATATAACCAAATTGAATCCTAGAAGTGATAAAATGGCGATTCCATATTCCCCTGTCTTTTTTGATGCTTTGACAGTGAATTGCACATTGGATATCTGTCGGTTTTCTCTAAATCTTGCTTGTTTATTGAATGGCACCGCTGCATCAGTGTCACATTCATAGTTATCCGCATGCGCAACGAAAACAACCACAAAACTAGCATCACCATCATATTCGAAGTTTTTACGCTGTAAATTCATCAAACAAATCAATAAATAGAATAAAATTGAGGTTATGTTGGTTATACGTACATAAATGACAAGTCCGCCATTTTTAGACACTGTTTGATACTTTCCTTGATAGGTTATTTGATCTAGAAGATCATATATAGGACACTGATGCAACATAAAAAATATTTAAGGTTAAAACAAAAAATTAAAAATTTTAACCTAAAAATTGTAATACGTACAATATGTGGTTGAACGGAAACAGTGAAGCAAACATCATCATCGGAAGTAACCTGCAAATGCACAGTCTTCACATCGTTATCAGGAAACTGATAAGCATAGTACACCGGCTCGCTGGGACTGAACGTCGCGTTGTATTTGACATTAGTCTTCAGGAAATAGTTGTCAACCGGAAGTGCACGCAGTGTCACCCAGACGGATAGCGTGGAGAATGTTGATAGTGTCACCGTGAAGTTTGTGCGAGCATTGATTATCTTTGTTGTACCTACAAACAAAAAAAAATTAATTAAAATAAAAAATAAAAAATAAAAATTGAAAAATTCAAGGTTATGTTATAAATAATCGAATAACTGATAAGATAATTTATCTGTCTCACGTTGGATTGATTTGTTTGATGATGAGTATGTGCTGGAATCGTCCGTGTGGTAACACAGCGTCCTTCCTGTGTTCATATACTCAACAAATGGGTTTTTAGCGTCTGGATTCGCGGCTTCTACTAATAATGGAATCTGCCATGATTGTATGCTGCGTTCTTGACGTACCACGACGAAGACCGGATGTATACGAGCGGCATTCGTGCTGCTAACTTCCAGGCGGTATGGTTGATTGGTGTTTTTCTATAAGGGAAGTGAATATAACCTCAATTCAGCACTATTTTTGTATGTTTTTTTGATTTTACTGAATTTAATTTAATGTGATACTTACTTTGAGTTCTGGAAAGGTTAAGTGCAGACTCTCTGCTGAGCTGATTTTGTATCTGTATACATTCGATGGTACGCCATTGAGTGTCACGTCGCCATTTGTTGAAGATGTCAAAAGTGTAAAAATTAAAAATGTAGAAGTTAAAATTGGAATGAACTTGTCTCCGCACATGTTGGCTGCGTTGTGGTAATTTGATAATGGGTAATGAGTAATGTGTGTGATGTGTGCGCATGCGTTCACGCCTTTAACTAATTACTAACTACATGTGGATGCGGATTTATGACCGCTATCTAATCAGTCATCCGTTTTTATAGATAAGTGTACAATTTACGGAGGGTACGGTAATAGAATCAATTGAACTTCGATGTGGCTAAAATTGGAAATTCCTGGTTAAGTTCGAGTACAGTTCACACGCACTTATTACTTAAGTGGTTTATTTAAGTCACATTATTTATTTTTTATTATTTGTTTTGGATAAAATTATATTATTTTACGAGTACTTAAGTTAAGTCATGTTACTTAAGTCATTTTTCTTAAGTCAATTTACTTAAGTCACTTTATTCTTTTCTTTACACACCCCTTATTAATAATTTTATAATAAATTATATTATTTTACTTAAGTTAAGTCATGTTACTTAAGTCATTTTTCATAAGCAACTTGACTTAAGTCACTTTATTTATTTCCTTTGTTTACGTTCCGCAGAATTTATTTTATATTAAACTAGCTTTAACCCTTGGCTTCGCTCTTGAATATCTAAAATAATGAAGTTGCTTTCGTACGCGTCTGTAGTCACAGAAGAAGTAACAATGAAGTAGAATGGCGGGAAGTTTAAAATGGCTGAAAGTATAGTCTATGGAAGTATAGTGTACAGTCTCCATAGTGTAGTCAATTGGATTTGATGTTGACGTAGCTGTCGGTAATACAGTGTGATAATACAGTGTGATGGTACTATAGTACTTAGGTTTGAGCTTCATTGTTGGAATGCTAGATGGCGTTAAAGTAGTCAAATAGCCAGATGCAGAGGTATTATTGGCTAAACTATTTCTTTATTTTATTTAAAAAATTATTATTTTTATTAAATAAAAAGTAGCCTATAACCATTCGGGGACCACTAAGAATATGTGTACAAATTTTCATGATGATCGGTTAAGTAGTTTTTGCGGGAAAATGAAACAAACATCAGGACTTTCGCATTTATAATATTAGTAGAGATTATATGTAACTTAAGTCATTTTACTTAAGTCACATGCGCCTAACATGATTAAGTCATAAAAAACATTGTAAATCAATAAATTCGAGAAGATGAGCAAGTGATGAAGCGTGAAGCACTAAAATTTAAATAGATATTAAGTTACTTGTCATTCTCTTATTTTATTTTGTGATTTACCGATTAATGATTTATTTATTTATTTACAATCCTATTAGTTTTTTCATCTTCTTTCAGAAATATGATCAGTGTCCCTTTATATCCATTCACTAACTGTTTCTTTTTTTCGATTTGTATTAATTTGTTTCGCCCACACATAAATATTTACACGTTAATTCCCATTTTGATTATTCTACGAGTACAAGTTTGACAAATGTATGCGGAATGTTTGATTATCATAATTAATTTTTTTCTTCTTCAAAAATATTTCATTTAAGTCAGGTTAGGTTAATCATATGCAACTCCCAAAACATAATTGGATTAAGCTGCAGCCTGTTGTATTCAGATGCAGATTTGGTTGCATACTTTTATTTCATTTTGTGTTCTTGATGAGATTTTCATCTGGTTTCGGCTGTGGGTTTTCGACGATGAAAAAAGGCATCGCTGGCAGTGGCAAAAAGAAGTCTGCTCCCCCGAAAATGGCAACGAATCGCCTTGAACTTGTACGAGAACCTTTAACGCACGCTCCGAGTGAATAAAACCACTTGCTGATGGTGAAACGTCCGAAAAAGTTGCTCTCATAAAGATTCAAGCATTCAGCATTCAACTCACGAGCAGACGCACAACTTATTTACTCTTATTATTATCAATTGTATCACAATTTAATCCCGAAAATAAAACTTGTAATCTGTGTACAATGTGTTGCATATATATCAACACATATATAATATCTATAAAAATATTTATTTTTTTAGTTGTCAAGTGTTTTTAAGGCGTTTTGCGGCTGTGAATAAATAGTTCATTCACGTTTAACATTTTAAACATGTTTATTAGGCGGCAATCAATCCGAATTGAGCCGAAAATCAATGAAGTATTAGCATAAAGATCAAGTTCAAGATCGGGATCAATAATATCAAGTAAAATCATATGATTTATTACATATAATTCAATTATTTTCAATATTAAACAAAAAAACAAATAACTAGGTATCAATTAATTAATTAAATTTTATTTGCTACAGTTTCATACACTATAATCAAATTAATTCGCACCTGAGGTGTTGTTTTATTCACCCAAACATTTTTGATTCACAATGTCAAGAAATATCTCTGTTTATGTAGTGATAATCCACAAGGCACGAGCTGTTTGTCCTCGGAAAGTGAATTTTAGTTTTGCGGTTGTAAATCACACTGGCGCTCAATAATTCAAGTGTTCACATTAATCTGACACGGTACATCCATTAGAAATCTATTAGATTACTTAATACGAGGTGTGTGAATGCGTCATTTGTCATTCCAGTGGTCAATGAAGTTGATAAAGCTTTTTTTACGTTTTAGTAACAAAAACAATGGTTTATATTCAATTAAATTATTTTTATAGCTTTAAAATAGGCAAATTATGTTTGTGTTGAGTAGGTTTGGTTGCCTATAGCGACATGTGAGGTTATATACGTAGAAAAAGCGTTTTTTATGTTTTTAATGAGAGAAATTGAATTTTTTTCAGGTTTTATTCAATTTACATACGCAGATGATGATTTGACAGATTGTTTTGTTTTCACACCTTGGATTTCATCATGTTTTGTTTAATTCACGCATTTTTACGCATTTTAAATAAAAATTTAAACTTTCTCTGCGTTTGTGTTTGAAATATATTCATATATTTAATTTATTTAATATCAAACGGTACTTTTTATGTAGTGGTATAGAATAACAACAGTTATTTAATAATTTGACAGAAAACACAATTATATAATGACCGTAACAGCGTCAAGACATTCATCGCTCATTTGTAGCGTTTTGTATTCGATTGTATCGTGAACTTGAACAGATAAATCATTCGTTTTATGGCCGTGTCGCTTTTGACGTTTATCTGCGCTCGCGTCTTATTTATCGCCGCCATTTTTCCGATTATTGCCACTATGTTTTATTGCAATTCCAAAATTTATACGATTTCGAACAATTTGTTTCTATTCAAATCACAAACGCCTACAAAACATGACCTCACAAATATTTTGGTTGAGTTCAAGTTAATTTATTGCTTTTATGCATTAAAATAAAGATAACATCAACGGCTACTGGAAGATAGACGGCGCTGGGTGTAATAAATGGAAAATAACCTCAAAATTTATGTTTGAGTGTTGATGATTTGTAAACCACTTACAGTTGCACGCATCTGCAGATTATGCGAATTCCATTCGTGAAGAAAAAACTTTGCAAACCAGTTTCTGGTTGCCGAAGATGCAGTTCATTAATAAAACTGCCATAAATATTGCATGAGTGTGAGTGGATTTAATTTATGTGCAAAACAAATTGTTACAGATGCGTTTACATTCGTAAACACGATAAAATTTTATTCAATTACGTTTATTTTATGAAGCAAATAAATTTTTTGTAAAATATTGATTTTATAGGAAACTGTAATTTGTGAGTTTGTTGTCATCGTAATTTCGGACTTTCGTCGCTGGCGATTTATGTGCGATCGCGATTGGTTTCGTGTTTGCGGTTGAGATTCAATTTTTCGTCTTGTAATAAGAAGCGCGACAAGCCGACGAACATGGCGTTTCGTAGTCGTCGTAAACCATTCGCACCGCTTTAATAAATTACCAACAATCGATGGATTCCACTTAGATATTAGATATTTTCGAAGATTTTTGCTAATAAGTCACATAAACTATCTGGAATTGAAAAATATTTCAAATTGATTAATTTTATATAAAAATATAAAAAATTTGATGAAAAAATAAAAAATAAACATACTGTATGTTTGTAATTGTTGGGCAATCAGTATTTCTGTGCTTTGAATATTAAATATGTCATCAATGGCGACCAAGTTGAGTTTGTGTGTTAAAAGCGCGAAATGCGTGACTTAGACAACAATAGAAATGATTTGTGAAAAGAAAATTCAAGTTTACGAGCGTATTTTGGCGATTATTTGAGTTAAATCATTCAAATCACGTTTGGGGTATTAAAAAAATGATTTGTGATGAATATGATAATATTGATTTCTGCGAAGAAGGAATCTGTAATTTTATCTCAAATATAATCTGAATGCAACAACATTTGTTTTATAATACAAATATGTGATTTAGGCAACAATAAGTATTATTTATGAAAAAAATAAAGGTTATGACCGTAATTTTGCAATTATTCAAGTTAAATCATTGATATTTTAGGTTATAATATAAATTTATCACATTTCACTAGTTAAAAATACAGAAAACTGTAATTTTGAGGTTACCATTATAATATTACTCATTTCTATAAAAAAGGAATCTGTAATTTGAACTAAAATATAACCTAACCTCCACAATACTTGTTTTAAATTACAAATATGTCTCTTAGACAACAATAGATATGATTTATAATAAAAATTTATGTTTATAACATTAATTTAGTAATTATTCAAGCGAAATCATTAATATTTTAGGTTATAATATAAATTTATCACATTTAACTGACTAAAAATACAGAAAACTGTAATTCTGATGTCACAGTTATAAAAGTATTGATTTCTACGAAGAAGGAATCTGTAATTTAACCTCACCACAAATCACATGCTTGTACAATGTATAAATACGAATGATTCACATGTGAAACAAAGGATATTAAAATAGAGCATCACACAAAATTCCAACCAATGATTCACATCCTCCAACAATTAATTACTTATATAAATACAATATCTACTCAGTTGAGTGATTGACCGTGTTATTAATTATCAATTAACTATATTGTTCTAAACACAAACTAGTTTCATGTTTTTTATGTTTTTTAAGTGTTTTAACGCGTAATTACATTAAAAAACAAAAGTACTAAACAAGTTTAGTAAAAATAAGCTAATCCAGAGATTATCCTAATAAGTCTGGATTCAAAACCATGTAAAATGACGATTATCGCACTAATAACCTAGTTTATTACCTACACAATTACAGATTCCTTTATTTTCATCATTTTCCCATAGGTGGCGTTGATTGCACCAATAATCTCGTATGATTGACGCAGTTAATGTGATTTTAATTAGTAAAAACCCGCATCACGCTCGATCGGCTTCCGTAATCATACGAAATTAGGAATTTGATTCGATTCGAGTTGAATGCATCAAGTTCAATAACATTTCGGGTTCATCCGGCGATAGGCACCGAATAATCATAATTTCCACGTCATTCATGATGCGCAGCTTTTGCGCTTTTTCCTCCCGCAGCGCCGGTAATCGGCGTTTGCACGAGCGTAAAATGTGTAAGTCATACGCGCATGCTCATACACGAGGCGTAAAATCACATTACGCAACCGACGACTACCGACGGCCGGCGTTTGATCTCTTAAAACCGAAAGTAAAGGTTAATTAAGTGCCCGATGAAAATTCTTCGCTGCTTATTTCCCTGCGCATATTTGCGATAAGTTTAAATAAAGATTTACTACTTAAGTCGTTTCCAGCTTTACTCAAGTTAAGTGTGAGTGTGGAAATTTATTGCTTGGTGTGCGTTTTGATTTTTTGGACAAATTATACAGAGTGTTAGAATAATTTATGTAAAATTTTTGTTTTTATGCAATTTTTGTATTGGAAACACTCTGTATGTGTCGAATTTAAGGGCCGATTCGAATCAGGTGCATTTGTGTGAAAAGCTTCCACGAATAAAAACGTCGCTATAAATTCCCATATAAAGTGTTAGTATCCCAAGAGAAAAAAAAAAAAAAAAATACAAAAATTTAAGGTTATGGCATCTGGGCTCTTCACAGCTCACACCTCAAGTGAAATTCAAGCTTAATTTATACCTGCGCATCAAGAAAACAATAAAACCAAAAAATTTGATGAAATTTTAAAATTTTGAAAAGAATTGATTGAGTTTTAAGTTATTTTTATTTGTGACTTAAGATAAGTAGGATATTATCATTTAACCTTGCCATTGATTGTTGCACAAATATACCTACGTGCTTGTACTGGGCAGACAATCAAGCTCTCGTTCTTCCTACTCTTCTTCTCGACGGCTAATAGCCGCTATTTAATTCCGGCGGTCGCGTTCTTCGTCGGCAATTCGCGGCCGCTCGGCGCACCAGGAAGAACACGCAACCCCAGCCGGTTGGGCGACGCTATCTTGTGTGACATTGTTTGTGTGGTGCACCTTGAAATATTCTTCTTCTAGAAACCAAGAATTAACTACGTAAGTACACAAAAAATAAAATTAAAACAAAAAACAAAAATTTTCTTCTTCTTAAATTCTATTCTTAGATCTCACAGACAAAAATATCAACTATGTTTGAACTTGAAACGCGTAACGAATATTAATTTGTTTCAATGTCGCATAGAAAATGTTGGTCAGTAGCACGTCACGTGCGTCCCTTAATATAACAATGAACGTGTCTTCGTGATGCGCATGAATAATCACACAATCTGTTCTTGACTTTTCTTTTGCCTTTACCTTAGACGTTTGAGTTTAAATTTTATTTTCACATCATATAAGGACGAAGTATTTTCGTTTTCTTTCAGTCGCTATTCTTATTTTTTACTTTGCAACTAAAACAATTGTTTATTTATAGTTTTTCGTGGTCAATTTAACATTTGAGGCTATGATTTGGTAATTTCAAAGTCACAATGAAGATTCACATACTGGTAAGTTTTTTTAATTATTTTTAAAACAAAAAATGAAATTTTATGTAAAAAATGAAAATTATCATAAAATATCACTAAAAAATTAATCCAGAGCTTAAATTATACATTCAACCATTGATTGTCGCGAAATAATAATGGTAATTGCCGATCCCGGGACGAATCTCGAGCAGACAATCCAGTTTTCGGTCTGAAGGTGGACCTATTAACAACACAATCCAAAATAAAACCATTTGAATAAAATTCGCATCATTTTCGACGCGCAAAACAACAAAATTTAAATAAAATTGAAAGAATTGTAACAAGTATCGAATTACAAGTGATCAAAAAATATGGCGTCGCGTCAACACATTAAAATGTAAATTTGATAGCCATTTGTTTCAATCTCTTCAGCGTTTTGTATAATTTTATAATAAATTTACCGTTTTTCACGTATGGAGAAATATAATAATGCCATCAAACATGGAATCAAAGCTATAAAAGTTATATTACACGATAAGAGACTTTAAATCACTTTGCAGACATAAATTTACTTAAAAACGTAGGTAAATGTAAGTAATGACATCTCGCGGTGTACGAGTAAATCATCACAGGCGGAATGGTTTATTCTTCTGGTATTACACCGCGCGGAAATTAGCATTTTATTTATTTAACGCCCGCATGCGTTTGCGATTATAAATGTCAACTTGTCAAACTGTTTGTCAATTTATTATTTATGATATTTGGATGGAAAAAAACACAACAAGCGAATGTGTGTTTGAACTCGTAAAACCAACGAGCTTGATTGATAACGCCTTAACCTAGGCATTTGTTTGAGGTGATTAATTAACGACTTGTGATTTGAGGTCGGTGACATTTTCAACAGAACAGCAAAAACAAGCTTTGTTTGCTACGCAGTCTATAAAAGGATAAATATATCAAGGAAATCATTTTTATAGTTGCCAAACACTATAGGCAACTTGTAATTATTACTTTTGAATATTTGGTTGCATACAATGCATTTTTATAGGTTTTTAAAAGTTTTTTAGTTATTTTTGTTTTAATTTTATTTTGTCTGGTAAATAATGTACGAATACGATTAGCATTGTTTAATTCAATGTATTTAATCGACCGTGGCATTGTGAAGTGAAGGATGAGGAATCGTTCTTCTTCCAAGTATTTTCTTGATGAACAAACAGAAGGCAGTAGGTGTTTGCCGTGAATTCTATTCAAATTTTGTCACCAACGCTGCTTTGTCCTCAAAATCGCTTTGCTACGCATAAAAACCAACGTGAAACAAACGCGCAGTGACCTAAGACATGTCACATTAACGATTTTAGATTACGCATACTCTTAATTACCTAAAATTTAAATTTAATTCAAATTCTATACAGCTATTAAGTGTTTCATCACTTTTGAAGTCCGAAACGAATTATTCACGCACGTTTTCATCGTTTTTAAGCTTCAAAACTGATTTTCAAGTATAAAATTCATTTTAATTGCGTTTTTAAATACATAACCTATTAAATCATGCGTTGTACAGCGCCACCTGTCAGAAAATAGTAAATTTTTCATAAATTTTATGTTTTTATTTAAAATTCTAAAAATATTTCATTCCCGTTCATCAATAAGTTTATGACATCGTTGGTGTTATAAATAAATACTGATTAAATAACTGAATACATAAATAAATTACAAAAACGATCGATTGATTCAATATATTCTAATCTTCACTTTCGTAGATATTCACTAATGTCAGCCTCATAATTAATGCAAATATTCAGGTCTGATAATATTAATTTTTCATTAAATATTCAAGCTTTTCTTGCTTGAGTTGCCAACTGACAACTGACAACTTGTATACAACACAAACAAGCCACAGATTAAAACGATCAAAATCAAGATCAAGATCACGTCGTTTAAAGGTTATGTTTAATGCGTCCATATTTAGACGATAAAAACATGGTTAGATACAAGATATCGATCGGATTCATAATGATAATTGTATAATAATTGATTATGTCATGAGTTTCAACGTAAAATATACCAAAATATAAAAATATACAATGTGTTTGAATTAAAAATGAAATTCTGTGATTTTAATTACAACTTACACGCTAATCATCAAACGGTAATAAATCTCCGCAAGAGAAACAATGATTAAGCAGTGGATATGACAAATGAAATGAAGAATAAGCAACAACACGCTTTGGGATGGTTGGTTTTCGGCTTGATCGAGCAATGAACAACATTTTTATGCAAATCACCTCGAAGCGTTCTTTAATTCCGCGCTCAATAATCATAAATGTCATCTCCAATTATTAAACACTCTGTATAAGAATAAATACAATATTGATATTGAAGATATTAATGTCTTGAATGCCGTAACGGTGTTTTAAACATTTTTTAATGACCGCCATAAATTTGCCGAAATATATAAGTAACACGTACACGCATCATGATGAAGCGCGTAATTATTTTAATGAGCGCAAAATTAATATGTTAATTTATCCACTGTACGCTGTATGTCTTAATATACACATTGAATTAAAAAAAACTTGCGATTTTGACGCGTTCAGGGCGTTTCTGCTCACTTTATGAGACGACAAACATTCAATTAAGATAGTAATTAAGATTATCGCAACGTTTAGAATCTCATATTTGAAATACCAATGATTCATGATGTATTGTTTATTCTTTTTGTAGAAAATATTGTTATCTGTATAGATTATGTTTTATATGAAATTAAGTAGCCTATTCAAGCAGTTAATTTATAATCGGACATCAATATCGTAAAGAAAACAGGTGAACAACGGATGTGAGCTCCTGGTGCTTGGCATGCGTGTAAATTCCAGTTGAATTCGAAGATAAATATGGCTTTATGACTTTATAATTATACAATAAACACGCGGCGATACACACCGGTTATTGGCGATTAGTTTTTCGACGCTTCGCGCGTAACTGTTCGTCGTGAAATTATCTGTTTCGGGTTTTAATATTCAATAATTGACGGAAACTGTTAACGACTTAAAATATGACGTATCAAGTGATTAAACGGTAGTTTTTCTCACTAGATTTATTAAGAGTGATTGTAGCGAGCGTTTAATCAATCAAGTGTTTAATAAGGTTTAGTCACGTGATGCTTACGCTATTTTTTTCTCCTTCTATTTTATTTTTACGTTGAAAAATTTGTATTTGAACTTTTTATTATAAAATTTTGCACACTTTGCGCGCAAATTCCATCTCGTGACTAAAACCCGTGACTAAAGTACTTTAGTCACGACTTTTTATGGCTTTTTATGTCTCAAAACCATGAAAAATCTCTACAACACATAAAATATTATTAATATTATTATAGCAAGCATTTAATCAATCGAGTGTTTAATACCGTTTAGTCACGTGATGCTTGCGATATTTTTCTACTTCTACTTTATTTCTACGTTGAAAAATTTGTATTTGAAATTTTTATTATACATTTTTGCACACTTTGCAGGCAAATTCTATCTCGTGACTAAAACCCGTGACTAAAGTACTTTAGTCACGACTTTTTATGACTTTTTATGTCTCAAAACCATGAATAATCTCTACAACACATAAAATATTATTATTATTATTATAGCAAGCATATAATCAATCGAGTGTTTAATAAAGTTTAGTCACGTGATGCTTACGCTATTTTTTCTCCTTCTACTTTATTTCCACGTTTAGTTTTTGTATTTGAACTTTTTATTTTAAATCTTCGTTGGCACAAGCTCCGCCCCGTGACTAAAACCTGTAACTAAAGTACTTTACTCACGACTTTAGCCATCCATGTTTAAAATACCACGTTTTATGTCTCAAAACCATAAAAAAACTCCACTACACATAAAACATAATTCATTCCGCTTTCAGATCAGTGTGTTTTTGATTTTCTTCATTCTTGAAGAGTCAAATCAACATACACTGCGTAAACGCTCACCTTCCGCACGCCACGTGCCCTCCAACAATGTACCAACATTCCGAAGAGATGCCGTTGAACAGATGCCATCTTGGGAGGAGATTATTCATCGCTCCATGCCTTACACTGACCTCTACGGATCAAAAGCACTTCCCTTACGAGCAGCTGTAGAAAGCGTTCCGGATGTCCTCTCATCAACACGTAGATTACCCTTGAGGGACTCAGTTGAACGCCGACCCCATCCAGATGATGGTTACGATAACAATCTGGATATGATCCCTGATTTAGATTTCGAAAGGAGTGCTTTTGATAGAAAACCTGAGAAGATTGTTTCTGTTGATGAACAACCCGAACCTAACCAAGATGGATATTTCTACACCCCGAAGATACAGTTTCAGAATTTGGTTAGGTCTAGTTATTCTACACCTGTGTACAGGATTGATAATGCTCATCAACAGTTGTATTATCAACCTGTACCTTCCTTCCCATATTATAATTATAGATTCGGAAGAGCTGCAAGGTTTGATAACTCCATCGCTAAAGAGAAGAAGATTGTGTGTTATGTTCAGGGAGCCAGTTCCCATCGTAAGGAACCCTTGGCCTTTGAACCTGAACACCTGGACCCATTTGCCTGCACTCATATTATCTATGCCTTTGCAAATTTGGACCCACATACCTTCCAGGTGACAGCCAATGATGAATATGACATTGTCCAAGGTGGATACCTTTCTGTAACTATGCGGAAGCAAGAGAACCCTGATCTGAAAGTTCTTCTTGCTGTTGGAGGTCCTAAGGAATTAAGTTCTAATAGGTATAGTCAGATGGTTACTTCCGCTTTCCGTCGGAGGGCTTTCATCAACTCTTTGATCAAATACATCAAACAATATCAATTTGATGGAGTGGATCTATACTGGTTGAACCCAGGAGATGAAGAATTCTTAGGTCATGCTTCTGATAAAGAGTATTACCTAATTCTCCTTGAGGAACTCTCTGAAATCTTCAGACAACATAATTGGATCTTGTCTATATCAGCTCCAGCTAACAGATTCAGGGTAGAAGATGGTTTTGACCCTGCTCACTTGAACAAACTCGTTGATTTTGTTAACCTGCAAGCCTATGACTTCCACTTGGAGAAATCCCCTATGGCTGACCATCCTGCACCTTTGAATGCACGTTCTACTGATGAGGACCTTGAAAGGTTTAATAACGTTGACTACGCTGTCAAATTCTGGTTGAAGAAGGGTTTATCCAGAGATAAATTGATTCTTGGTTTGCCATTCTTTGGAAGGTCTTACACTTTGCAATCTAAGGATTCCACGGAATTGGGGGCTTTGATTAAAGGACCTGGTCAAGCAGGGTATTACACTCAGAGACCTGGGTTCTTAGCTTTCTTTGAAATCTGTGATTTGCTCCTGGATGATAAACACGCATGGGTTAAGGATACTGATGATTCTGGATCTCCGTATATTACCAATGGTGATCAATGGATTGGTTATGATGATGTCGACAGTATTGAGAGAAAGGTAAATTTCTATTTCCAGGGGAATTTCTATGATTCAATGAATAGTGTTTATTGTAGTTATCTTTTGTTTTCTTAACTAGACAATACGTTATCTCAGCTCATGTTTAGTATAAAAGCAAATTAGAATCAACTAAAATCAGTCGTTGGTTAAAACAGACAAAATGAAGGTTTTACTCACACTAATCCTCTTGGTATTACTTTTAAAACATAAATAATTAATAAACATTTATTTTTAATTAATTCCCAGGTCCAATACATGAAGGAAATGGAACTGGGAGGTGTCTTCACCTGGGCTTCAGATTTAGACGACTTCAAAGGACTCTGCGGAACAAAATGGCCGCTCCTGCGCGCTGTCAAACGTGTTTTGACAGGAGAACACATGCATGCTTTCCAACCTGAGGAAATGCCCACAAAACCCTATGGAACTTGTGATTCTGATGGGCTTTACAGTGATAGACGTGATTGCACTTCATATTTCGTCTGTCGCAGTGGATTTTCTTACCATTTGACGTGTGGTTCCGGTTTAATGTTCAACCCTGAAACAGGGGGCTGTGAATACATAGAGGCAAACATCTGCAGACCTGGACAAACCATTCATATTCCAAATACAATCAAATCTCTGGAGACTATTCTGAGAAATGATAAAGTTTTGGACAACAGACCAAAAGTTGTGTGTTATTTGACAAACTGGGCTTTCTATCGTAAAGCAGAAGGAAAATTTGTTCCTGAACATCTTGATGCACAGCTTTGTACACATGTAGTGTATGCTTTCGCTAGTTTGGATCCGGAAACATTGTTAATGAAGGAGTTTGATCCTTGGGCCGACTTAGAAAACAGTAAGATTTGTTTTTGTTTAAACCTGAACTAAAATTAATGTTTTTGTTGTTATTTCAATTCCAGATTTATATAGTCGTGTCACAGCAATTCATGACGTCCAGGTTCTGTTGTCCCTAGGCGGATGGACAGATTCCTCTGGTGATAAATACTCCCGTCTTGTTAGTGATGGCAGTGCACGAAGGAAATTCGTCGTTGGAGTTGTCAGTTTCCTCAGAAAACACAATTTCAATGGATTGCATCTTGATTGGAATTATCCCGTCTGCTGGCAGAGCAATTGCAACAAAGGTGCGGCCAGTGATAAGCCCAACTTCAGTAAACTGGCAATGGAACTCAAACGTGAATTTGATAAACAAAGTCCGCCATTAATCTTGGCCGCTGCTATTTCTGGATATAAAGAAGTAATTGATGTTGCTTATGATCTGAGAACTCTAGGGGAGGAGTTAGACTTCATGTCTGTTATGTCCTATGACTACCATGGTAGTTGGGAGAAACAAACTGGGCATGTGAGTCCGCTGAATGGACGTGGTGGTGAATTATACCCACAATACACTTCGAAATATGCTATGGATTATTTGGTACAACAAGGTGCTCCTAAAGGGAAGTTGGTTATGGGTGTACCATTCTATGGTCAGACCTTTACCCTGGCTAAAAGTGATTCTCATTCAGTGGGTGCCCCATCAGTAGGACCCGGAGAACCTGGTGAATATACAAAGCAACCTGGCATGTTGGCTTACTATGAAATCTGTAATCGTGTTAAACAACAAAACTGGCAAACTGGTATGGATACCTCAGGACCCTATGCTTACTATGGTAACCAATGGGTTGGTTATGACAGTCCAGATTCAGCATATGAAAAGCACGTTTTGTGAAAGATAATGGTTATGGAGGGATTGTTTCCTGGACTGTTGATTTGGATGATTTTACTAATAGATGCTGTCAGGGTACTTTCCCACTTCTACGTGCTATCAACAGAGGTCTAGGGTTGTCCAACACACAACCAATTAGTGACTGTACCAGACCATCTACTCCCGTAACTCCTACACCTCCAAGTATCACCACTGGTGTTGATAGTGGGGCTTCTAGTACGGAAACAGCTTGGACCACAACAGAAAAACCTCTACAGTTTGGTGGGTACCTGAATCAACCACACAAAGGAGAACTACAACCCGTGCACCAACTTCTACTACAACCCGTAGAACCACCACAACTTCAGCTCCTGTTTGGACTACAACAATCCCACCTCCAGCTGTTATAATGCCTGATAAAGAACCTTCTGAACCAAGGAAATGCACAGGGAATGAATACCAACCTGATGCCAACAACTGCAACGCATACTACAGATGTATCCTAGGAGAATTTAAGAAACAGTATTGTGTTGGAGGTCTCCACTGGAACAAGGACAGCAATATCTGTGATTGGCCCACAAATGCTAAATGTGAAGAAGTACAAGCTGACCCTGTTGAAACAACATTCAGACCAACCACCTTGAGACCAACTCCTCAGAGGACAACCACAACTACCACTAGAAGACCAAGACCTACCACAACCCCTGCTAACCTTGAAAACTGCAACAATGGTCAATACTACGCTCATGAACAATGCAACAGTTTCTACGTCTGTGTCAACGGTCAACTTGTCACACAACGTTGTGCACCTGGGTTACAATGGCATGCTGAAGACCAAAGATGCGATTGGGGTTACAGAATTAAGTGCATGGATCGCAAACAGGTCGCAGCATTCGAAAGTGATAAATTCAGCAAAGTTGTGGAAGCATCTTTCGGTGTCCCGTATGAATCCTGTGAGTCTGGTAACTTTGCTGGTTATGCAGGTGACTGTACCCAATATTTGATCTGCATGTGGGGTAAATACGAACCTTTCTCCTGCGCTGATGGTTTACACTGGAATAGCGAAAGGAAAATCTGTGACTGGCCTGATAATGCCAAATGTACTGAAGGGACAACTGGGGGACAACCAAGTGTACCATCTGAAGGTGGTGACCCTGTTAGACCTACAAAGAAACCTGGAACCACTACAACCACAACAGAATTTGTACCTGAAGAACCTTTTGAACCACAAAGTGGGCATTATAAGATTGTGTGTTACTTTACCAACTGGGCATGGTACAGAAAAGGTGCTGGAAAGTACGTCCCTGAAGATATTGACCCTAACCTATGCACACATATTGTTTATGGGTTCGCTGTGTTGGATTACTCTGATTTGATCATTAAACCTCACGATTCCTGGGCAGACTTTGATAATAAATTCTACGAGCGTGTGGTTGCTTATAAAAAGAAGGGTTTGAAAGTGACCATGGCCATTGGAGGTTGGAATGATTCCCAGGGAGATAAATATTCACGTCTTGTGAATTCTCCAGCTGCTAGAGCAAGGTTTATCACGAATGTGATTGAATTCCTTGAGAAACACAACTTTGATGGTCTGGATCTTGATTGGGAGTATCCCAAGTGCTGGCAGGTTGATTGCAAGAAGGGTCCTGATTCTGACAAGGCTGCTTTCGGTGCTTTTGTAAGAGAATTATCCGCGGCGTTCAAACCTAAAGGTCTTCTTCTCTCTGCTGCTGTTTCTCCAAGTAAAACTGTTATAGATGCAGGTTATGATGTACCAGCAATGGCCGCATCTCTTGATTGGGTCGCTGTGATGACCTATGATTATCATGGTCAATGGGATAAACAAACTGGACACGTTGCACCTATGTACGTCCATCCAGAAGATGAAGTCACTTTCTTCAATACGGTGAGTTGTCATGGTTACATTTTTAATTATAAAGTGTCATTCAAAACTAACACATCAAAATTATCACGTGTTTCATCAATATTTACTATTCAAAATGTCGGCGTTTTTAACTAAATTTACCACGAATTCCTTACGCCCTTTATTATGCCGGTTTAAATACACCGAGAAAGTCATTCTGGAGAAGAACATAGAAGATACATTGCGTAAGAAATTCGGGGCCCAGTCTGTTATTAAAGTCAAAGATTTATCTGGGGGTTGCGGAGCTATCTACGAAGTTTACGTAGAATCGCGAATGTTTGACGGGTTGCCCATGGTTAAACAACATCAGGTTGTAACGAGTACTCTTTCAAATGAAATTAAACATCTTCATGGTATCAGGGTCATTACCCATGTTCCCCAGAATATTCAGAATAAACCTATTATGACAGCGACAGCGACAGCGAAAAAGAAGGGTTCTGAAACGCCGACAGCTCCATCTCCACCTACCAAGAAATAACTCTTTACTCATAAATAAAACATTTACAACGTATTTCTTGATTTATTTGTATGAATGATTTTTACAGAACTTTACAATCAACTACTGGATCTCCGAAGGTGTTCCAAGTAGGAAGATAGTAATGGGCATGCCACTTTATGGTCAATCTTTCCGGTTGGAGAACAAAAACAACAATGGGTTGAACGCTAAAGCATCCGGACCTGGAGAAGCCGGTGAATTCACACGTGCAGCTGGTTTCCTGGCTTATTATGAAATCTGTGACAGAATTAAAAACCGTGGGTGGACTGTGGTCAATGATCCCAAGATGCGTCTTGGTCCCTATGCTTACAACAATGAACAATGGGTGTCCTTTGATGATAAGGACATGATCCGTCATAAATCTGAATACATTCGTAAGATGAACCTTGGAGGTGGTATGATTTGGGCTTTGGATCTTGATGATTTCAAGAATAGATGTGGAGGAGGTAAACACCCATTGTTATCTACCATCAGAAGGGTATTAGGACCAGCACCAACTCAAGCTGAATTAGCTGGTCCACAATTACCACAAGAACCTGTTGTTGTTGAGGAAGATGAATTTGTTAATCAACCGGAGATTATCGAAAAACCTATGGTTCCAAATGCGGGTACTGAAGTTGCTAACTACAATCCTAACTCAGAATACAAAGTGGTGTGTTATTTCACCAACTGGGCGTGGTACAGACAAGGAAATGGTAAATATTTACCAGGGGACATTGATCCAGATCTGTGTTCGCATATTGTTTATGGTTTTGCTGTGCTTAATGGAGATGAAGGTATTATTAAACCTCATGATACCTGGGCTGACTTTGACAACAGTAAGTTTATTATCTTACCAATTTCTAAACTAAATTTAAATGTTTTGTAATTTTCTGTGTCTAGAATTCTATGAAAAGGTCACCGCTTTCAAAGCAAAGGGTATCAAAGTATTGATTGCTATTGGAGGTTGGAACGATTCCGCCGGTGATAAATACTCTAAATTAGTAAACAACCCTTCAGCAAGAAGGAGGTTTATCACCCATGTTGTTGATTTTATTGGAATGCATGGTTTCGATGGTTTGGATCTTGATTGGGAGTATCCCAAGTGCTGGCAGGTGGATTGCAACAAAGGACCGGATAGTGACAAGGAAGCTTTCGGTGCTTTTGTTAGAGAATTGTCGGAAGCATTCAAACCTAAAGGATGGTTGTTATCCGCTGCTGTTTCCCCTAGTCGTAGAGTGATTGATGCGGGTTATGATGTCCCTGCGATGTCCCAATATCTGGATTGGATTGCTGTTATGTGTTACGATTACCATGGTCAATGGGATAAGGTCACCGGACATGTTGCGCCCATGTATGCTCATCCAGAAGATGCTGATGTCACCTTCAATACTGTAAGGTTTCTAAGCTAATATTTTATTTTGTTTGTTGATTATTTTCTTTGGTTTAGAATGCTACTATTCACTACTGGATCCAAAAAGGTGCTGATCCCAGAAAGTTGGTGCTTGGTATGCCAACGTATGGTCAATCATTCTCGCTTGCGGATTTGAGTGACCATGGTCTCAACGCTCCTACTTATGGTGGTGGTGAAGCTGGTGATCAAACACGTGCTCGTGGATTCCTTTCATACTACGAGATATGTCAAAATATTAAACAAAAACGCTGGAAGGTTGTTCGGGACCGTAAAGGACGCATTGGTCCATATGCTTATTTAGGAGATCAATGGGTGTCTTTTGATGACCGGGACATGATCCGCCACAAGTCTGAATACGTGAAATCCATGGGTTTGGGTGGTGGTATGATCTGGGCATTGGATCTTGATGATTTTAAGAATCTGTGCAACTGTGAAACTTACCCGCTTCTGAAAACCATCAACAGAGTACTGAGGGACTATTCTAAACCAGAACCAATATGCATCCTAGAAGAACCATCTCAATCTAGTGAAACAACAATGCAAACAACTCGGAAACCACCTACGGAAGCGGTCACCTGGTGGAGACCAGAATCTACTACAAAACCATCAAGACAGGAACCAACGACACGACCATCGAATGTTATCCCACCTGTAGAACAACCTGAAGTACCTTCGGGAAGTGCACAGGGTCAACCCTGTCGTGGGAACATCTTTGAAGCACATGAAACTGATTGTAATGCTTACTACCTCTGTATCCATGGTATTCTACAATTGCAACGTTGTAGTGGTGGACTCTACTGGTCCAAGGACCATTGCGACTGGCCTGCTAACACTCAATGCCAACAAGGAGCAACTGCCGTAGAAGTGCCTCAGAACCCAGAACCAATTGTGGTAACCAAACCCGAACCGGAAGTAACTACATTCCGACCAACATACAAACCAACCCGTATCACCACACCTAGACCATCAAGACCAGGTGTAACCAACGATGAAAAAATGGTCGTTTGCTACTTTACAAACTGGGCATGGTATAGACAAGGCGATGGTAAATACTTACCAAGTGATATCGATGCAGATCTCTGCACACACATCACCTATGGTTTCGCCGTCTTGGATCCTAATACCCTCACAATCAAAACACATGATTCCTGGGCAGATATTGACAATGACTTCTACAACAAAGTGGTTGCCTATAAAAAGAAGGGCGTAAAGGTCCTCATAGCCATTGGAGGTTGGAATGATTCCCTTGGTAATAAATATTCACGTCTGGTGAATAACCCCGCATCAAGGGCCAAGTTCATTGAGGATATTATCAGATTCATCGAAAAATACGATTTTGATGGTTTGGATCTGGATTGGGAATATCCCAAGTGTTGGCAGGTTAATTGTGATCAAGGACCTGATTCGGACAAACCTGCTTTTGCTCAGTTTGTTGCTGAACTCCGCGCTGCTTTCAACCCACGCGGATGGTTGCTCTCTGCTGCTGTATCACCAAGCAAAGCAGTAATTGACGCTGGATATGAAGTTTCCAGTTTGAGTCAGAACTTTGATTGGATTGCGGTTATGTGCTACGATTATCATGGTCAATGGGACAAGAAAACTGGTCATGTTGCTCCATTATATTATTATCCTGGAGATGATTATGATTACTTTAATATTGTAAGTTATATTTTGGGTGTTTAGTTGTTGTGATATAGTTTTTTATTTGTTTTTAGAATTATACTATTCATTACTGGATTGAATTGGGAGCTGACCCTAAAAAATTGGTTCTGGGAATGCCTTTGTATGGTCAATCATTCTCTCTGGCGGATACAAATGAACATGGATTGAACGCTAAGTCATATGGTCCAGGAGAAGCTGGAGAGTTTACCAGAGCTGGTGGATTCCTTGCTTTCTATGAAATCTGTGACAAAGTGAAGCGTTCGAGCTGGAAGGTTGTCAGGGATCCTGAGGGTAGGATTGGGCCGTATGCGTATAGTGCTAATCAATGGGTTTCTTATGATGATATTGCTGATATTAGAAGAAAGGTAATTCTAGGTTATAAAACCATGTTTTTTATTGGTTTTTATGTGTTTTTCTTTGTTGTTTCAGAGTGAACTGATTAAACAATGGGGCCTGGGAGGCGGAATGATTTGGGCATTAGATTTGGATGACTTCCGCAATCGTTGCGGTTGTGGCAAGAGTCCTCTACTCAGGAATATGAACAATGTGCTCAGGAACGTGCCATTAGACAAGCAAATCGAGAATTGCACATAAGACTAGTTGTACAACGTGAATGTGATTTAACCGCGATATTTTTCCACTGTAAGGTACATGAGATTACGCTAAGCCATATGTTTATTATTTCAAACCTAATGCTAAGATTTACTTTATATCATAGCGTAATTAATCTTTTGTTTTGTCGAATTTTCGTTTTCTTCTTCTTCACAAGCACCTGCTGATGAAATGGCATGGCTTTGTGAACATGTAAGGACTCGAAAATCATTTACTGCTTCCTATAGTCCGTAATATCTATCGAGGATTAAACTGATATGTGGAGAGGAGTTTTAGGGTAGATTATTTTGTAATATGATCATTTCAATCATTATGACTGCTATTGATTGCAAAGGAATAAAGAAATAAACTTTAACGATTCAAGTGCGTGAATTGCTGAACTTACTGCTGAAAACACCCTGTATCTCCTAAACCTGTGGTGCTATTTAAGATTTCTCAACGGCATGCAGTATTTAAAAAGACCCTTAATAATTTGCATATCTTTTCTGCGGTCTAAACCTTTAGGAAATGTCCTAAATCTTCTATGGAAAATAGCTATTTTATATTATTTTTCAAAACATGCTGTGGAAAACACTCTATATCTCTGATATTAATAGAGTAATTTAGGGTCTCTCAACGCCAAGTTATAGTTCAAAAGACCCTTTATAATATGCATACTTTTTCCACGATTTAAACCTTTAGGAAATGTTCTAAATCGTCTATGGAAAATAGCTGTTTTTCATAATTTTTCAAAACATGCTGTGCAAAACACCCTATATCTCCGATACTAATAGAGTAATTTAGGGTCTCTCAACGCTAAGTTATAGTTCAAAAGACCCTTTTTAATGTGCATACATTTTCCACGGTCTAAACCTTTAAGAAATGTCCTAAATCTTTTATGAAAAATGGCTATTTTTTATTATTTTTCAAAACATGCAGTGGAAAACACCCTATAACTCCTATACTAATAAAGAAATTTGGAGTTTCTTTTCGTTATTTTGTAGTCTAAGAGATCTTCTACAAGATGCATATTTTTTCATTGCATTAAATCATCGGGAAGTGCCCCAAAACGCACTCCAAAAATAGGTGTTTTACAGTATTTTTCTGTTCTAAATCGGCAAGCAAAGGCAAATTATGGCTGAAACTTTTATTTTCGGTCGAAAGTCAGGGTCGAACTTTTTTTAAAAATTATTTTCGGTCGAAAGTCAGGGTCGAACTTTTTTAAAATAATTTTCGGTCGAAAGTCAGAGCCGAACTTTTTTTAAAAATAATTATCGGTCGAAAGTCAGGGTCGAACTTTTTTTAAAAATAATTTTCGGTCGAAAGTCAGGGTCGAACTTTTATTAAAAATAATTTTCGGTCGAAAGTCAGGGTCGAACTTTTTTTAAAAATAATTTTCGGTCGAAAGTCAGAGTCGAACTTTTTAAAAATTATTTTCGGTCGAAAGTCAGGGTTGAACTTTTTTGAAAAATTAATTTCGGTTGAAAGTCAGGGTCGAACTTTTTTTAAAAATTATTTTCGGTCGAAAGTCATAAAACATAAGTTTTAGGGCATAAGGACGAATGGTAGGTAGAAATGTCACTAAGATTTATTGTTCAGAATAATTGCCTGGTTCATAATCCGCAAACAGAGTTTCAAAATTCCAACTTTTAAATTCTGACATAAAAAAGAGAAAAGTTTTGCCTTTTTTATGACGAAATCTTTTTCGAGTGTTTTCAACCTCAAAAAAAATTGAAATTTTTTTATTGCAGAATATTAAAGCAAACGTGATTTTAAACACTTTATCTTAGTAAATTTTTGTTCTAAGATGCATCGTTTAGATAATAATCACCATATTAAAAATCGTTTTCGTGCGTAGTCAAAATTTTTGTTAAAATTGCCAATAGGGCCTAAACGGTGAGTACTACTGGAAAATTGTTCTGAAATAAATTAATTAGAATTCAATAAGCTATCCGAATCCGAAATCAGATTTGAAAAATTCCTATTTTTAAGAATGCATAAAAAAATGAAAAAGTTTTGCCTTTTTTATGACGAAATCTTTTCACGGTTTATGTTTTTTATAGCATAAATTTAAAAGTTGGAATTTTGAAATTTTTTCTTCGGATTATGATAAATCAGGCCATTATAAATCATTTATTTTAGTAAAGTTTTTACCTACAACCCTTATTTAAGGCCCTATTGACAATTTTGTTATATAATTTAAACACTGATTACTATCAACATAATCAGCCTGATAACAAAATTTCACTAAGATAAAATATCCAGAATAATGGTTCCTTTGATTTTTTGTCATTAAAAATTTAAATTGTTCATTTTTAGTTTTTACATATAAAATGATGGAGAAAACTGAAAATCTACTTTATCGCACTTTTCTCGCAAACTAATAAAGATAAAGAAAAACGGTTTTCAGATTCAGATTCAGGACATAATTACGCATCATCTAGCACTTAAAAATATTAAATTTTCGATAGTTATGTAATAATTGAAAATGGTCAATAACTCACGAACTAATTAAGATATCGGAACAAAACTTGGATAAATGGATTCTGGGCATCATTCTACATCATATTGGAAAATTTAAAGAAAATCTGAGTTGTGGTTCATTTTGGTCTGTTTTAATTTTCACAGGTAATTTGGGAAATATTGGTGTTATCAGAAAACTGACTGCATATCTTTCATCACATTGCAATTCTGTATCGAATGGCGTTTTCCATTTTCTCGTAGCTTAAAGTTGAATTTTTAAGCCACAAAATACTTAAGTGTAACCTCTTGATACTTTTCGGGTGGTGTTTGGTCAACTTCTTAGAATCAAAAAACTAAATCTGCCATTTTATAGATCCTTATCACGGCATGAAGAAACTGCAAAAAGTTTTTCTGCAACTCTTATAGTTTCCGAGAAAATCGCGTCGGAAAATTCACTTTTCACTTTTCAAAAGTAGAAATTTTAAAAGCTTATCATATGTAAAATGTTTTGCTGAACATAATGCAGTTTTCCGTTTTTGTATATCTCTATTAGTTCCTGAGATAATCGGTAATTAAGTCATGCTGAAAGTACACGTTTTACTTAAATACTTCTACTGGGTAAACGGTAAGTGCTAATGAGTAAGAAGTTTTATTTATAAGTGTATTAAGAGCCCTTCTACGTAATGGTAACGTTAATTTTCAAGAATAATTAGAATTACGTGATAAAATGTCAGGCGCCTCCGCCATTTTAGTTAATTTTTTGCATGTTTTTTATAAATTAAAAAAGTTAAGGTTTTATTGCTGATTACGAAAGAGGACAATTATCTGAATGAAATATTTTAATAAATTATTTTAATTAGACGCATAGTTTAGAAGATATTTGCATAAAACTTTTGAATGCAATTTTGTCAATAGGGTCTTAAATAAGGGTTGTAGGTAAAAACTTTACTAAAATAAATGATTTATAATGGCCTGTTTTATCATAATCCGAAGAAAAAATTTCAAAATTCCAACTTTTAAATTTATGCTATAAAAAACATAAACCGTGAAAAGATTTCGTCATAAAAAAGGCAAAACTTTTTCATTTTTTTATGCAGAATTAAAAATAGGAATTTTTCAAATCTGATTTCGGATTCGGATAGCTTATGGAATTCTAATTAATTTATTTCAGGACAATTTTCCAATAGCACTCACCGTTTAGGCCCTATTGGCAATTTTAACAAAAATTTTGACTTCGCACGAAAACGAAATTTATTATGGTGAATATTATCTAAACGATGCATCTTAGAACAAAAATTTACTAAGATAAAGTGTTTAAAATCACGTTTTCTTTAATATTCTGCAATAAAAAAATTTCAATTTTTTTTGAGGTCGAAAACACTCGAAAAAGATTTCGTCATAAAAAAGGCAAAACTTTTCTCTTTTTTATGTCAGAATTTAAAAGTTGGAATTTTGAAATTCTGCTTGCGGATTATGAACCAGGCAATTATTCTGAACAATAAATCTTACTGACATTTTTACCTACCATTCTTCCTTATGCCCTAAAATTTAAATTTTGTTTTCACATTTGTCTTCGCTGCATTTTAAGACACTTCCTGAAAATTTGATAGAAAATGTAAGGAACTGGGAACAACAATAGACAAAATACCAAAAAATATAGTTGAAAAAATGTTTATTAGAGATGTTGAAAATCCCCAAAACCCTTAAAAATATTTACATTTTCCATTTCACTATCATCTTTTATAATATATATAATATATATGTATATAGTTATCGTAATTACATCTTCATATTATAATCTCATATCATTGTTATTTTTTCATTAGATTATACATCGTGTATCACAAAATATTCAGTACATGAAAACAGAATATATTTCAGTATAGCAATCGCTTAAACATAATGAAAAAAGTTAACAAATCAACACAAAGCGTCCAAGCTGCTATACACAAAACAACGAAAACGTGATCGCCAGTAGAAAAACCTATCAACTAACTTAAATCATCGAATAAGAAAAATGTAAAGTATCTACAAATTAAGAGATTGGACAAAAAAAAATCATCATTGCGATTGGACTAGTGCAATTGTGACAACTGAAACACTGTGATGCACCTCGCTTCCACATTTAAAGCTACAAGTCAAATACAAAAACCTCTTGGAAAGTGTGCACGTCGTCCACATCGTTATCAAAATAATTCTTAGATATATATTCTCACTTATTTGCTTCATATTTTTTTATGTCTTGCATCGTTTGAGCTGCGCGTCAGATGCTGCATAGGCTGATGTGGTAGTCGCAAGAGTTTGCAAGTTCACGGCGCGATTAAAGCTAGAAAAACCCTAGCAGAGGACAACGAGTACATTCTACTGATTCAATAATTACAAAATTGGTGTCTTTTACACTTAGAAGTGATAAACTGTACATGCCGCTCATCGTTGAATGCATAAGAACAAGATTACATTACATTTAAAGCTATATCTTTAGATGTGTTGTAAAGTGTATGCGCTTCAGCGTCAAAAGTTTGAAAAATAATTCATCTCATATGTCAAAGAGTTTCATAAGCATTTGTGTACAAGTTGCAATCAGCAATTATCTTTTATACAATAAGTTTATACAATTTAGAATGAAAATTTACACGTTTCTATCATTACAACGTCAAGAATTAGAGAATACTTCGTATAATTCTACAATGTTCAAAGGCAAATGTGTTTTACGTCAATTATTTAAAATATACATCTAATGAACTAGTCAATTTCGAAAAATGTGATTGCCATTTGTATGTTACGTTCAGGATAATCAAGCGAATGTCGTTTGTTTGGCACCATGATTGGTAATTTTCATGCGTTAAGTACAAATGCTAAACTCGTTGTCGACATGTGCAAAAATTGTACAAAATCATAAGAAAAGATCGCCTATCGTACGTTAATCCTAATAAAATGTGTTTTTTAAATGCCATAAGTACAATACGTCATTGGATATTCACGTCACAGTTTTCTTTCAATCGCTCACATCGTAAATGGCGCTAAATGATAGATGAAGCACTTATTGCACACGCGTACCGGTTTACTGAAGCCAAACTTCGGCAGCGGCACGCTGTTTGACGAACAACGCGCGCAAAACACCTTGCCGCAGTTGCGGCAATGATGGCGGCGCTTCACCACCGTAAAGTTCGATCCGCAACTCATACATTTCGGCGCTACTTCATCGGGAATCCAAATGGGAGGTCGTTCCGGTTCCGCCCTTCGCGTTACTTCTTCCCTGGCGGCTGTGGGTTGGTCTTCAACGGCAAGTCGAGTGAGATCGTTCGTCACATTCGTTACATTCCGCTCCTCTTCTTCAGTATTCACAGGCGTTTCATCTACGACGCCTTGGAAGTAAACATTGGAGTCGAAAAGCGCTTCTTGTGCGAGCAGATTTGGATCCACGGAGAATTCGACGTTACTCTCGATGACATCGTTCTCAGCTGGTTGGTATTCGATTGTGGGCGGGTCTTCTTTAGGTGGTGGAGGTGGGGCTTCGCTGGAGGCGTTCATCAGGAAGAGGGATTGGAGGATATTGCGCATGTCACTGGCGAAATTCGTTTGTAACTGGTCAGAGACACCAGAAATACAAACGTAGAGTCGATGGATTAAATCTTCAATAGAACTAAAACAACATTTCAATTAATATTTACAATTTTTAAAGGTTTATAAAATAAACTTACCTAAACTTAGCCCTTAATTCACACCGATTGATAATCTCCGCCGCCTGCATCGCCAATGCAAGTTCCTCATCATCCACACAAGTACTACTAAAAGATGAAGTTGTATCAGTGCTTGAAACACTATAAGCATCTTCATCTTCCTTGTCCCTTGAAACAGTCTCCTCCTCTTTCCTCTTTGATCCCTTCCGGACTTGCCGTGAACTCCCTGATGGCGAACACTTCCTCCGCTCTTGTTTGCCACCAAACGCGCAACATCCATCCAAACTTGGCGACCGATCCAAACTTGTATTCTCGGTGCAAACGCCCGAATCGTCCGGCGATTCCAACTTGCACCCGCTCGCGTCTTTGGTATTCAAAATAGACGTCAACGTCGCCGCGGCATGATTGATCACCTGCAGTGAATCGCTATCTGGCAAACTCTCAGCGCGCACAATCGTCTCGCGCTTATGCGGAATACACGCCATGATTGCATCATGATCCACAGTATTCGTTATGAGATAACCCGAAGACGTTGACGGGATGTTCACCGTTTCGGATTTCACACCCGGATGGCGCGTTTCAAACGGCAGTACGGCAGCCACCACATGCGCAGGTGAATTCGCCAGCGAAGTCGCGAGTAACTCCTTCGTGCCGACCACATCCGCGTAGAACTTATGCACGAATTCATCACTAGGTGTCTCCAAGACAACTAAATGCGCATCATGCTCATTGTCACATAATAACTTCTCTAGAGTGTACAATTCATTACTATCCAACGTCCAGAGTAATTCTCGTATCCGCAGGAGAAGCGTCCTGAAAGGTCGGAACATCTCAGACATTTCATCAACGGGTTTATCAATGCACAGCGGGCCATTGGGGAAAATCAGCAAGCCGCTGACAATCGCCAGGCGGGGAATGGTAAACATCAACGCCGGATCACAATCGTCGACCATATCCTGCGTGAGTAAACTCATGCGCAGTGCGCGTTGCAACGTCTCGGAGAACAACACGCAAATCAGCTCCTGGAGTTCAAACTCCTGCGCGGTTTTTACTGGAACCATCGCGCTTACATAACATAATTCAAACTCAGCGAAATGACGATCGAATATCTTTAAACTTTCCAGGAGCATATCAGTTACGTTTTCGTCCTGGTTGAGCTTGATTGGTCCATTTGGCGTATTGTTTGTTAAACAGACATCTCGGAGAAGGCTTCGGACATGCTCGAGGCTTTTCGTGAGCGCCTTTGCTAATGGCCGCATTGCCATACTCTCTGCTTCGCGATTCATTATAGAAGAACCAGCTGCCAGACACTAAAATGTAAAAATTATTAATTTTTGAAGTGAAAACTTCTTTAGAATCGTTGTGATTTAAAAATTAATGAAATGACACTAAAAAGAGACAAAGTAAAAGAGATAATTAGGAACGAATCGCAGGGTCTTAATCTACGGACTATTATTTATAAGATAGGATAGTTAAAACGAAAATCTGAGAGATGAAATTTTCATTCTTAAGAAAAAATTGTCCAGGGGGGGTGCTTGATACTTTTTTTCGACAATTTTTGAAAATTCATATCTCTTAAACTAAAAGCGATAGCTACCAACGAATTGTTGATTATGAAAGATTGGAAAATTCTCTATCAGATAAAAATATAAAATAATTATATTTCCTACCGTAAAAGGTCGAAAAACGCGACTAAAAGTGCTAAAAAGTGACATTTTGCAATTTTTGATGATTTTCTTCAATCGCGAATATCTCGTAAACTAAAAGAGATAATTAAGATCTGATCGCAGCATCTTAATCTACGGACTATTTTCTATAAGATAGGATAGTTAAAACGGAAATCTGAGAGATAAAATTTTCAATCTTAAGAAGAAAATTGCCAAGGGGGGGTGCTTGATACTTTTTTTCGACAATTTTTGATAATTAATATCTCTTAAACTAAAAGCGCTAGCAACCAACGAATCGCTGATTCTGATAGATTGGAAAATTCTCTATCAGATAAAAATATAAAATAATAATATTTACAACAGTAAAAGGTCGAAAAACGCGACTAAAAGTGCTAAAAAGTGACATTTTGCAATTTTTGATGATTTTCTTCAATCGCGAATATCTCGTAAACTAAAAGAGATAATTAAGATCTGATCGCAGCATCTTAATCTACGGACTATTTTCTATAAGATAGGATAGTTAAAACGGAAATCTGAGAGATAAAATTTTCAATCTTAAGAAGAAAATTGCCAAGGGGGGGTGCTTGATACTTTTTTTCGACGATTTTTGATAATTAATATCTCTTAAACTAAAAGCGCTAGCAACCAACGAATCGCTGATTCTGATAGATTGGAAAATTCTCTATCAGATAAAAATATAAAATAATAATATTTACAACAGTAAAAGGTCGAAAAACGCGACTAAAAGTGCTAAAAAGTGACATTTTGCAATTTTTGATGATTTTCTTCAATCGCGAATATCTCGTAAACTAAAAGAGATAATTAAGATCTGATCGCAGCATCTTAATCTACGGACTATTTTCTATAAGATAGGATAGTTAAAACGGAAATCTGAGAGATAAAATTTTCAATCTTAAGAAGAAAATTGCCAAGGGGGGGTGCTTGATACTTTTTTTCGACGATTTTTGATAATTAATATCTCTTAAACTAAAAGCGCTAGCAACCAACGAATCGCTGATTCTGATAGATTGGAAAATTCTCTATCAGATAAAAATATAAAATAATAATATTTACAACAGTAAAAGGTCGAAAAACGCGACTAAAAGTGCTAAAAAGTGACATTTTGCAATTTTTGATGATTTTCTTCAATCGCGAATATCTCGTAAACTAAAAGAGGTAATTAAGATCTGATCGCAGCATCTTAATCTACGGACTATTTTCTATAAGATAGGAGAGTTAAAACGGAAATCTGAGAGATAAAATTTTCAATCTTAAGAAAAAATTGCCAAGGGGGGGTGCTTGATACTTTTTTTCGACGATTTTTGATAATTAATATCTCCTAAACTAAAAGCGCTAGCAACCAACGAATTGCTGATTCTGATAGATTGGAAAATTCTCTATCAGATAAAAATATAAAATAATTATATTTCCGACAGTAAAAGGTCGAAAAACGCGACTAAAAGTGCTAAAAAGTGACATTTTGCAATTTTTGACGATTTTTTCAATCGCGAATATCTCGTAAACTAAAAGAGATAATAAGTGCACTGTGCTATAGGTTTCACTTCTACCGCGTGTGAACTGCACACGTGATTTTTGATGGTGTTAGATTATATTAAATAAAACGATTTTACCTCTGCACCGAACCACAATTGACCTGCCAGGTTTTCCTGCAGCACATCTTCGGGAAACTTGACGCGAAAGTTGCGATTTGCGCGCTCGTCGCCGATGAGATCATCCATAATGGAATTGGTGATGGTAAGCACCTTATCCTGCGACTGCCGCAGCTGATTCACCAGCGCAGTGCAACGTTCTGGGTCCTTCCGGCCGTCGAAACTATCCAGCTCGGAGGCGATCATGTTGAGCGCTTCATCAGCGAAGAAAAACTGCGCCAGGAGAGATGTGTCATCTCTCTACAAGATAAAAAACACTCATTCGTCATACTATGATAAATAAAACAACAGGAAGCAATGCAATGCGTTGCAAAAAGTTACCAACAAGTGCGCAACAAGTTGAAAAAATAAAATTAAATTAAACCGCATTCAAGGAAAATGTGCAACCAGTACAATTGCGCACAAAATAAAACAATTATTATTATTATAGTTTTGAAAACGTTGACTCGCAAATTAAACGCATGACTAAGGACACCAGCAGTTGATGAAATAAATGAATTGCGACAGTGTGTTCAATCAATGTCAAATTTGTTGTTTTTGCTTAATATCACTTCCGTTTTCAATTTTCAAGTTCAACAACTTGCTGAGACGGGCAGGCCAATAATTCGTGTGTTTTTAAGCGTATATTCTTTTCGTCACTTGCGTGGTACCACCAAAAAAAGTAGGGAGTCGATTAAACTTCCATCCTTTCATGGCGCTCGGCAGGCAAATGAGCGAAACGAGCGTAATAAGCGCGAAACGCACAATCGTGACCTTAAAAAGCGACTGCAGAATTAAAAAAAAAACTCACTTCTACGTCGGATGACATCACAACACTCGCGTTTCGAGAAACAAGCGACAAACAAAATGGCGACTTTTAAGGAATTGCGTACGCGTTTTGTGACTTTGAAACTTAATTACCGGAAAATTAGTTAAATTATTATTTTGGAGTGTAATATCAAAATTGATTCACTCTGTAAACAACTTTTATATTTTTAACGCTTTGTTAGCTAATTTACTCATAGATATTTAAACAAAACTGAATCATCTAATACTCATGAATCACAAACCCAAAATTTTAAATTTTTATAATTTTTCAAGCATTCCGAGGTGTTTACATTTCGTTGTTCGTATTATTGACATACCAACACATTGATCGCGTTTTATTACCTGCCACCACACCACGTGTGCGCATTTACGAACTGTGGAAAAAACAAGGTAAACAAAACGAGACAATTAATAACCGTATTATTATTACGTTGTTACCAATAAATTTATCCTCTATACGTTGATAGAAAACAAAAGCGCGGCTGCAATGTGCGCAATATTAATTAATGCCTTGAACCGCTGATAAGGCGCGCACAAAAGGGGAAATAGATAAGCGCGCCTGCATAATAGTAGCGCGTTGGATCAAACTGCGTCTCGCGGCGATTAATTAAGAAAACAGTGACGTCGCAAAACACACAAACACATAGATACATGAAAAACACTCCTACTATCATTTCAAGTACGTGCTGTGCAAATTATAATAATTAACGCAAAGGAAGCATTTTTTTCAAAACTTTGTTTGATTAAGATGAGTAATCTTATCATATGCGACACAATAGAAGCAAAAACTCATTAAAAATCATTCATTATCGATTGTTGTCTGTTATTCGACTTTCCAATTTTATAAACGCACGAAAATCGATTCAAGTAAAAGATTAACAATATGATTGATCAACCAATTCAAGTTTATATATAGAAGTGACATCATTACACGCGAAAAAAGACAACTTTGCTAAAACATCCAACGCGCGAGCAACGACCAGCGAAGTTGATACGTAATGGCCCCGAAAGATAAGATTAAACATTATAAACAATACATATCAATATCTTTGGCATTGCATTACATTCTGCTTAAATTTCACGTATCAATGAATGCCAATTGATTCATGATTCCTCCTTCAAGTGTGTAAAAAGCGCGACATTGTTTGAAATGCGATAATTATGTCAAACTATAACAAGCGGATTGCGGTTGTGCCTTGAAACGCACGTCGATTGGCAAACAAACAAAATGCGAGCTACTACACAACTACTCATTACTCCACAACGTCCTAGAAAACATGAGCATACAGTGTGTTTGCAGCTGCTTAGAAGCTTGATTAATAGTGTTTGTTTAACTTTAACGTTTTCATTGTTTTCTTTCAACGCACAACGCGTTTTTTTGTTTGGCATGTCAGCATGTGTAGTAGAGTAGTACTTGGTTGATGAACTTACAACGTTTACAACTCGATCACTCAATGTTTTTTGTGTTTAATTCGGACGTGTGCTTTGCAGCCAGACACGCAAACAGGGGTTATTGTATTTTTTGTGGGATTTCTTTTGTTTTAATGGCAAGTGAAGACGCGCGGAGAGAAATGTTATAGTTCATTCTAGTTTATGTCATAGATTTGGATTTAAATTGATGTTTTTACGCACGCAAATGGAAAATAAATGGGGAAATTGTGTCCAGTTGTGTATTTATGCTAGAAATATGAAAATTATTTTTTGAGTGTTTTAAAATAGATTTAGGTATAAAAATCGATGTTTTGCTTCAAAAAATATGATTTTCTAGTTAATATCTTATGAAAAATTAAGTTAAACGCAGATTTCAGCACAAAAATTGGTGTTTTAGTTTAAAAATCAAATTTTCTAGTTACTACATTGTGAAAATTGAAGTCAATTGTGTTAATTATTTAAAATTACCTACTTTTGAGTGATTTTTCGCTTTAAGACGCGTATTTAAACACAAAAATCATTGTTTTTGTTAAAAAATCTAATTTTCTAGTTATTATTATGTTACAAGTGAAAGATAAGTTGTTTTAGAAGTGTTTAATCACTTTAAAACGCAGATTTAAGCCTAAAATCAATGTTTTTCTATCAAAAAACGCAAAATTCTAACGGTTTCATGCTGTTTCGTTGCTAATAACTTTAATTGAGGATATTTCCTAAACTCCTGCGACTAATAAGCACGCAAATAGATAGTAAATAGCAAAACATTGCCCAGTTTACGCTAAACAATGATAAAATTAAAAATATGTGCTACTTATGTGCAAAACTAGATAAAACACCGATAGCATACTTCAAAAATGAAACTATCTACAGCAATATCAAGCACAAAGTAATAACTAACATGCCACATGCTTCGATTCCTTATATTCTTATCACCCGTTTTGATGCGATGTGTTATGTGCTATCATTGTTATCGTCAAGTTCTATATATAACGGAGACATTTCGTTTTCAAATTCAAATTCAAACGCGGAATTATCTCCAGTGGAATATTATTCTGTGCGATTTCGTTCGCACTTTAGCACACGCGCCCGAAACTTTCCCAAAAATCAACGAATAATGACATAATAACGTTCTCTTTCTTTGATCAACACTAAAAAAAACTTTAACAAACGCACCGGGCATGAAGTACGATGAATAACACACAAATCGGAGCAGAGTGTAACGAGTGTAACGGTATTTGTAACGTCGTGAACTTTACACACAGAATGTAATACACAAAGAAATCCAGCACGAAGGCATCAAAATGTTGGTAATGTTTGTTAATGACATGCGATGGAAACAACGAAACAAGTTCTCAATGCTTTTCGAGGGTCTCGTCATGGAATTTTCGAAGGTTTTGTGTGTTTGCAACGCCGATGAAGCGCGGTTTGTTATTTACCTTGGGTCTGAAGAACCACTTCCGTATGGAATCCATGTTATCGCAGAAATATTCGCTCGGTTTACAACCTCGGCGCGCATAGCATCGCAGAAGGGGCCTCGCCAGCGCCAACCGCTTTCATTTTATGCAACAGTTTGGCGGAGAGAGAAATTTTTCCTTCTTCGAAGACGTTTTTGTATTCCTGCACTGAATGCCAACTACAAAACTAAACACACAACACTTGATTTATTTGCTATTTGGTGTGTTTTTATTAGGTTTATTACTTACACACTGCACACGCACGACTCGAGGACGTTCTTGCTCGGTTTCGGTTTCGTTTTCGACTAGATTTGCAGCGTAGCACGCACGAAAACAGACTGCATCGTCACGTTGCCACCGACACCGACGAATTCAGCACATCGTTTCGCGCCTCGCGGCCTTTGTCCGCCGCGGTGTTGGACTGTTGATTAATCCTCGCACTGGCGTGCTGGTGCGTGATTCATGCGCCCGACGACGACGACGACCACCAGCGTTCCGCGCTCTCGTGTTTTTCGCTTGCTCTCAATGCAGCTAGTCACTGAACTGACAGCTGGACGGGCAGACAGCGCACAGACAGGAAGCAGACGAAAAAATAAACATTACAGGAATCTGTAATTCATATTACCAATGTCAAAAACTCCCGCCAAAAGTTTTCGATGTAGTTCAGTTATTCACCACTAGATGTACGATTTAAATGTAAAATACAGAAATATTTTAAATTTATACAAATTTAGTTAATATATAACAAATAATACCATATAACAATTAAAACTAAGTTTAAATTTGAAAGTTATTGCTTAGATTTCATTTTTATATACTTTTTAACGTTACAGATGTTAAAACATTGCTCTCTCAAAATATAAACTTAAGTTTTTCACCGCTAGATGTCGCTGCATGTACAATTTGACAATAATATCTTCAATATCTTCAATTTATTCAAATTTATTACATAAATCGAAATAATAAACTGTATCAATATTAAACAACAATTTAACTTTATATTTTATGCAGTTTAGACTTTACTTTTGTATAAGATTTGTATTTATTTGTATTTTACGATAATGGCGGTCGTAAAATTAGCATCGACTTCAGATTTAATCCGAACCATCGGCGTTTCTTCACAAATACAAACACAAAACCAACGTGTATACGTGTGCGTCTACCTGATTTCGCCGCGCTCGAGCTTTAATTAATTAAGTCCTTCAATAAATAATTTTATCGACTATAAATAAGCCATTAAACGGGCGAACAGATTAAATTAATTATTAGACAATACTTGAGCGGACATCGCGACGCGCATCGCATTAAATGTGTTTAAACACTAAAAACACGTCGGATGCAAGCGCTGAGGATGGACCGCGCCGATAAAATACAAATATAAACGTTCGAAGGGAAAATTCCGAGAATTCACTATCTTTATGCGTTGAATTTAAATTTACAGAATAATTCTGCGTTCAACTCGCTTAACACAACAACAAAAGATTAGTATGGTTAGCTGTTAGATTAGGTTAGGTTACCACAGATGACACTTTGTATTGTATTACGGGCTGGAAATCGCAAAGCGATTGTGGTTAGAGGTAACACGATGATGTTTTTAGCGCTGAGTGCAGCGCGATTATGCTAAAAGCAATTGCCTATTAATACTATTTAAACGCGCCTCGAACGCATTAATTACGCGCAAGAAGGAGCGCGCCGAGTGGCCGGCGTCGTGGGACGCGTCTCAGGCGACCAGCACGACGAAATAAAAGTGTGTCGCGATGCCACGCTCGCCGCTAATGCGTTTTACATGTTTTGTGCTGATATTATTAATCTGGAAGTATTTAGCGTTTAACAACATCGGATACAACGCTCGTTACAACGCTCGTTACGTGCGCGCAAAGTGAATTTGCAAACCAAAACACAAAAACCAAGCAAAACATACGAAATTATTCACACAATTAAGTAATTGCACATTTAAAACGTATATTATTCATTAATACTCAACGGTAAACTCTAATTTTTATTTTATAAGTATTTTTATAGCATTTAAATCTAATTTTTAGGTTGGTATCGTGTATGTTGGGTTGCATAGCGTGTTACATCGAAGGGTATAAATTAATGTTAATTAATTTGGCTTTTAGTGTAACAACGTTGAACTATATCGAAGAAAGCACTTTAAGTAACAACTGCTCTTAATAGTCTTAAACCTTAACTAAACAACCAACTAACTAGCAATGCTTGTAATCGCGTAAAACCTTTTAATGATCGAACACTTTGTATAGTAAACTAAAACCAAAAAGGAAATGATTTCAGTTTAATTTCGCGCGTTCTCATTAGCGTTTCACGTTTTACATTTAAACTAAAGCTAAATAAGTAAGTGATTTGTTGATTCATGTGACTTAACCTCACAATGCGGTAGTTATTCAGTGACATTCCACAAGCGCACGGAAAAGTTAATTATTTCACCGTTACCCAGCGGAATTTAACTTTAATTAATCACAAAAGTAATTATTTCAATTAAAAAAATTGTTTTATGCTTTATAACATGCTCAAAATATTAAAATTGAATGCATTTCATCAACAATCAACAAAATGGAATTTCTGCTGTCATTTCAAAGAAGTATTCGTTTGAGAGTTAACTCTGGAGTGTATAATTTGTCCCTCTGATCGATTTTACGTAAGAATCTAAGCGCAAGCGATCACGTAGCCCATTACCAAGAAACAATTGAAACGCGATGCAGCAATGGCCGCCGGAGCGCACACAGCCGACAAACGAATCACGGCAAGCACACAGCCAGCGTTCATTATATTTAAGCCTTTATTACTCGGAAGACGCGCGAGAGACGCTCGGAAACTTTTGCGGCGGTTGGGTTTTTTACGCGTGCGTAGGCTTCATTTGAGGTTATGTCGTTTTTGTTGCGCCGCCATTACGATATCCAGCTGGTATATTAATATACAACGAATTACGTTCGGCGTATGGGCAATTTGCTGCTTTATTTCTTGCGATCAGACGTGAAATGCTCAAAAGGCAATCATTTCATGACAATAACAGTCGAATGGCTTTTGTTTTGATACAAAAACAACGCATTTGTTTTGATAATTTAATACTTAATGAACAACCCAATCAAAATGTCGCAATAACAATAATAATAACAATGAAACCACGCTGGTAATAATTTATTAGGTTTAAGCGATGTGTCATTATTGGATTTGTATTCAGGGCACGGAGTAGAGGTGTCCTTGATGAAGGATATCGCTGAGTTTTTTTGTCCGACACTTTTTAGCGTTTATATAAATTGAACCCTTTAGTAATATCCCTTAATATCCCTTAATATCTCTTAATGTTTCTCGATTTGCCCTCACCGTACTTAAGTCCACGGCTGGTGACGCTTGTTTTTCGAAAAGCTTTTTATAATGACATACCGATGATCCCCGAATGATATTAATATAATAAGCAAGCACCAAACATAGATAGGCAACCATAATTACATCTACAGTGTGTTTAATGTGGAAATGTAAGTTTAAACTAAAAAAATGAAGTTTTATGCGTATAAACACACTGTATGTATCAATATGCGTGATGTTAATGTAATAACCATGTATAAGACATAGATAGGCAACCATATTTGCACCTACAATGTGTTTAATGTTAAAATATAAGCTGGGAGAAAAAATGAAGTTTAAATTGCTTTTAAGAGTATAAACACACTGTATGTATTAATATGCAATTATGTACGAGTGGCTAACATCAATTTCTTCGTCATTGGTCGTTGTTATCCAACATTCAACAATCCAACCGAGTCGTTTAGGTGCGTTTAGCATTTTCTTGCGTCTTCGATCGACCATTACCGCAACTGCCGGGGGATAATGACGTTAAACATGGCGATGGCGATTCACTCGAATTAGAAAAACAATTTCTTACTTCAACTTATAACTTGCGTTGTAATAGAAAAAAGCATTGGCTGAATATGAACATGTCATTAGGCATTTTATGATCATTTGTTCACTTTTTATTCCGTTGGAAGCACAAACATGGCTGACCAGGTTATATTATTATGTTAGGTTAGGTTATGTTACATAATAACAACCTTTGTAACATTTTTTTAAAGTTTGGTTATGGTTTTGTGCTTTGTAATGTTGATTACCCAACTGACACTTAATTACAGATTCCTGTAATGCGTAACAAAAGTAAACTTTAACTTTCTACGAAAATTTACTTTTAACTTAATTTGCATACACATAATTGCACTTCACACGTGTCCGCCGTCTCGCATTTCATCTGTTGTTACAAATTATCGCAAAATTACCTACTGTGTGCCCCGAAGCCAGAAATAATTACAGACACATTTACTTAAATATTATTTTCGTTAATTTGGTTAAATTTTACTCGCACGGTGCGAAATTCATTTGTAAACTGCAAAGTGTCAGCGTGTTGCAGTAATCAAAGTGTTGGACGTCTACTTCCACACGGCGAAAATGAGAGACACGGCTAATGAGCGGAAAATAATGAAAATCCAAATCACGCATTTTGATGGCGATTCGGTTAGGGCGCGGGCGGCGACAGATGAAAATTGCACGCCAGGTCAATAAGTAGCGAATAGTGTCGCGTATTTTCGGCGCTAATTGCGGGCTAATTGAGTACTTTTACCGCGAAAACTGTTAATACATTAAAATATCAAAACATCAAGCTAAAAAGCAATTTATAAATGTTTCAAAACATAACCTAAAAGGGTAACATAACCTAATATTATCTATGATAAAAATTTCGCGTTTTTTGTGATTTTTGAAATGAAAACTTCTTTAGAATATCTCATAAACTAAACGAGAAAAATAGGTACAAATCGCAGAGACTATTCTACGAACTATTCTCTATAAGATAGGCTCGTTAAAACGTAAATCTGAGAGATAAAATTTTCATTCTTAAGAAAAAAATCGCCAAGGGGGTGCTTGATACTTTTTTTCGACGATTTTTGAAAATTCATATCTCCTAAACTAAAAGCGATAGCTACCAACGAATTGTTGATTCTGATAGATTGGAAAATTCTCTATCTGATAATAATATAAAATAATAATATTTCCAATAGTAAAAGGTCAAAAAACGCGACTGAAAGTGCTAAAAAGTGACATTTTGCAATTTTTGACGATTTTCTTCAATCGCGAATATCTCGTAAACTAAAAGAGATAAATAAGATCTGATCGCAGTGTCTTAATCTACAGCCTAAATATTAATGATTATGCATTTTTCTCTAATTTTTGCCTATTAAACCACAAAACGCAAAAATAAATTAATTTTTTCTTCGCTGATTGAGATTGCAATGTCTTTGTCTCGTCCCCACTCGATAATTCCACTCACTTGAATAAAATACGTCGTTGTGAATGCGTGTTGCTTCAATCCGTAGTCGTTATCGACGTGTACACATTCATATTTGATGCGTTGCGCCCGCCGTCCGCATGATTGGTATACGCGCGCCGCCCCGCTCCGCGTACTTGTAAGTACAAATGACATAATAACGCTTTATTACAATATTTATTGCGCTCGGCGGCGAATGAGCTCGTCGCATGCGAGAAAGGCGGTTCGTAATCGACGCAGCGTTACAAGCCTCATACAACCGACCACAAGCTATAATTTACGCTACGGTAATGCGATCGAAGAGAAAAATATTCATAATCTCGCCATCAATATCTAATATGGTTAATAGAAAATCAATCTATTTTCACGTAAAAACACGAAATGACTAACATCCTGTTCACACGATTACTGATATCGTTTATTTTTTATTTTTTGTTTTTTTTTTCTGCAATTTTGATTTTTTTAAATTTTTGACTGCAAACATTTTCTACCTGCTAATTCGTACATCCGCTGGACAAATCTTTGTGTCGTGCGGAAGATGATTTTTATATTCGTATATAAGCAGAGACAATTATCAAAATACTAAACCACACGCCACTTGACGCAATTGCAGGTTGCAGGTGTAGGAAAACAAAGAAATAAACCTTTTTTGCCTTTGTCGAAAATCTGTGCGTTGAGTCGGTGCAATGCGTGTAATAATAGCGCAGAGAGGAAGTGCTGCCCCGAAGATATTACTATCATTTGGCCGTCGTCCCTTTTAGTCGCTTCTCTGTGGTGTTTGTTTAATTCGGTGTCGTGTTGGCGGATCATTTTTTGTGGGGATCGATGACGATCAAAAAAATCACGCACTGCAATTACGATTTGCGGTTGGGATTTCCGCCCGCAACAAAATAAAATGAGTACCTTAACTTAACCTCAAAATAATAAGTCAAATCAAAGCAAATCATCAAAAAACATTATTTAAGTACTTATAGTTGACTTATTGACAAACCTAACCTATTTTAACTTAATTTAAGCTCATTTAACTTGACATAACCTAATCTAACCTTAAAAATCATATAAAATCATCAAAAACGGCAATATTATTATGTTAAGTTAGGTTATGTTGCAAAATAACAATTTTTAAATAATTTTTTTAAAGTTTGGTTAATGTTTTGTGCTTTGCAATGTAGATAACCCAACTAACACTTAATTACAGATTCCTGTAATGCATAACCAAAGAAAACTTTACATTTTCTACCAAAATCAACTATACTTGACTTATTAACTAACATAACCTCAACCTACCCTTCTATAACCTCCCATAACCTAACCTAACCTAAAATATACTCTCAAACTCCTCAGAGATAATCTCCACTTACTCTTAGTTGACTTATTGAATGTACGATGTGAACGGACAGCCGATTATCGACGTGCACATCCTTGAAAATCCCCCGGAATCCATAAATCCCCTTCATCATATCTTAAATTTACCCCTTATCCCATAAAGGTCACCTAACCTAAAATCAATACTATTAAATATACTAAAATGATCATTAAAATCAACCAGATATGAATGTTTTTCACAAAGTGAAGTGATCTTAAAGTGGATTTTATTGTTTTGACATTTGTGTGCAGTGTGCCATGCACTGCACTTCTTCCGTTGTAGGTGGTCGCGACAATCGTCTAGACTGCGAGACCGTTAATTTCGAATCGCGACTACCTGACTTGTCCCTTCATCTCACTTACTCTTACATCGAATGACAATGGCCACAGAACCAAAAAGGAAGTCATTCAAAAACAAATTTCTCAATTCTCAAGTTGGGACTTACTACAAGTTACGTTTTACGACTGATTTTCGAAAAGATTTGAAAAAGCGTTGATGGATGTAGAGTGCAATTTTCTGCTTCACTTAAATGACACACGTTAAGAGATGGTTTTTGTGATTTTTGAGTTTTGTTCCATTCAAGTGTGTGTCTAGAAGTCTAGATTTATGAATGACTGTACAAGGGCCACACTGAAAGGGATGCTCGTAAAAGGGCTCTCAGTGAGTACCTACAAATTACCACGCCGATATGTGTTTTATCTGCGATTTTAAAACCAAAAAACGACAAAATTGAGTTGATATATAATTTACACTTCCTGTGTTACTCATCAATGACTTTTACTGACTCAAAGTCTAAATTCTTTCTCACCCTGAGCAGGGACCAATCTTTTCTGCATCTATTACCGTTTTGAAATTAAATATCCGTGTACGAATCGCACCCCCAAAGCACACATCAAAATGACATACTCCAGGCGCACGCGTCGGTGCACTCCGAATCATTGGGGATCAATTAAATTTCAATGCACACAGAGATGAACCTGATGGAGATGACTAGATAACATTGCAATTCTATTACTGTATTACGATATAATGTACCATGGGCCGGGAGAGTCTATTATTCTGTTATTGTTGCACCCCTGAAGGGGTGCACTCAATGCATCAATGGTGAGTACAACTGGTTTTGTACACAGTCAAGTGTGACCTTGGCGTTTTGCTCTTTTTGTTGTCACGGGATGAAGAGGTCCAGAGTTTGAGTGAGGGTGCGACCCCGCAAATCTAACGGTGGTGCGACTCTCAAAGAGGCCACTTGACGTATTAAATGCCAATTGAATTATAAATGATTTATGTACTTGGAATCATACTTGTATCAAAGGTATTGTTTTGTTATGAAAGTTGAAATAGGTAAAGGAAATTAAGTATCAAGTGTGCTAAGTGGCATTTTAATCACGAGTGTTTATTTAATGGAGTGTTTAATAATGTTTTTCTACTTTTTTTCTTTAAAGCACAAGTTTTTCTACGGTTTTAAGACACAAAATGTGGTATTTTATACATGGGCAGCCAAGGCCGTGACTAAAGTACTTTAAAACCTCATAAAAATACAGAAAACTTTAAAAAAATTACGAAATTAAATCAATGGAGTGTTTAACAACGTTTAGCGACGTGATGCGTATGATCTACCCTGTGACTAAAGTACTTTAGTCACGGCTTTGGCCATCCGTGATTAAAATCCTACTTTTTATGTTCCTAAACCGTAGGAAAAGTAACATTTTCAAGGTAGAAGCACAAAAAAAACTTAAAAACCTTGTAAATAAGTATAGATACTTAAGTAATAACTGTAAAAATCTAAAATTATTGTTTTTGTTATGTACCGTTCATAATTCTAATTATATTTAATTCGTGAGATTTATTTCGTAATCGTATTCATTAATTCTTTTTTTTTTAATTTTTGTTTTTCGTTTGCTTTTAAACGCTTCTGACGTATTAAATTCGAGTGTATTTTGCTGGTTGGCCTGGTGCTGTATCACTCTGCGCAATTACTTCTCAATTTTCATGACCCCACAGAATGCGCCCTCGGCATTATAAACGGCTTGTCGCTTCGCGTTGCGCTCATAACACGAGGGCGGGCGCATAACAAACGCGCGCCGCCCCAACAAAGAGATAAATAATTATCTGGCACGCGGCGCTTTGCGCGCTTTGGAAAATCGGAAGCGCATAAACCTGGCTAATCCAATTACTGTCGCAGATATAAATACACCTCGTTACAATTGTAAATTACAACACATACAAACAAAAAAAAAACAAAAAAAACTCAAGTAAAAGCGAAAAAAAATTAATTCTAATAAAAAAATTTTAAACTCTTGGAATACGTATTTTAATTTCATACATTTCATTCGCAGATAGAAAAACAATCGAATTAACCACTTACTGTCACTTTTGAGTAATGATGGTTGCATCATACCTACATTTGTACGCTATGTGTACGTTTGGTTGCGTGCATCTTTCCGTAGTTAATTTGTTTCGCTTTGTTTGGAGTTTATATTCCTGCACCATCTTTGATTATTTATGCGTTTCACAAATGTAGGAATACAAGTGGAGTGGAGAGAATAGGGGCGGCGTGGAATGGCACACGCACACGAAGGGCGTTGATTAAAACCTAATCTAATATTTCTCCCTCTATACGCCGAAGAATTATCGCATCACAGACACAACTTCCACTTTAAATATTTACATCACTTACCTATTGTAATATCGCATAGAAACCTGGATATTTCATCATCTGTCAATCGAAATATGCAATTAGTCATAGGTAATTACTTTAAGAACACACAGTAATTAATATATACGCTCCAATTCACTTACTTGTCAATGGGAAAGTCAGGAAAGGTTTTTTTCTTCTTCTAAACACACTGTATATAATTGTCTTATCTTTATTTGTGTTTTTCTTCATTATTCTCTCCGTTTTGTCCCATGGATCAATAAATTATTGCACTATGTGTTTAATGTGTGTGTTGATGTGTTGTGTGTGTGTAATTAATTTTATTAATCATGCGTTTTTTTGAATTAACGATTAATTAAGTACCTCACGCTGCGCCTAGCCTGATATTTTTACAGATTGTTTCTCTCCTCGGTTAGGTAATAATTATCAAGTGTCACGTTCAGTCTTCCATCTTGTTGCCATTCACTCATTCACTGTTGCGCACTTATCGACTACGAATACTTAACTTAACTTTAAAGCCTTAACTTAGAACGTAATTACCATTACAATCACTGTTATCAAATATCATCATCACTAAGAACTATATTTACACGTGTGTTTGTTTATCCTCTCAGCGCTTACGAGCTAATTCATTAATTAAATATTCACAATTTTTTTTTCTTCGAACATCCTGTATGTTTTTTTTTTTTCGCCAACATTTTTTTTTTCTTCTGTTGTCTGTTCATTCTCAGTCATTCTCTGTGTGTTGTTTTTACTTTTAATTCCTCAGATAAAAATTAAAGCTTTAGCTACTTTTGTTCGTTTTTTTGTTGGATTTTTGTTTTTGTTTAAAAATGTTGATTTTTTTATTATTAGCAGATCGATTCGGCGAGAGGTGGCTGCGGATTGCTGTAGGGGCCGGCCCACGGCTGCAGGTTCTGGAGGGCGCTGAGTGCGGTGTCGCCCGGGCCGGCGGCGGCGGCGCCACCACCGCCCCCACCCTCGCCGGGCATGTAGCCCTTGCTCAACGCCTCCGCTTGTAGGGAGAGCATCAGTCTGTTGGCGGCTTGTCGTTCTGCTTCGCGTTCTTCTGCCGTTTGCCGCCTGGAATGCAAAAAGAAACGGATTTTAATTAAAGTTTTATTTGATGCGCATGCGCAGTAGCTACAGCTCAATAGGTGGAGATAAATAAGTAAAAGAGTGGTTTTACACCTAGGGGCAGTTGAAATTTCAACAGTTTTGTGATTTTTAAAGAAATTGTGGTTTTATACAAAGTGTTTTGATATTTTTGATAAATTTTAATTAAATTATTATTAACTGCGCATGCGTAGTAGCTACAACTCAATAAATACCTAAAATAATGATTTTACAGTCAAAATCAGCTAAAATTTCAACTTTTTTGAATATTTTTAAAAGAAATTGCGGTTTTATACAAAGTGTTTTGATATTTTTTGATAAATTTTAATTAAAATATTATTAACTGCGCATGCGTAATAGCTACAACTCAATAAATACCTAAAATAATGATTTTACAGTCAAAATCAGCTAAAATTTCAACTTTTTTGAATTTTTTAAAAAGAAATTGCGGTTTTATACAAAGTGTTTTGATATTTTTTGATAAATTTTAATTAAAATTTTATTTATTGCGCAAGCGCAATAGCCACAACTCAATAAATACCTAAAATAATAATTTTACAGTCAAAATCAGCTAAAATTTCACCTTTTTTTGAAAATTTAAAAAAAAATTGTGGTTTTATACCAAGTGTTATTTTTAGATCAAATTTATCTGTGACGATAATCATTTCCGACATTCAATTAGAAAAGCCCGATAGGAAGTTTAGACATCCACTGAATCCGCTGCATGGTGGTATTTCCTTTTCATCCCTTCAACGCCATGCAGCGCGATATTTTAATTATGATTTACACGCCGCCCCACCGTAAAGCCCGCTTGCCGTCTGTAATATAAATTAGCCGCCATCATCCGCGCGCGTCCCCACTTCCCGTGTCTACTCTGTCAAATTACTCTGCCACCGCCGCCGCCGCAACGCAGCAACACGCGCTAAATTAATTCGATTAATTGCATAATTTTAATTATGACGTTAGGCACTCTAACATAGGCAACCCAAAACACATCCACTTCCAATATAGGCAACCAAATATACAAATAAATATAAATTTCACTATAAACACTCTGTATGTTTATAACATAATATAGTAACAATGGTTTAACCTAGTCTCATAGTTCCCAGTCGAATAGATAGGTAGGTATATATCGGGAAGGTGTTGAACTGTGAACGCGTTGATAACGGTTCCAGCCTGCTCCATATTGCATCCCGCACACATCCCTATATCTTCCTTCGATGTCACAGCTCATGCGCGTGTATCTATTCTACTGATAGCTGCCTGGTGAATATTTAAACCCGGCAAACACTAGACCTGTGTCGTCTTGCATTATTGAGGCGCCGAATTGTTGCCGCCCCCCATCCCGCCGCACGCCCGCCCGCCCGCCGCCCACGCGTGAATAATTGAGGGGCTTTTAGAGCGGGTGTCAAACCGACGTGCTGTTCGCACTCTGGATCCACCAAGTCACCAAGTCACCAAGTGAGGATCAGATATAGGAGTAAACTACTGAAATTTACATAAAATATTTGTATATATGATCTGTTGTTGACTTGGTGTGTGGTTTGGTTATGTTTATTATGTTTATGTTTAAGTTATTACTTAATTTTTGGGTTTCACTTTACGAAAGAAGCCACAGATCGTGAACAATAATAATGTTGGTAATGTTGGGGCGATTACGTTATTATTATTCAATGTGACGTTGTAATTATTTCATTTGCGGCGTGCGCACATGACACACATTTCCGCTAACTGACGAATTATGATGTTTTAACAGTTTTTTTTTTGTTTAAGGTAAATTTGCATTTCTCAACATGTGCGCGTGTGGTAATTTCTTTTCATAAATTTTAAAACCGACAAAATGTAAGATAATTGCCAAAAACAGTTTTAAACTAACATTAATTTTTTCTGTGGGTAAAGGTGTTGAAATTATGAGAAAATATTAAATAATTTTATTGTTTTCAACGAAAATTTTGAGTTTCACACCTTGTAAAATTTAGGAAATATGCTATGTTCGGTACTTATACCGCAAGTCCAACATAGGAACAGATACGTATAAGACTACTAAAGCTTAAAAACAAACATTAATGCTTTTCTGAGGCCTAAAATGTTAAAATTGAAATAATTATGTGAAAATTTTAATAATTTTATTGTTTTCTAGCGAAAATTTTGATTTAAAATGTTCACACCTTGTAAAATATTAAAGATATGCTATGTTCGGTACTTATACCGCAAGTCCAACATAGGAACATATACGTATATGACGACAAATGTGTAAAACTAACATTAATGCTTTTCTGAGGCCTAAAACGTTAAAATTGAAATAATTATGTGAAAATTTTAATAATTTTATTGTTTCCAACGAAAATTTTGATCTAAAAGTTTCACACCTTGTAAAATTAAGGAAATATGCTATGTTCGGTACTTATACCGCAAGTCCAACATAGTACCAGATACGTACATGCCGAAAAAATAAACAAAAGTGTTAAAACTAAAAACTAAAAATAACGAAAATTTTAATAATTTTATTTTTTCAACGAAAATTTTGATTTAAAAAATGTAAAACTAAAAATAATTATGTAAAAATTTGTAATAATTTTGCTTTTCTCCAGAAGAAATTTTGTTCTAAATCTTTCACAGCTTGTAAAATAATTTAAAAAGCGTTGTTCGGTTCTTATACTGCAAGTCAAACATTAGTAGCTATCTAAATGCTTTATTTGAAGTGTGTGTTTCATGTAGAAAGCAATTTGATCCGTTTTGTAGGTTAAATACGATTGTGTTCCAATTTGTTATCCGCTTGTAGCTTGTTCAACACGCCTCCCTGGTGCAAAGTGCTTCCGCTAGTGAAGAACCCACTTTGCGAATATTCGATTCACATTATTGCGATTCATTCCACTCGCGCTATTGTTTCCGACGGCGTTCGTTTCGATAAACACGTAACAAGCGCCGTAACAACACCACCGCCACCGCCTCCACCGCCACCAACAGCAGAAAACAAGTATTAACGTAATTGGCTCTTCTCTCAGTCCTCGAAAAAAAGGGAGACTTTTGTCTGTTGTCTGTGTTTCGTGCGTCTGGCATTTTATTCACCCTCAAGTCAAGACAAGATTTTCATGCGGTCTTAATCTACTAAAGACCAAAGTCGATTTTCTTTTAGTTTCGGTTTTATTCGTGTGGGTAATTTCACATGGTGCCTCCTGAAGCGTGCTTATCGTTGTTATCATAATACGCCGTACTTAATTCTTATTGATTAGTACCTCTTTTACCTCTGAATGTGAATGTGAATGCGAGGGCCGAGGAGGAATTCCGAGATTCCAGTAAGTGCCCGCCGTCTGCGCGACGCGACACTGTCTTGGACTAAATTATTAAGTCCTTTTAACGCGCGACACACCGATTCGACGGAATCCCGATTGGAATGCGCACGATTTTCGAAAGACCCGGCGATAAACAACGGCGCAGCCGGAGGAGAATCACTGAATTTATTTTAATCAAGAAGGGAAGAAATTGTGTAAAAATTTGCTAATTGAATGAAAATTTAGAAAAATAGGAAGATTTTTAAGGATTTATAAAAGTAGAAGTAGAATTTGTAGTAAAATTAATTATTTATGCAAAAAATTGCAATTTTTATGAAGAAAAACATTTTTTGATTTTTTTGTGTGTTTTTTCTTTTTTGAAAGATAACTCGTTGAAAATCATTAAAAATGAAATTGTAATAAATGATTTTGCTAATTAAATATAGGATCTAAAGAAGGAGAAGCAGTATTTGTACTAAAATCAATTATGTATGTCAAAAATTAGCAATTTGAAAAAATTAAATTTTTTCCCATTTTTTTCGTTTTTCTAAAAGAGAACTCATTGGAAAGCATGAAAAAAAGAATTTTTAGCTTCAGATTTTGCTAAATATATAAAATTTAATCAAATTTCAATGTTTTTTTAAAGAAAAATCAATTATTTGACCAAAAAATAACAAAATTTTGCCAAAAAACAATTTTTTTCCTAAAAATTTTCTTTTTTCTTTTTCTAAACTCCAACATTTTACGTGATGATAACTCGTTGAAAACCACCAACAAAACTTCCCGAAGCGCTTGCCGTCGGCCGTCGGCCGTCGCACCGTGTTCCAACACAACTTGTCCATTACCGAACAAGCAATTAATACGCTGCGGCGCTTCCACACAACATGGAACACCTCAACAACCTCAACAATCCAATCCTACAACTCACCAACTCAGCAGAAGCACATAATCCGCTGCCTCTTAACGTGATTAGGCAACACACCGACATCGCCACACACTGCTTAAGATCGAATTTCAACCGCAACGTAACTACTACGCATGCGTACTAGGGCACAAATCATAACCTATGTAATATGAAATCTTACCTCCATTTTGTCCGCCGATTTTGAAACCACGTCTTCACCTGCGCGTCGGTCATCTTGAGCGATTTCGCCAGGGCGGCACGCTCGGCGGACGCGAGGTACTTCTGCTTGTGAAACCGCTTCTCCAGCTCGGCGATCTGCAGGCGGGTGAAGGACGTGCGCGGCTTCTTTCGCTTCGGCGGCGTTCGATTCTGATACGGATGGCCGATTCGTCTCGTCATGGGAAACGTCGCTGCAAAAGCAAAACACAAAAATAAATAAAAATAAAAACATACATTACCAACAGATTACTTAATTACACTTTACAAAAACAAATCCAAACGTATGTAAAACATTTATTTAGTTATTTATATCCAGTAATAGTTAGTGATACGACGGTAATGTGTTTATAATTAATGCGTTTCACGTTTTACGATTTTTGCAATATGAATATTACTACTACGAAGTGTGCATGCAGGCGAGAAAACGTTATCTCTTCGCAAGTTGAAGTTGGAGCACTTTGCATGCGAATCGCGCTCTTTAATGTCCGCAGACATTCCGATTGTTCATTTAGCATGCAAAACGTTTCAATTTACCAAGACACGACATTCAGACGAATTAATTACAATATATTTCAAGATAAACGCATGAAACCATCAACATAACCTAATATAACCTCAAAATATCAAATTATAAGTAAACTAGCTTTATCCCGCGGCTTCGCTCGCGTTGAATCCATCAAATAAATATTAGAAATCAATGAAGTTGCTTCCGTACGCGTCTGTAGTCACAGAAGAAGTAACAATGAAGTAGAATGGCGGGAAGTTTAAAATGGCTGAAAGTATAGTCTATGGAAGTATAGTGTACAGTCTCCATAGTGTAGTCAATTGGATTTGATGTTGACGTAGCTGTCGGTAATACAGTGTGATAATACAGTGTGATGGTACTATAGTACTTAGGTTTGAGCTTCATTGCTGGAATGCTAGATGGCGTTAAAGTTGTCAAATAGCCAGATGCAGAGGTATTATTGGCTAAACAATTTCTTTATTTTATTTTGTAAATAATTTTTTTTCTTAAATAAAAAGTAGCCTATAACCATTCGGGGACCACTAAGAATATGTGTACAAATTTTCATGATGATCGGTTAAGTAGATTTTGCGTGAATGTGTAACAAACATCAGGACTTTCGCATTTATAATATTAGTAGGGATTTGCAATTACAATTGACATTTAATGTTGATTTCTCTTTTATAAATGTATTCCAAGATGGCCGACGGTAGCAAATGATCAAACACACAAAATATTTATTAGTTATAGTCATTATTCTATCATTCATCATCAGGTACTTACACCGCCGCCATGTTGGATTATTATTCGTGCGTGAACAGTGCACATAATAAATGATCCATCGAGGAGCACACAAAGGTAAGAACTTAATGATGTTTTTACGTGTTGCCGGCTCATTGATAGTTTTTTCGCCGCTCCGCTGCGCTCCGATAGGCCGGCGTTGTTTTTTCATATTAAAAATTCAAAATGGCCCCTAATTACACACTTGACCATAATGCCATAATGCGCGCTTCAGTAATGTACAAATACGAGTATACACAAAAAACAAACGAAAAAAACGTAATATTGAACGCTTAGTCTAAAGTTACATTCACTCACAGAGAATGATGGAAAATGAAGGTAATATTTGATATTTACGCGCAAGTTTTAAGTAAAGTTAACTTTACGACTCAATTAGCGAGGAAATATGGACCACCGCAGCATTTAACACAAGGGGATGTGTTGGCCGAGTTTGGCGACGATGCCAAACCGCCCCGAAGGGTGTAATACCCTTTCGCAGCGCTATTAAATAATTACTTAATGTTACTTAATAACTATCAACGTTATTACACCCTCGCTTTACCGCTCGAAATTAATTAGTTCATATTTCAGCGCTGGAATATCGCATAGTGCTTTTTTCGTTTGGTTTTAAAGTTAATTAGCAACTTCCACAAACGATTTATTTATTTATCTAAGTATACGAAATGTTATTATGTGCGTTTCGAAAGGCGGTACTTATGATAATTGTGTGGGAATGCAGTAACCCGAACGTTTAATTGGTTCTTGGAAATTAGGCAATTAACAAAATACTATTTAAGTTTTTTTTATGAATATAAAAACAAAAGAAATACAAATTTTAAATTTATTTAATTAAATTTAATTTGTTGTCGTTTTTGTTTGCTTTTGAGATAAAAAAAAATTTATTTTTTATATTTTGTGATATACAGTGTGTATTTTTGGGTGTTGGTAGCATCTGTTGGTGTCGTTACGTCGACGACAAGAAGCCCGATGTAATGGCAATGAATAAATAATATTTTAAGCGCTCCGAACTGAAACAATACGCCGAGGGTGTGAGAAGTGCGAGTTTTCCGCGTTTCCCACCCTGGAGGGTGAGCTACAGCCCCATTTTTATACATTTTCAAAACTCCATAGCCTCCACAAATAGAAGATGTCACTTTGCAGGTTTTGAAATGACAATTATCCATACAGAGCGACCCAGAAAGCAAAAAATCAAAATTTTTATTTTTTAATTTCGCATTTTGTTTGAGTTGATTTTCAATTAAGATACAAACCGCCGCGCGCATTAATTGCATTCCCGTCGCCGGTGTTTTGTTCCGAGCGAGATTAATGCATAATTAACCAATACTAATGAATAACACAAGCGCCGTGAGCGCATGAAACTAAATTGCTAATTACGCGCTACCGGCATAATTGCTCATTATAAACCTCCATTAAAAAAAAAAGTATACAACGAGAACAAAAATCAAAATCCCATATCCAACTCGTAATATTAATCCGATTATGGTCGCTACAAAGTGTGTACCGCCATGTTTGTTACGTTTGGCAATCGTACAATAAAAATGATAATCTACACATTGTGTAGTCGTAGATGTGCTTGGCTGATAAAATATTAATTTGTTTTTTAATGCTCGGCTGCGACCGCAGGCACGGGGAATTAGCCATTATTAAAATTGTCAGGACGAACTAATTAAAACTCGTTCGCTCACTCATACTCATAGTACGTGAATAAGTGGGGGTAGGAAATTATGTGGAAAGTGGAGGGGGAGCGAGAGCTAAACTCGTTGTTAAACTAGGAATAAAATTTCACGTTAAACGTAATTGACGTTCGTTTGGGTAATTTTAATTTCGTTTCCCCACGACCACACGACACATTACGATTATACCAAAATATACAGAGTGTTTCCATCTAAAATAATCAAATTTACTTATTTTTATACATTTTATACATAGATGGCGTTGGTTTATACATTTTCAATGAGATTAAATATTTAAATGATCGTTTTGTTGGCCTAGAGTTGGATAATTATTTTAATTAGTTATTTATTACACGTGGCGAATCATTACGTATTGATTAAATTGGTTTATGCAGACTAAACTGTGCGCAATAGTATTAACTATTAATTTTGAACAAAATGCAATATGTACATTTCACAGCATTAATTACGCTAGGCAACACACCACACATCACACAATAGTAAAACATGTTTAAAAAGTTGCCTAGCGTTTAAATTTTCAAAACTTATCAAAACTTTTTACTTTTTAGGTCCAGGGTCGCGATAAAAACCCGCGCGAGGTTCCTGAGAGCTTTATGGTGTCGTTCATGTATCTTTCAGATATTGTACACTCCCGGCCGACGTCTTGTTCGTCGACTTGTTTTTCGAGAGCGATTTTTGTACGTGTCGAGCATGCAAGAAGTTAAAAGTCCAAGGCGCGCGGTATAGGTACCTACGTCCAGCGATAGCTGAAAGCGCCTCTTCGTGATTAATATGCCCGGCGATAAGCGGACGCATAATACTTATGTAGATACTTATGTCCGTCGAGTAACTTACTTACTTCTTTGCCTTTTTTTTTCTTTTATTTTACTTGTAATCGACGTCTTCCTTTCGTAGAAAGAAATTTGTTTTCGTGTTTATAGTAATTATGTAGTAAAAATGTAAACTACTGATTTATAGGTGGCGCTACTTGTAATATTTAGTTTTAGTGTCATTTGGGTTGATAACATCTTGCTTTTAGGTTAGGTTTATGAGGTTATGATGTCTGTAAGCTGTATTTATGTGTATTTTTGTAAAATTTGTTTTTGTGTTTAAACTTTCAAATAATTAAGTAGTAAAAATGAAAACTATTGATTTATAGATGGCGCTACTAGATAGCATCATATATTACAACTAAGGATGTTTTAGGTTAAGTTTGTTGAGGTTATAATATCAGTAATTCATATTTTTGTGTTTTTCCTTTCAAAAAATTTGTTTTTAAGTTTATACTTTCAAATAATTAAGTAATAAAAATATAAACTACTGATTTATAGGTGGCGCTACTTGTAATATTTAGTTTTAGTGTCATTTGGATTGATAACATTGACTTAAGTTAGGTTTTTTGAGGTTATGATGTCTATTAGATGAATTTACGTGTTTTTTCTTTCATAAATTTTGTTTTTGAGATTCTACTTTCAAATAATGAAGTAATAAAAGTGAAAACTATTGATTTATAGATGGCGCTACTTGTAATATCATATAATATTGCCATTTCTGATGATATCATCTTATTTTGCTGTTATTATAACAAAACCATTAATTTTATTGCTAATAAACATGTTTTAGGTTAGTTTTATTGAGGTTATGATATCTATTACCTATATTTATGTGTATTGAACTAAAGTGGATGCCAAAGCGAGGGCGCAGTTACATTCGGATTGAATGATGGCGCTGTGGTAAGTGAAATGGCGGCGCAAATAGAACGCATATGCCCCGGTCGTATATTATGCGTAATGCGTGTAATTCCCACTCCCACATCATGCCTATTTCTTTACCCATACTCTTATCATGCGAAAAACACTTTAAATGTTGGTTATACCAAGTGTTTCATAGAAAAATATAAAAATAAATAAAAATAAATGATGTGACACACTGTATGTTGGTTGGCAATGCGCGTACATTTGCATAGATATAGCGCATCATTGCGCGCCGCATGCGTGTGTTTTAAAAACGAATATCGAAGATTGCCCCCGGTGGCGGGGGTGGAAAATGATTGCCGCCGGCGGAGCGAATACGACCTGTCATTCTCACTTAGTTTAGTGTCTGCGTGGCGCTGCCGGTGGCGGCAGCGCGGCCCATAAATGCCACTGATCTTTTACGCCGATATATATTTCGCTCCCTTTTGACTCTCTCTACCCACCCTCGCGCGTGTTTTCTTTATTTCATTTCTTTTTTGAGTAAAAATATTCCGAAATTTGAAAAAGTTGTTTTTATGGGTTTTATTCACGAAAATCCGATCGGAGACCACAAAAACATCCGGCGTGTAAACGAAATCCGATTTGCTGCATGCGCTACCCTTGTAATGTGCGCCACAAAAGGCTATAAATATAAAACTAGTCGTTTATTCGATTCGCTTGTCTTTCTTTTATTTTGGGATATGGCGAGGGCGAGGCCGGGCGGTTTTGTCGTTTTGCGGCGTTTAATGTAGATGTGTGTGTAAGCCGTATGGCGGGTTTCGAATTGCTCTCGAATTGGTCTCAAATTGCCTAAATTGCATGTTACCCCCGAAACGCGCGCGCCCGCGCACATGTTGCCACGTCCGACGGCAACCCGTCCAACCCGACCCCGGCGTGTATTACCCACATTATCGGATATTAGCCAACAATTTCCGACAGGCTATTATTATAAGTGTCTTCAAGTCTTTACTCTTACAATCAACGAAAAACAAGAAATATTTCATCTAAAAAAATATAAAAAACTAGCTGTAGCCCGCGACTTCGTTCCGGCAGTGTTTAATAAAAATGTAATTCGATTTTACTCTCTTGTTCTAGACATACTCGTAGTAAGAGTCAATTCTATCAATAAGATTAGCAATTTTAATTTAAAGAAATTATGCATATAAAGTTTTGTCAATAATGCACTTCAGCGCGCCATCTCGAATTCAACTATTTAACTATAACTATGATTGAATCTCAATGTCAAATTTTATTCTATAGAAAAGAGCTGTTTTGAGGATTTTCCCGGCAATTATTCCAATTTTTCTCACCTTTTAAACCTTCCCTAGACCTCCACGAATAATTCAAGACCAAGATAAGATAAATCCGTTCAGCCGTTCTCGAGTTTTAGCGAGACTAACGAACAGCAATTCATTTTTATATATATATAGATAAAAATAAAAAAATGTAGAATTGGTTGCATACATTGTACCATTAATGATTTTCCATTTAAATTTGCAAAAATCAAAATAATATCAACGAATGCGAAACACGCAACATTTTAACTCAAGTTTTAACCCGCGAACTGCAACGATTTCATAAAGGTAATGATTGTGGTAATTGCAGCCCTCTAGGCACAACTTTCCGCGTCCATTTTGAAAACGCAAAACTTCGCCGACGATTACTTCAATAATAAATACGTGCAAACTGTTTTCTTACTCACAATACAGTTTAAAATCATTTTAATAAAAAAAAATTTAAAAAATCAAAAAGTTTCAATTTTTAAAATAATTTTTTAAAATAAACTTGGACACGTTTAACAACAACCACAAATATTCCAAAAGGCTGTGGTGGTGTTAAAACATCGTCTGCGTCTTAGGGCTGCCAGATAAACGAGGAGAGCAACCCCTAATTGATACAAACGATGCTTTTTATCGGCCAAGTCTTCCCATCGTGTTAGCAAACTGTTTATACAGAGTGTCCACAAAATTTTTGGATGTTCAAGAAGATCAATACATTTTTCATACTCTTAAGTAAATCTGCCGCACATTTTCTACGTTTTTTATCCGCGCTGGAACTTTTAAAACGTGAATTATCCCTTGGTGTACCCCGAGGCGGCCATACTTGAATGCGTGCACGCACACGTGGCAGATTGCTCGTGATATAACGTCTTGTACCCGCAATTCAAATTTTACTCTGCGTAGGGACGATTAAAATTCAAGTTATGATACTCGGGAAAAACCACCCCAAAAGTTGCAAAGTTTTTTACGGTTTTAAAATATTTTTGCATTTTATGCTTGGAAAAAGTATAAAATGTCTTTATTTCAGTCTTGATGTTATTGATGGTTATAATGTTGATGGTAAAGGGACTTTTAGTTGATATCAGCTTAAGTGGGTCGTTAATTGCCGACGCGGTTATGTTAACAACGTCGACGACAACTTGTTTGGTGGCTATCGCGCGTGCGCAGACGGCCATCGATCCGAATCAATAAATTTACTTTCAACAATCTTAAAACCTCCATAAAATACCTAAATATACAAAACCCAAAAAAAAAAAAAACTTTCATTTCAATCCAGTTTTTTTATTATTATTTAAATGATTAATGATTTCTTTAAAAAAATGTTGAATGCCTACCTATAATGATCAACTCTAATATTTATAATGGTCTAATCCGCTTAGTCTACTTAAGTCTACTTAAGTAATCTATCAAAATTCATTTAAATAAATTTAAATTATTCCTTACCAGCTAATCTATCCTTAACAACTTGTGAAGCAAACGCAGCAGCGGCCGCTGATCTCTGCAGAACAGGATCAAGTCCCAAAGTGCTCCAAGGTGAAGGAAAAACACCTCCACCACCTCCGGGACTTGTCGAACCCCTAGGGGACGATGTGCTGGTACCCTTAGTACTCCTTGACCATAGAACCCAGAAGGGACAAACCCACCCAAAGCGGCGGCAGCGCTCCGCTGATGTAGCATACTACTAGCATGTTGATAGAAACTATGGGCCACATCCACATCAACTCCAACCTCACCAGCCTTCTGATCAAAATTCTTCCCTAGCAAATTCGAGATACTAAAGGGAAGTGTGGTGTTGGTAGCTGCTTGTGAAGACGCAACATTATCAGGTGATGAACAGTGACTCCTGGGTTCACTATCGCTGTGGGACAACCTCGAGTCGGTATCCAGCACGTTGATCTCATGATCATCTTCGGTCAGCTCGTGATCCGACATCTTGGGTGACACTCTTTTAATTAACCTCAATCAATCACTATGTTTTAAATTTTTGTGGGTATAAGCACTGGTTTCGTGGGTTTGGAATTGTAAAACTGATAGTGTGATAAGCGCGAGCGTTAACGCCGCCAGTCGATCGTAGACTGGCCTCGGTTCAGTTGCCATGGCATCCCTCACCTTCGTCGAAAGACTCGTGCGGAATCGTTACCCCCACCTTCATTTTGTACCGAGGACCCAATGTTGATTGGTCCAGCGTAGGTGGGGTATCACGCCCAGAAGGGTGCGGATTGGCGTGGCGGAGATTTGACCGGCCGCGTGCCGCGCTGTTAGCAAAGCACGACAAATTGAATAGCACTCTCTTAACCGGCCCGAAAAGGGGGAACCCGCTTTACTTTACGCGGTCCTCTTTCTTTTTCGCCTGCCAATCGAAGTGGCGTTTTATTTCTTTCTTCGCCATCTACACCCACCAGCAGCTCCGTACCCCCACTCTTTAAGTAATCCAAGCACCGACAATAATCATAATAGCTTTGCTTTTTGTTTTGTTTTGTGTTTGTGTTTGTAGACAACTCCAAACGACGACTTCAAGTCCAAGGGGAAAAATCAACTAAAAATTTTCATTAAATATTTAACCCGCGAGCGGATTTCCCCCTCCCTTTTGCTTTATATGCTTTATACTCATGCAAAATAAAGAAGTGACATCTATAACCACATTAACGTACTAAAAATTCACATAACCTCATATTTTATGTGTGTGGGTGATTGAATTATGTTGAATAATTTGGAATACAAAATTGAGTATTACGATTAACATGACACGTGATTGTGTGATATTTTGCATTTTCAATTTACAATTATTTGCGATTTATTATTTATTACGCATTACGAATAGCTCATTCATTTCGGAAAGCGTTAACCGCGTCCACTGCAAATTGAAAAATGTTGCATTACGTATTTATGTCATGCCTATGACTTCCATGAAATTATTATTATTACGCGCTGCTTATTAAATAATCCTGTGGTTTGCTTCGGTTCGATTCCATTTGACGCAATGCCTAAAATGTCTATTTATGCATTGAAAAATAACTATTTAAGCATAAAAATTTATGTAGCGTCAAAATTCAAATGATTTTTGTATTTTTACATAAACATTCAAAAAAATTAAAATTTACGTCATGGAAAAATAAAAAATAAATTATTAATCAAAAAAATAATTTTTAATTGAATTTAAGTCTTTGTTTTGTTTTTGATGTTAAAAAACGTTGAAATTTTCTCATTAAAATATTTTTTCTTTTTTTCGGTTCACGATGAAAGAAAATAACATTAATACTAAACGATTAACATCCCCCGGAGCCCCTTGTCATCCCTTGAGCGTGCCTTTGTTAATTTTACGATTGCGCGCTCATTTGCGCTCGTTTCAGGCACAAAGTGGTGCCGGGCGTGAGATAGGGTTAATTTTTATGGGCATACTTGGCCTGAGCACCCTCTCAGAGCTCCTCCACCCTCTGCGGCACAGACATTTTCAAGAAACAGCTTTCTTTCAGCGATAAAATGTGAAACGTCGTTATTTTTTATTTCCAGTGAATAGATAATCATTATCACCTCTGATAAATAAATTTTAACTAATTTTTGAGTTTTAGAAGGTAATAAATTTATTTTTAGTTATTGAAAGACTTTCTATGACTTGTAACGTGTTTGTAAGTAGAGTGAGTGTGATTTGTTCGCACTTCAATTTTTAAAATGCACTTAACCAAGTTTAAAGCATTCGCTCTCCAGTGATTTCCACCCCGAGCAGGAGTGACGTAACTTTCAGGCGTGGGGCTATAGTGGTGGTGATGGTTGGAAAGATTCCACGTGCTCGTTTTGCAGCGAAACGATCCGCTCGCTGGGCTCCCAGCGGGACGCACCCCCTATATACCCACACACATAGAGAAAACGTTGGAGCAGAAAAAATCGTAAAAGTGGTAAAGTGGAAACACGGGTGGAAAACGAGTTGATGCGCGTCGGCCACATTTGTTGCTGCAAGTGGTTTCTATTATTCTTTTTCCGAGCAGCGTCGGGCGTACACCAGGGAGCCGAGTACTAAACTTTGATATTGTTTTATTCGCCGGCGCGCACCACCACCCCCATACCACCCCCGGTCAACGGCTAACCTGATTACGCGTCGACCTGCCCTTCCGCTCGATTTGTATTCCCGCATTGTAGCTGTTTTATAACGTTCTGTTAGGTAAAAAAAGGAATCAACATACAATATGTTCAAATTTTTTTGGAAAAAAAAAAGTTTTTTTGTTGTTTAACGTCAAAAATAAAGCAATTTTAAAGAAATTATTTGTTGATATTATTTTTGGTAGTGTATATTGTATAGGGCTTTAAGAAAAATCGAAAATAATAAATTTTAGCACCGAATATTCGCAAAAAACGTCGAAAAAGACGAAAAAACACTGCTCGACCATGCCACGGTTGTTTAATGCCCATTCGCCAATTACTAAACTGCGGCACACGGCTGCAGGAGGAAAAAAAAATGACAAAGAGTAACGCAATGCCTCGCGCCATGATAGTAACATCAGTCGAAGCGAACAAATGTCCATTACGTCCATTACATCCATTACCTACGTCCATCGCTTCTACCACTTTCACATCAACATTAGAATCAACCCTCAACATCAAAAATATACCCACTAGTAATTCTATTATATTAAATTATTATTCCCATCATGTATTTTTTATAATAATATTTTTTTTGTTTTTTTTTTCTGTGGTTTTTAAAATAAAACCTGGTTAGAAAAATAGAATGCGCAGTAAAAGTGAAGAGCCCCGGATCTCAGATTGCCGCCTGTTTCGCACGCCATGAATATTGCATCGATGGCGGCGGCGGCGTCGCATCGGGGGTGGCGCACATCGACGGAATAGCAATGAGCGGCGCGGCCGAAGAAAATTGAAGTAAGAAATAGCGGTTAGCTTTTGTTTTATGCCGCCCTGGCTTGCCATTGTTATGTTTATGGCTGCCGCCCCCCTGCTACCACTACCGCCACCAGCGGTGGTGTAGTGTATAGAGAGGGGCATGAATCATTCAAGGCGCGCGCGAGCGGAAATGGAATGCGAATGCGCGCCGTGGATACGCCACTTTTTATTACCCCACAATGCCACCGCCACCATTGCGTCTCCCACGGCGGTTTCTTATTGTTTTCGACCGCCTCCACCCTCGTTGCGAGTGTAATAAAGTGTTCTTGCTGCATTCCAAAAACTATTACAGAGTAAAACACAAAATACAAGTGTTGTACTCATACTGTAAATATAGGCAACCAATAATTCAATATGATGTAAATTTGGTTGCCTATGTTATATACTAATAATATTTTGTTTATTTTGATATTATTTTTAGGAAATATGCGGTTTTATTGTCCGGTTGGTGTGGAGTTTTTATTCGGAGACATAAAGCGAAGATGCGCGGTTTATTCCCGGAGTCTTGAGTTATTGTTCCGGCCGGATGACTGAAACATGCGGCGCGCGCTTTTATTATCGCTCGATTCCATTCCATTTTCCGGCAGTGCTTACGCTAGAATTACACTTTGTTTTATTGTTTTGTACCGGCGTACACGCGCGCGAGCACTGGTTGTAAAGAAATGCCAAATTAACTTTGAGCAATTTCTTTTCTCCAACCAACAAAGTAAAACAAAAAAACGAGTACAAAATTTTATTGTGTTTAGAATTATCTGATTCTTGAATTTTCGGAATTTGCTGCCGAATTGTTAAAAGATTATTAAGCGGATAATTAGCGGAGTCGTTCGTTCGCGGCGCATAAAGTTTACACAATTTAATATTAACATCAAGCGGCTAATTTGGTCGTCGTTAAAACGCACACAGACTTCGAGGTTAACGAATGCCGGAGCTGCTCTTCGGCCATAATTTATTGGACGTTTGATGTAATTTGACGTGGATAATTATTTATAACACACTTAAGATAATGAGTAGTCGGGAAGCAGAACCAAAACGCACGTAAAACAAAAAAATGTTTAAAACTCATTATACACGATCGTGGATAATGAAAATTTGATTTAAAGTCATTCTCATAGGCCAATGATATATTAATTAATACCTGTGCTGCAGTGTGCAGAATTCAGCACAAAGCGCACGTTATTAATGATTTTGAGGTCGTTGTATTAACGCACCGCTCGTAAACTAAACCCTTGGATGCGATTAGAATTAGGTTGTTTGCAAACCAATTCAGTGCGTCATTCAGCACGCGTCATTCAAGCCGTTTCAATGATTAATCAACACCGGGAAAGTGATCTGGAAGTGACGTCACTGGTGCACTGAATGCGAAAAGCAAACAAACGAAATTAACATGCCATAAATTCGCAATAAATGCGGCGCATAAATAAGTGAAAAATAAGCGAGCGTTCTCTCTTTGCGCGCGCGCACAGATGGAGAAGAAAGCACACGTCTACTCTTTTGGGGTCGTTCGCGGCTAATTGAAGTTAAAAAGGGTCGCGCGGGGGTTAATTATTCACGCCGGGGATTTTCAACTCGTTGGTAAGCATTTTCTGCGACTACGACCGCCGCGAGGGAAACACATCGGTAATTATTAAAATGGAAAAACGACAAAAACGACTTTTCTATATGCGGAGGAGTAGTATAAACAAAGGAAGTGTTTGATATGTTTGTCATTTGATGTCAAAACAGACAATAAAACCGCGTGTTTATGGAAATAAAAGACAAATAATGAATATAGGCAACCAAATGTACATTATATTGATATATTGGTAGCCTATATTAAAATTTACCACGTTTTTTCTAAAGTTATGTCATTTTGACAACAAAATTTAAGTAGGTATTTCTTAAAACATGAAATATAGGCAACCAAACTTACATTATATTGAATTATTGGTTGCCTATTTTAAAATTTACGACGTTTTTCTATTATTTATGGAATTTTCTCAACAAAATTTAAGTATTTCACAAATTATTAAATATAGGCAACCAAATTGACTTCATATTAAAATATTGGTTGCCTATATTAAAATTTAACCTGTTTTTTCTAAAATTATGTAATTTTTACAACAAAAGAATTGCCATTTATCACAAATAGAAAGCAAATTGTCTACCAACTTAAAAACTTTGTGTTTTGTGTT